AAGCTTGGTGAAGGAGCATTTGGAGCTGTGTGCGGTGGGGAAGTTATTGGGCTTAGGTCAGAGGGAGAATGGTTACCTGTGGCAGTGAAGTCTTTGAAGATTGGCTCCTTACCCGAAGACAAGGTAACAGAAGTGTTAAGTCTTAAGTAGTGTTACGCTGAGTATTGAATGATTCAAAACAATTTTTCGTCAATACCGTTAGAGACTTGCTGTTAAGAAAATTGCTCCAAAATTACAAGGAAAAGCCAAAGTTAAGAGGTTAATTATTCAAACTTTGTGTTTCTAATGAGATGGCGGACTCAAATAGGGGCAGTACCAAGTTTCTATATAGTAAATTTGTAACTACACTTTTTTATCGTCCTCTGTCGCGACCGGCCATAGTTTGTTAGTTTTTCTGTTCCTTTTTTGTTGTTGTTGTTGTTGTTGTTGTTTTTAAAGCTACAATCAGCAAAACAAAAAGATTTTGACACTTTTTGACTGAGGGGATAATATTTTAGAATACCGGGCCAATATTATTACTTATTTCTTTACGGGAAGCCCCTGTCCCCTGATTAATGTTACACTTCGCTATCTGTGATTGCGCACAATGTAAGACACTCACAGGTTCATTAAGGTATGCTTGTTTCTCTTGCAGCTTGAATTTCTGAGTGAGGCAGAAACGATGAAGATCTTTGACCACAAGAATATTGTGAAACTGCTAGGTGTTTGCACCAAAGGAGAACCAGCTTTTGCCGTAATGGAGCTGATGATACATGGTAAGTGATATTGATAGTAGTCGTTCCTGTGTTATTCGCGTTTGATTGTTCAATTGGTGATTCCTTTGAAAGAGCTGAATGATATTGTAAATTCGCAACTATTCGTATCGCTTTTCGTGCGAAATCATCTTTAAAATTGTGCTATTTATTTGTTGTGCTTTATTCGGTCCTTTTAGGTGACCTAAAAAACTTCCTGCTGGCCAGACGTCAATTTGCAAATCAGGACTGTAGAGAGGTATTGTCAGTTATCTTCAAGTTATTTATTGTAATCTTGGGTGAAAATCTGTTCACATGCCTCTTAAAACTTAGGTTAGAATGAACATACCTGTTGTTCAAAGGGGCGAACAGGAAACTTAAAAGTAAATCATCAAACATAATTGCATTATTTCAAACCGGACAATTGTTCCGTTCATGGCGGTCTTTAGGTTGATCTGTTTAGGTTAAAAAGGGGCCTAGTCGATATAATACCATTGTTTATAAATAAGTTGACATTCTTAGATTGGTGATGCGCCGTCTCTTACTAGACAAGTTATATTTGCTAGCATTGACATGAAATGATTTTAAGTTATAAATTTTGAAATGAAGACTACAAGCAATCCCTCCTTTTGGCGAAGTGCGATTAAAAAAATATGAGTGAAACAAAGGTTTATGTTAGCGAGTCGCGCGAAACTTGGGAGTGAGGCTGCTGGGAACTTTTCTTGCGCCTCACTTCCAGAGTTCTGCGTGGCGTGGTAACATTGATTCTTTGCACTTAGATGGGACTGCTTATGGTCTGTTTAAAATGGAAAGAAAGATTTGAAGTGTAACGATTACAATCCATTTTTATTGTCTTCAGTACAGCCCATTCATTACAAGTTGTTCTCTCGCGTTCTTGTACAGTTTTCGAACCTTGCTGTAGAAGTTACTGTAGTTATTCATGGACGTTAATTTTCTTCCAGGCCGAAGATGTTACTCCTAAAAGGTTAACTGCAATGGCGTTAGACATTACCAGTGGACTAAATTACCTCGCAGAAATGAAGTTTGTTCATCGGTATGCTGGTGGATGTTATTCCTTGCAATAGACCATCTTCTTCAGTGTTTTTTTTTTCTTCTCTTACATTTGTTTTGAGTTGGGAATCAGCAAAGCGTGTGAACCTGCCTCGCAAATGAGGGCGTTTCATTATTAATCTGGATGTGAGTGTTTCTGTGAAGCTCAGAAAAGCGTGAACACTTGAAAGCTATTATGGAATGTTGTTGTGTTTCGTGGATTACACCAATTAGCCGTCACTAAACTTAACCGTTAGCAGAGACGGTAATTTTTTGAGGGCGAGAAGTTTGCGCGCGTTTTCAGGACACCGTTGACCTGTCAAACTCAAATGAAAGTGTTCACAGTTTTATGAGTTTTACTGAAAACGTGAAATGATTTAGTTTTTGTGTTCATTTTTAGTGACCTGGCTCTGAGGAACTGCATGGTAGGGTCAGGTCATGTGGTCAAACTCGGCGACTTTGGTATGGCGCGCGCTATGTACGATTCGGATTACTACAGGTTTGGACGTAAAGGTAAAACTCTGATTTATGTCTTCATACCACAACAAAGCACTGCGGAGAAGCCAAGAAGGGACTCAAATTTATCACGCTTTCGGGACTCGTTTGACTGTTAGAATTAGGTCGGAACTGGTCAGGGGTTAGGGTTAGGATTAGGTTCAGGGGTTAGTTAGTTCAGGTCAGTGGGAAGTAGGTTACTTTTTTTCTGTGTGATGATCACGACCAGCAATCGTCAAATTCCTTTAGAGAAGGTAATTGGCAGCCTATTTTTACTCTTTTGAGGAGGTGCTGTTTTTTCTTTTTCCCAAAATTTGAAGAGGAACTGTTCTTCCTTTTTCCTGGTCTGCCATACGTTAAGTTATTATCTTCGTCAAGTTCTTTCCCGTCTTCGCTTCCCTGTCCTGACATATCGCGTGTTTCTCAACAGGCATGCTCCCTGTTCGATGGATGTCTCCCGAGTCTCTTGCAGATGGCGTATTCACGACTAAGTCTGACGTGTGGAGCCTGGGCGTGACCTTATGGGAACTGGCGACGTTCGGCAGCTTTCCTTATCAGGGCCTCTCGAATGGAGAAGTTGTGGAGAGAGTCAAACAAGGGCACTTTATGGAAAAACCACAGGGGTGTACTGGCGAACTGTAAGTGTCCACGTCTACGCGAATCGCGATTCCTAACGAAGTAGCCCGTGCATTACCCTTTTTAACTTTAGAAAAAATTCCATCCTTTATCTATTTTTCTTTTACGTAGGTATGTGATCAGTTTTTAAAAACAATGTTCTATCTTCTGCAAAATACCTTGAGAGCTTCTTTGAGGAATTTGAGGAAATCAGCTAACATTGCTCTGTTTTTAGCTTCTCGCCTGAGTAATAAAAACAGCGAGCCATTCATTTAATGTACGAAATCTCGCCAAATGTTTTAAACCGATGTCAGATACTGAAGAATAGACTGAAAATATGGTCTAGACAGTATCCTTTGTTCTTTTTGGTGTAAGTGTAATGTCGTGTGTAGAAAATTGCACGACAGAAAATAAATGAAAGAGCTCCCCAGTTTTAACTCTAACTGTATTCCTTGTCTAAATTGCCTGTCCATTTTTTTTCTTTATTTCAGGGGCACTTTGCTGACAGAATGCTGGAGAAAAGACCCCCTCCACAGACCAGATCCGGATAAAATTTGCGACTTGCTAACTGCTCATGTAACCATGATCACCGCTTGTTTAGACTCTCCTATGTCAAGTGTGGCCACGGATGAAAACTGCGTGGGGCCTGGTGAGGTCAGAAGGGACAGCATGAGGACGAGGCGAGGCACACCGTCACCCTCTCCGCGGAGAAGTCGCGCAATTACCCAACTCACTCAAGAGCAGATTAAAATTTTAATGCCGCATCGCGAAAATGGTGTAACCCCAAATGGTGCTGTATAGAATCGAGCCATCAACATTTTTGTGATTTTAATCAAAACTGAGCTAGCTGGGGGTGTGAAAGATAATTTGCAAGATCAAGCTGATTTAGTAATTTGCAACAACAAGGTTGCATTTTAAGTAAATATCCAGTCTTCACAGCCATGGCCTGTCCACATCACGACTGAGTTCCTATTCAAATAGAGACATGAATTTCAGTTGAAACGAGACTTTCGGTCTCCTTGGGATTCTTTTAAAGAGTTTCTGTCTCGTTTCAAAAGCGAGGACCTTTAAACACGAGGAATTTTTAAGAGGGTTGTAGTCTGTGGACTGTTATGGTAACATTCTGCACGAAAAGGGTCTTTCCAACTCTACGCAATTCTTAATGGAAGGTATTTCATGCGTTACTTGATGTATGTCATCCTTCGAAAAACTCACCAATAAGAACCCACACTTTATTTGTTGCTGTTGCTCCTATTTCATTCTCTGAACGCTTTTCACTTTTGTCTTGTTAAGTACCCACTTTCCCTCACTGGCTCAAACACACAACAGGAAAGCTAAATATGGTTTCATTATGTTATTTTTTAGACACTTAATGCTTGCTCGGTCGACGATGCCAAGATTTTTCACTAGGGTTCAGTTACTCAAATTTACTACTTTGATCTAAATTACTCCGTCTCAATGACCGCAAATTACTTCTCAAACGACTTTCTTTATCTTGTTTACGATTGAATCTCCAATGTAACATTGAATATCGTACGGAAATACAATCGTTAAGTAATAGAAGTTACGAAATGTCAAAAGTAGTTTATCACGTTATTCTTTAACTGTTGATTTCATTGTAATTTAATGTATTTCACTGGGCTCAAGACGATTTCAAGGCCTCTCCCTTTACGCTAAAGTACACTACGGTAGCACTAAGTTGGCATGGAGACACAGTCGGTGCACATCAGGCGATTAGGGCAAATGAAGATGGCTCTAAACCTGCAACAGAATTTTTGAAAAATTTTGCCCAGCATTATCTTGGTAAGCCCATTGTAACTTGATATTAAAAAGCAGGGGTCATGATCAGGATGCTGAGGTGGTGGCGTTGACAGATAAATCTCTGTGGAAATATCTACCGATTTGGTAGTAGGAAAACAGTAATGCTTTTTAATTGTGAGAATTTAAAAAAAAGGTAAAATAAAGGAAAATAGCAACAAACCTGGAAATATTGAAATTTTAACCAAGTAAAAAGAAGTGGGCACCAAGGTACATAAACAAAGCACAAGGACGCGAGAGGTCTGGAGACTGAAGCGGTCTTGTGCGACCTACACAACATAGCAGGTGGAGTTCAAGATGGCGGATTAAGCATTTGTTTGTTATTTCGAATTGTGATTCTTTACTTTCGACGATCTTGCTTCTCGAGCAGTTTTGTAATTGAACAGTTGCGATGTATCCAAGAGTGAAAAGATCAATTTCTGAGAGTGGAAATCCTTCGGCGAAAAGAACGTTTCGTTCCTTTTCGTTTTCCGATGCAGCTGGCAATGGAACTCAGCGTGAAACTAACGGGAATTCTAAACAACTACACGGCCACCACACGGCTCAAAACCCAGCGCGAAAACAGAGTTTTAACCTGCCGATTTACACAGGGCGTAATGTAATTATTTCCGAAGTACGGAGCAGAGAAAACGTGATAATTATTGGGGAAACTGGCAGTGGAAAGACAACACAAATTCCACAATATCTCCATGAGGCACGCTTGACAAAGCTCGGAGCTGTCGCATGCACACAACCAAGACGCGTGGCAGCGATAAGCATTGCACAGAGAGTTGCTAAGGAGATGCACGTGCAACTGGGGGAAGAAGTTGGGTATACTGTGCGATTCGAAGACGTTACCTCGGCGAAAACATGCGTGAAATACATGACCGATGGAATGTTGCTGAGAGAAGCCATAGGCGACCCCATACTTCACAGATACTCTGTTGTTATTTTAGACGAAGCTCATGAGCGAACTGTACACACCGACGTCCTTTTTGGTGTTGTGAAAGCAGCTCAAGAGATGCGTAAAGAAAAACATCAGAAACCGCTCAAAATTGTTGTTATGTCTGCCACTCTAGAGGCAGAACATTTTTCACGGTATTTCAACAGTGCGAAGGTGTTGTACATTGAAGGACGTCAGCATCCAGTTCAAATTATGTATGCAGTGGAGCAGCAAAAAGACTATGTGCATGCAGCACTTGTTTCAGTAATGCAACTGCACCAAGAAATGCCACTGGGGTAAATAACTAAGAAAATAATTACAAAATTTAATGAAATAAATCATATTTTGACTACTGAATGATATTTAAGTATGGAAATGCTCCTTGCATGTGTTGCAATCAAGGAAGTGCAGAAAAAAAGCCTGGTTAATTGTAGTAAAATTTGTCTTTCCTGAAACATGTTGAATTATATCTCAGTGGATTATGGTGCCTAAATAGTTCAATTGGAAGGTGCATGTTAGAATTTTGTTGGAGCCTGATTTTCACAGGCTTTTTTCATGTAATTTTTATTATTGTTTCTCACCTGCAACTTAAAAATACTTAAAATTTCCAGAGGTTGTTTCCGAGTTAAGAAATCCCCACTCTCCAAATGGGGCCAGGTGCAAAGCTTTTCTTGTGAAAACGATGAGACTCAAGTGAAATCCTTTTCAAATCAAAAGCATTGTGCTTACCTTTTGAACAAAGGGCCTGGGCATTTCCAAAATGGCCTATTGGTACGCATGGCTACCATAATAGCAAAAACAAGAAATAACTAAAATTTAATTGCCTAGGGTACAGTAAAGAGGGATGGCAAATGGTCCATGTAAAACAACTTGAGACTCATCTAGCAATTATTTAAGTAAAAGTGGGCTACTGGTGTCCAATCACATTCAATATTTTGTGATAATTTTGATTTCATAGTAAATAAACTGGTTTGATACAATCTGAAGGTAAGTAAAGTAAGTCACCTCTGTTCAAATTATTGAATCCTCACAGCAAAAGATAAGAGTCAAACTAAACTGTCTCTGGTCTAAACTTTATATTTGTAGTGGAGACATTCTGGTGTTTTTGACTGGTCAAGATGAAATCGAATCTTTAGCCAAACTTGTGACAGATTGTGCACAGCACTGTGAAGCAGGTTAGTTGGCTTTTTCAATCCTTAATATGATTATGAAATTTTCATTACAAGAACAATGAAGAAGTTGCAATAAGTACAAACTGCATATTTTTTGCATATTTTTTGTATATTATATCCAGTTTGGCAAGTAGTATTTGTAAATTACTGTTTTTGGTGCTCCAAAATTTCCACTTAATTCAGAGAACAGAACTGTAAGATAACGTTCCTCATAGAATATGTGAGGTACCAGAAATACATGTATACTGAATGTTCATTAACCTATTATCTATTGTACCAGTAATTCTTAAGAAATTTTAAAAAGCTTTTTAGAAAAAATTTTCTCATGTTTTCCCCCAATATTTTGTGAACTATCTTGTGGAGAAACTGTTGAGAAGTGCGGTCAATTTTCTATCCTGAAATATAAGTTTGTTTAATTAATTTCTCTTTTTGGAATATTACATGTACGTACTGAGGGGAAGTAGGAGCTACTCATCAATCATTTCTGGGATTTAAAAAAGAATTAAAAAGGAAAACTTGACTGATTGGTTTTCCCTGTTCAACTGGAACCAAAATTATTCTTAGTTTGTTTCCTAAGTTACTACCCATTTTTTATAGAGTGTGACACACTTGTACATGTTATATATTTTTTTTCCACTTTTTTACTTAGGATGCCCTGAGGTCCTAGTTTGTCCAATGTTTGCTGCTCTTCCTTCCCAGCATCAAATGAAAGTGTTTATTTCAGCTCCTATAGGCAAAAGGAAAGTTATTCTAGCAACAAATATTGCAGAAACATCAATTACCATTCCAGGGGTCAAATATGTGGTAGATACAGGCTTTGTTAAAGGAAAAGGTGGGTACAATTCATAATGAACATTTCTATGAAATTAACATTGAAACAATTTTGTCAGTTTTGGTTGTACTTCTTTGAGTGATAAGAGATTTGAGTGATGAGAGTGATGGTAGTAATAAAATCATTTACAGTGACTTCCTGATTTATTGTTCCTTTTCCAGCTTTTCATCCCAAGACTGGCCTTGACATACTGCAGGTTCAACCGGTCTCAAAGGCACAGGCACGCCAACGGACTGGTCGGGCAGGACGAGAAACCAGTGGAGTCTGTTACAGACTTTATACAGAGGAACAGTTTGATGAGCTGAAGGAGATGACAATGCCAGAAATCCAACGGTGTAACTTGGCAAGTGTTGTCTTGCAGCTTATGGCCCTGGGTATATTGGATGTTCTCCATTTTGACTTTCTTGACTCTCCTTCACAAGATGCAATAGAAAATGCATTGGAACAGTTAGTGGTGTTAGGAGCAGTAAGGAAAGGGAACAGTGGCTTTGAGGTAAAATTACTCTAAGGCTGGTTTTCTTTTATTATTAAAAGTTCAAGTTATATTAATTGTTTTTTTCTGAATTTCATCGTATGCACTGGTAACTCCCAAAATCTAATTGTTAATTCTCAGCTCTGACTGCCTCACATTTCCTTGTAAATTAATTACCAGTCAGAATTTAGTGTTAGATCAAGATAACAACATCTGCCTGATAAGTTTGAATATTCTCATTACCTTTTTGCTGGATATTGTACGGATCTGATAGGGAGAAATTACAAGTTAATCACTTTGAGGGAGTTGAAAGGGTTTTGTTGTTGTTGTTGATTGATGTGGACAGAGATAAGACAAAGAAGCCCTGAAGCATGGATGACAACCAACAGAAAATTAAACTTGCACATGAGTTGAAGTGCATGATTCAAACTGGGGCTGCAGTTGCAGAGACAAGAGCTTTCAGAATTATACCATCCCTTCTCCTTGCTACTATATGCCATTTATAACAAATTCCTTTAATTTTTGTTGCACCTTTAGCTAATGCCTCTTGGTCGTAAAATGGCTAATTTTCCATTGGAGCCCAGACTGGCCAAAGTGATTCTGTCATCACATGAATTAAATTGCAGTGAGGAGATAATCACCATTGTAGCTTTGCTGTCTGTGGACTCCCTTACTTACACCCCACAAAGCAAACGGGACCATGCCTTAGCAGTACGCAAGAAGTTCCTTTCATCAGAAGGTGACCAAATGACTCTTCTGAATATTTACAGAGCTTACAAAGCCGTCAGTGGCCACAAAGAGTGGTGTCATGAACACTTCATCAACTCCCAAACTGTTAAACGTGTCATGGACATAAGAAAACAACTGCGAGAGATTTGCATAAGACTGGACATTCCTTTGATATCTTGCGGCAAGGACACTGTGAACATTCGGCACTGTCTTGCCAAAGGACTCTTCATGAATGCTGCAGAGCTGCAGCTTGATGGGACATATCTGACTGTGACTCACAGGCAACCTGTTACCATTCATCCTACCTCATCACTGTTTGGTTCTAAGCCACAGTATGTTGTTTACAATGAACTTATACACACCACAAAGTGTTACATGCGTGATGTATGCGTGGTAGATCCGTCTTGGCTTCAAGAAGCTGCACCAAATTATTTTAAAGAGCACAGACTTCATTCACAGCCAACATCAGTTCGTTCATAATTCATTTTTCCTTGAAAGAACTATACATGCAGTCTGAAATTAGAAGATTTTTCCCATCATTGTAACATGTGCCACTGAATAAGGGAGAGCATGGAATAAAACCCAAAGTGAATTAACTCTGGAACTCCCACAAGTGACCAATTTCTCCCCACAATTTCTCTACAGTGTCAAGCAAAAATGTGATCAGTGTAGAGAAAAATATTAATCAGGGGATCCAATACCAAATTCTCTGAACTAACATGAAAGGAACATTATGGCATAAAGCAAGGAGAATCACTTATGAGATCTTGGGAGTGAAAGGGTTAAGTTACAAACTTCTCCTGGTCGTGTGCAAAGTAATGAAAGGCAATCTGAAAGGAGATTTCAGCAGTCTATCAAGTGTCACTGAAGGCTTTTTGCCATGCAACCTCTCAAAGTAAATAATACTGCCACAAAAGCACTACCTCCAGTCAAAAGAGTACAGAATTTATTGATGCAATTAATAATAATAATATTTGGATTGACTGGAATGGTTGTAAATAATTACATTTAATGTATCTCTCAGTTAGTGTGTGTGTGTGTGTGGTCAATTTAGCAGGCTGTTTTTCGCCTTAAAGTTTGTTTGAATTGAAATCTTCCCCCAGAGATAAAATAAATATCTTGCTAACCTTGTTTCATTTTCGTGGTCAGTAATGAGTTGCTGAACCAAAGTTTTTTTTTTCCTTTTTTTTCTTGCTTGGGCAATAAATCCAAATGCAAAAAATTGGTCCATAACTTAAAATGTGTGAATTACACTTAACCAGCTCAAATGTTTGTAAAGTGCATGCAAAGGGTAACACATTACCCAGGTTTTTAGAGACATTTCCAGTGAGTGTCACAAGTACTTCTAGATTTCTTTGGTTTTGCTTTTCTCTGCTTTTTCTCCCACCTCTTTTTCAACCAATCAGATTCAAAGCTGATTGGACACTGTGATTTATTTGGTTTGGTTTAATGACACTTGAGAGAAAAGCAGTTGGTCTCTTGCCATCCCTAGTAGCCATAAATTTAAACAGTCTGCCTATCAGTGTAAAAGGGAGTATCATCAAGCATTTCAGGAATTTCACTTAGGAATGTTGTCATTTCCTAGTTAGATATCTATTTCCATGTTGATCTGACTGGCATACAAATTGTTTGGAAGCTTGTGGCTCGCAGAGTATTTGAAATCACAAAAGCAACGAATTTGATATATTTTCTGGCCAACACTATTTGAGGAAGGCTCATGGAAAGTGAAGCTCCTCATTATGAGACTATTCATTGAAAAAGAAAAACCACAGTCAGATTTCTCTGCTGATGCTGACAATGAGGTAGGACTTACATCACAATGTACAAAGAGCCTCTCAGAGCACAAAGCCAGGTTCAAACTTAACCCTTTGCTCCCTCACATCAGTATGCATAATCTCCATACCATTTGATGCTAGGAACCCTTAGGAGTCAAAGGGCTAAGCTAACATTATTAGTAGTTTTTTTTTCAGTTTTGGCTCAAGACCGAAAACGGACAAACAGTGAATAGAATTAATCTTTGTAGAAAAGGTTGTGGTTATTCATCATGGTGAATAACAATAAAAGTTCAGTTTTTCGTTTGTCTCATGATACTGCTGCATACTGCTAGTCTTCTTCGGGTGATGAGGTCGACTGGTCATGCATGATCTTACACACCTCAACATTATTACACATATTTTCCACACCATTCTCTACACATTTCCATGGGTACTAACACAGAGAATTTGTTTAATGATCACAAGCCTCTAAAGATGGTGATCACTTCCCCTATTCTCATGTTTGATTCAGGAGTGATTCCATAAGATGAAATAGTTAGATGCTTGCCACTTGCAGAGATAAAAGGGTTAGGTAATTTCCATCCCAGGAGACCAATACAGTTGCTGAAGTTTCTAATGCAACAAATCCAGCTCTGTACAGAATCTATTTCTTCCAATATTCCATAAGTGAGTTTCTTACAATTTGTTATTGACAAGGTTAATTGGGGATTGGACTATGTGTTGTACGATTCAGATTTATAAATGCTGGCTTTTTATGGAAATCTTGAAAAGCAGTCAGTCAATTTCAAAGTCCTAGCCCAATCCCTAAATTCTACTCATTTAATTTTATTACCATTAATGGTAGACTTGTGCAGCAAATCTTAGGGATGTCATACAACAACTCTTTCTTCACCTAGTAGCACATTTTGTCCCTGGGCTAGTGTTTTGACTACAGCCAATGAACACATATCAGTTAAATTGCTTTTTAAAGGCAAAAAGCATACTTTGGGTGAATGTTGATGTAGCACAAAGACAACCACAGTACAATACAATCTCTATTTTTCCAGTCTATATTATTCTCACAGGAGCCTCAAGATTGTGTTCCAAAATTAATTACTGGTACCAAAGTTAAATCTGCAAGCTACAATAATTATAATAATAACAACAATAATAATAACAGTAATAATAATAAAAATAATAATAATGGTGATAATAATTATTGTTGCATCCTACATAGATAACCTATCATTCTTAATATTCCACTTTATCAGGCATTTAATCAAATCAAAAACCAACCAGAATGGAAATCCATGGATCTAAGGGATGGGTTTAAAAGTAGGTAGTCAAGCACTTGTTGTTTAGTTTACAGTGTACACTGTGGCATGAATAAAAATTTCAATCAAAAATAAAAAAAAATTCATGAATATTTTCAGTCATACTTTTAATTGTGAGTACAGTAATAAGATGCAGTTGGAAGAGGGTTTTCTACTTCATCTCCCAAATGAACTGTAGATTATCATGAGAAGTAGTGGTATAACGTATACGACCTTGCAGATAATTTTATAATCCAGATGCAAAAGTAGTTCTCATCCTGCAAGATGCTTGTCTTCTACTAGGTTGGAACATGACTGTTTTCCTGTTGTCTTGTGAATGATTTGCTCTGTTTATAGAAGGTTAATCTCTTTCTGATGTAATAGGAGTTGCACTTGTTACAGCAGTTACCATCTTAGCAAAATTCACTCAATAACCATTCCTCTCTGAATTCCAGCACTCAACATCTTTCCCGCGGTGATGATTCTTTAGAAGCTGACAGCCATACTAATCAGTTTAGTATAATCCACATCCTTTGAGGTTATTTGCAATAATTGTATCAGTAACTGCATTAAATACAAAAGTGATATTGTCCGTGTCTGTTGCACATGTAAGATGAACATATATTTCTTTTTCATCGTTCAAGTTTTTGGCCTCAAATTGTTTCCTAATGTAAAGGCAGCCAGCTTCATATGTGTTTGGCCCTGCAAGCAAAGAACAAGCAAAGAGTAAGAATGTTAACATCTACAATGTAGCAAGTGTAGTTTGAATAAATCAGAAACTACATCCATGGTTTCCTGACCTTGGTGCAGTGGTGCATTGTGCTCTACTATTAACCTTTTAACTCCTGGAAGTGTTAGTCATGTAATTTCTTCCTATTCAATTCATACATTACTAAGCAAACAGGTAATAAGAATTCTTAAACTTATCAGGTACAGGTTGTTACTTTGATCTAACACCAAATTCTTCAAACCAAACCCCTTTTTATCACCTTTCCTTTCTCATCACAACATGGAACGATTGGAATTAGGCACAAATGGTGTATGTTGTGTCCAATGGAATGGACCACTTAAGACCCATAATGGAATATACACCAAAAGAGAGGCTATCATAGGTTTGCAGGGATATCAATTTTCTTTATGGGGATACTATGAAGAGATTGTGCACCAGGTGTAAACATTATTTCCTATTCCAGTCCTATATATAATATAATATAAATATATAAATTTGTAAACAAAAAAAGAAGAAACGTTCCACATTCTTGACAAGATAGAGTGTTGTACCAGGTTTGGCTCATTAACACTCTACACTGAAATCAAGGCCTTGGTAAGATTAAGCCCCCTTACACCCAATGTCATTATACATATTCCCCATTTTGTTCCTTTTACATTTCATCACATGCTGACATGGAGAATTTGTTCAACAGTCAAGACCTTCTCTAGTTGGTGATCATTTCCTTTATTCCTGTGACCTTAATGTTTGATTCAGGGGTGATAATGTATGGAGAAATTAGATGCTAGTCACTCTAAGGAGTTTAATGGTTAACTCATGGAACTACTTGATGATCACAACAGAAATCTGTGAAATTTTTCTTGTTTGTAAACATAAATCCTACCTGAATAATCTGGAAAACATATTGTGAGTGGAGAAGTAGAAATTTTTTCTTCAAATAAATCCTTTTTGTTAAGGAAGAGTATAACTGAAGTTTCAACAAACCATCTGTTGTTCACTATCGACTCAAACAATTTTAAACTCTCTTCCATTCGGTTCTGAGAGAAAGAAAATTGATGATTAGTTGCTAGAACAACACAGTATTATTAGCAGTCCATCAATATTATGACAAGAAAAACTGTAGGGAAAGGGCTGATGATAAATATTCCCTTAATGCAAAAGAATGTTTCACATAAAACTTTGCAGTGTTCAATTTTGACCTGGCTAAAATGAGTTATTCAAATATGCCCTAGAATGTTCAAAATCATGCCTCAAATTTTTAAATTTCAAACTTTTCCAAGGTATCATACTTTGTAACATGCCATGTTCGCGATGCAAGCATAATTCAGTTCAGCCACCCACTTAGTTTAGATCATACACTTACCAGTTGTACATTTTCTATTAACAATCCTACTATCGAAAACTATCACAGGTTGCCCAATTTCCCACACTCTTTATCACTTCAACACTGGCCAGACTTACTGTGGTTTCATCTTCCTGCAGTGTCAAGTCATATGCACTCAATGCAACACAGTATATTATAGCTGTGACATCTTCAAAGCAATGAATCCATTTTTTGCGCTCAGATCTCTGACCTCCTACATCAAACAATCTGTAAGCAAGAGCCAAGAAAATATGTTACACCAAATTGAGAAATATTGTTTGAAAAAATATGGAGCCTTTCTATGAGATAGAAAGGTCTGTTACTTACTTAAAATGGAGCCTCTTGAAATCAAACTGGATTTCAACAATGCCGGTGGTTTTTACCCTCGTCCGTAAGAGATCCTGTGCCGTGGGTTCATAATTTTCAGCTCCAATTCTTTCTATTGCATCTAAATAACTACAGAAAAGAAAGAATGCAGTCTAAAACAACCAAAACACCACTCTGCTTTTGAAGATAGATTAGGTTTTATCCTTGTGTCACAAAACTTTAATGTTAGTGGTCCACCGTAAAGAGTTTCTAAGCTGACATTTTAAGTGCTAGCACTTCTTCTGAGAGGATATGGTGTTAGAATTTTAATTTTGCAATTTGGCCATTCAGAACTGGTTTGGCTTGCTTTCTTCACTACTGATACCCCCCCCCCCCCCAAATTTGGTGTCTCTTATGCTTGTAGTCTTTTAAAATTATTTTATGCAGTAGTTGGTTAGTAAAAAGATAAGGTTTTCAGATGTGGCATCCAATGGTTTATTTTCTGGTTTTTATTCAACAATTATGAGCCTCAACTGAGCAAACAGGCCAAGATTCTCATATCAAGGGTCCTCCTGACCACACATTATTCAAAGAAATACATGACCAACCAGGGAATTTTTTTTTCCCAGGAGAGCATGCATTACAAATAATGTTTGGATTGTTGACCATGCTCTAAGGAGTACTGTGAGCAGGCTGTGAAATATGACTGTAAACCAGCTTGCAACAGAAGAGGGTCTAAGATTATTTCATATATGGGATGGTTGGTTTTCATCAAAATTCAATGCGGTTACGGTCATGGTTAATTGTATTGTGCTGTTTTGCAGTTTCCTACAGATGATTTCCTACTGGTGATTCTGGTATCTTCCATTTCTTGACCAATGTATATGTTAAATACTAGACCAGTACTAATACTTGTATTGAAATTTGAGGAGGATTTGATCATACCATTCCTTTTAAACTACTTATGCTTTGGACTATTTCAAATATGGCTATTTATTGACCTAGGATTTTTCATGATGAAATTTTGTCAATCATATTACCAAGGAAATATTTATATTGTTCAACAAAAATTTGCATCTGACGAATCAACATTGGTATATTGATGTCAGTCAGTCAATGCCAACATATCACTGTAAAATATTTATCTTACCTATCTAAAATCTCAACCTTTCTAAAATCAAGTCTAAGCAAGAAAAATTAATTATAACCGAGAAATAGGGCACTTTTGCTCGGACATGTCCAACAAATGGATAAATTACATTCAAATGCCTTCCACAATAAACCACAAGGCAAAATCTTTCTTCATCTGAAAAAGTTGCTGTTTGAAAGATGCATAAAAATAAGAATGACCTAAAGTAACAAATAGCAGTATTATTGGATTCAGTAATGTAAAGGTGACTGGTTATGCAAGTTATACGTCCAGAAAACTCAATTTAGCTAACATAATTTTGATGCTCAGTACTTGAAACAAATTGATGTAAATGTTCAAAACAATTTTCTTTCAAGTCTCTCTTTATCACAAACACAAAACAATTACTTCTAAGGGGAAGACTATTAGACCATTTTTTGGCTGGTTGCTTAAAATCTGTGAAGATCTTTGGTCAATACCTTAATGAATTTTTTAAAATAGCTGTTTGATCTTCTGCAGACAACAGGTCCAATATAATGCAAGCTGCACTTTGATACAATACTGTATTGATCCATGGAATATTAAAATCAAAATTACTGCAATGACATTCAGTCATGCTTGGTCTGAAGGGATCAGCTGCATGGGAAGATTACATTTGGTCTAACCGAACATAATCTTCCAACTCACTTGCTTTTAGTGCTCAACTGCATTAAAAACATTTCACTTCACACAACATTTAGATAAAACATTTGAATGACTTGAAGGAGGTTTTGAGCACAGTTTTGCAAAACAACACCAAATAATCACCAAATTATTTGTCATTGGGGTTTGTTTTTGAAGTTAGTACTGGTAAAAATAAAATGTTTTTGTGTTTTTGAGTGATTTTACACCTTTCAACAAAATTGGGAAACACTGGAGACCAGACAAACAACTATTTTTGAATCAGTGACATTAAATTTACCATAAGTTTTACTGTGGAGATTTTGGATAATTCTTCTCAAGAGGAACATCTGTTCAGATTGATTACTCAAGTACTATAAAAAATGCTTCACAAAAATTATTCCCTGAAAACACCACAAAAACATGGAAATATCAGCTAAAACAATCAAAAGAGATCGTAAAATGTTATTTGGAAGAATTTACCAGCTAAGAATTATGTCAAATAACTGAAAAAAGGTAATCGGTTTTGGTAAACATCACGCAAGTTTGAGATGTACCTAAGAATTACTAGTGTTTACTGATAAAGGTGTAAAAGTTATTTTTCAAATTTAAGCAGTAATTATGATCGCGTGCGCCCAAAGTTATTTCTAAACAACCCAAGAGAAAATCCAAACAATTTGCAAGGTACCTAACAAACTTAACAGTCATCGTGCAAGGTCAATTTCTTCCTTATTACTTGGTAAATATATTACATCAACGATGTCACTTTAAGCAGGTCTAGTAAATTGCAAGAAAGCCGTATGATGACAAACAGTCTACCTCACACAAGCTTGCAATATTCGAAAATGCCCGTTCACATAACAAAGATATATTTTTTTCTCCAAAAAAAATGCGTCGAATTTTTTCCTCCTCTTTGGCGAGAAGTTTCCACCTTCATTTCGGGGAAACTGTTTCAAGATCGGAGCATGCCCAGAAGAGTCTACCGCAATGATCAAAACAACTGAAAATTGGCCCGATTTGTGATTATCGTCTGCGTTAATTTCTAAGGGACAGTGTTGATAATAAAGTGGCCTAGGCGCCAAAATATACACTTACTATCTGGCAGAGTCGTTCAGTTGATATTCTCTAGATCTCCGGAAACACTGTTTTATTCCTCCGTCTTGCCACAACCGTTTCATTGCTGCTGTTAACTCGGGCGTGAACGGTTCCTGATCGTCCGCCCTGGCCACCACATCGAAAACCATTTTGGCGTCCATCTACAAATGTAAAGCCAATATTCAGAACGACTGCACGGTTCACTAATCCGTCGACTGTTAATCCAGTCGAATATATGAAGTAAGATAACTAATCAACAAAGAAAAATTCAGGCGAAATTACGATGATCTTTCTTACAAGTCTCTCGTCTGTTTCGAAGTCTATCCGCAGTTTGTCCATCGCTCGAATAATTTTTAGTAGAGAGTAGATCGCATTACTGAAAACCAGGGGCTTATATTGACTGTAATCCTCTGCAGTAAAACCATGATCATGGATGATTCTGAAATAGAAAAACCAAAGACCAACTATGCTAAGAACACATTAGATTTTTCCTTGTAAACAGAGCGGGTAACCAAGTTGTAAACAAGCTTACGAAAATCGCCAAATGTCACATACTTCATTTGCTTTACTATAGTGCTTTTCCCCGATTCTCCTGCACCTGTAAGAAATAAGAATACAGTTGGATTGAGTCTTACGAGTGAATACAGCTCATAGAGGTCTGCAAACTCATCAACGCCGGTAAAATCAGCTAGAGGTCCACGCCTCCAGACTTCGCAGAGTCTGCTTTGGTCTGCAAAATTGCTCAGTTCAAACGCTCAAAGTTCGACAAAAATTTCATGTTCAAGTGGGAAAACATTCTAACGAATTAAACATTAAAGTCTCAATAAGCAGAGTCTAACCATCTGCTCGAGCAAAAACGAAGCAAAATCATAAAAAACACCAACAACCACACATCTACGAAGCTTACTTCAACCTACCAAGTAACAACAACTTCACTTCTCTTTCCGCGCGAACACTCTCCGCTTTCAAGTTTTTATCGATGGCTCTGCTCCGTGCAAGGGCTGCCCTATCTTCTGCACTCAAAGTGCAACCCATTTTGGCGGAAGGCCTAGACAGCTAGGTCTTTCACGTCCAAATAATGAGCATATTCGTAGAAACTACCTAACAGCCATCGGCATTGTACGAGGATCTCGAATGGTAAGTCTCTGTCCAGGCCCGCGATCTACGGATCCGCGGAGGCCGTTTGACATAGGGCGGAACATTAGATACTAACAGGGGTAGGGTTCGTAAGTGGATTAATAATCTCAAAGAATTGCTAAAAAACACTTCACCAAATAAGTTCAAAAATAGCGAAATGAAGCAGGCTATAAAATTTATCATTATCATCCCTCATCTTACAGAACCTAATCTTTTTCTCGTGATAACATTTACGCGAGAAAAGGACAGTCACTACCTCACGGACGGATTAACTTTGTTGCTCCGAAAAATGTAGTCTCTTCTTTTCGATCCAATCAGAAGGGGGCCTATAGAGAGGGCGACAAACAATACAATGGTCATAAAATAGCAAAGATATGTCGTGTCTTATCATATGACATGAGTTCTATAATTATCTTAAAGCGCATAGGTCCGTGCATGACATGGCAGGCATTCGGGAAGTAAAATCCCAATTAAACATTAGATCTTGCAAGTAGAAGCTCTATAGTGTTCTTAAATGGAATTAGGTCTTAATTTAGCTTTCTCTACTGCAAGGTTATGGCTGAGTGCCAGTTTACTGACGAACAAAACCAGTGGAAGTTTATTTAACGACTTTGGAACTTTGTTTTGCATCCTTGCAAACAAACGATCCTTTCCATGTGATTTTGACAATACAGTCTCTCGTGGACATCTAACTCATTGTCCCCCCCCAAAAAAAATGAAATATTCAAATTTAAAAATAAAAAATCATGGCGTTTCAGTAGTGATAAAATTCTAACCATGCAAGGCTCCCCCCCACCACCACCAAAGTAACTTCGACTAAAATTTTCGATGGATCCCACAAATAATATTTTTAGACAGTGGAAAGACCAGATCAAAATGTTTTCGAAACGCTTCATGAAAAATAACAAATCTGTGTCAACATTAAGAAACGATGAACTGCAGCCGGTCAAAAGCTGAAAAAATTTTCATTCACCATTGCATCACCGGTAGAGTAGTGGAACTTTCCAATAAAAAACATGGAATTATCATAGACGAAACATATTTAAGGAATTAAAGCAAAAGGTTCCTGTTTGCAGCCGATCAAAAGCTGAAAAAAATATTATTCACCATTACATCACCGGTAGAGTAGTGGAACTTTCCAATAAAAAACATGGAATTATCACAGACGAAACATATTTAAGGAATAAAATCAAAAGGTTCCTGTTTATACTGGCGACCGAGGAACAAGACAGGCGAGAAATACATACAAGTCGTAAAGATATGATTTTATGTCTGAGGTTTTGCATGCTTCCGCATTAAACTTAAACAGTTTTGTAGAGTTTATTCTAAATTATTATTGGTTTGAAATACAAAATAAGATAAAAACTACTCGCAGTTAGCCACAGCTAGTCGAGGCAAGCGGTGGCTCAACGCATAATAAAACATTTCAATTAAATCTAGCAACGATACAGCAATACAAAATGAAAAGAGCGATATAATAACTGACAAGTACCTTAAATGTTAAAGGGGCTTTATAACAAAATTGTTGGTAACTACCGTCGATTATAACAACTAAGAGAAAAAATATATGTGATTTACTATACATCTTTACAAGAACAGACCACCAAGCCTAAATACAAAAGGAGATAATCAATTGATTACTGTCCTAACAAACATTTTAAATTAAAAAAAATAGGAGATATGACATTTTTAAAAGTACTTTAACAAGACGATCGTAGCCAATTATATTAGCAATAGGAATCGTAAACTTCAAGAAAGTAGGAAGGATGATCGGGCAACGCATTTAATAAGCCGAACTTTCAAGACATTTTCTTAATCAGATCAAGTAAATCGGTGTAATAATTTGCCTCCAAGAATTTTTTTGAAGGAGCACACAGTGAATTTTTTGCCTAGATTTCTGTTTAGACGAATGAGTCATTCCATCATGGAGAATATTCCAGACCTTCGTGCCGTTTCTTGAAAAATAATTTACTTTGCTTGTCTAGTCTAGAGTACTCGAAGAATGAATTATCGCTGGGCGATGATCTTGTGTTATATGGGTGAATATTAGATTGATAATTAAATATATTAGTTATCGGAGGTGGCGAGGATGAATTATTAAAACCGTCAGGTATTGAGATGGCAACTGATTTAAAACGCAGAAGATCTAAAGATACTAGATTGGAGGAGACGAAGAAAGCTATTGCATGAGATTCATCAGTAATCACCATAGAACATGAGGTGGAGGGCTCGTTTTCCCCCCTTCCCCGGGCGATAAAAGATGGTCAGCCCCTAAACTTAATGTCTGGGTGTTCCTATATTGATGACAATCTCTCCTGCATGGAGTTTTCACATTGCTCACATCACCTAGAAAATAAGATGTCAATCGGCATTATTGTTAAACTAAGACGTTTCACACCCTGGTGTAACTTAGAGCATGTAAGCAGATCACTTATCCAGCCCTGTTTACTGTAGGGTGTGGTTGCAAGAGGCATGGGACTAAGTTTACAGAACTGCATAACAGAAAAAAAATCTTTTGGTTGCACTATGATAAAATTTACCTGATCCCTGTAATATTGTTATGATCTCCTCTTCTCATCGGCAGTTACATTGGCAGTCAATTTTCCATATTCCACCCATTATGCTCTGTTGTCGACGAGTCAGTTCCCCCTGAAAACCGTGTGATCCCCAAATTTCTTTCCCCCGCAGGCGAAATAATGACTGGCCTCTTAGTGACATAACTGTTGCGTTTCAAAGGAACGTTTGAATTTCTGTTATGTTCGAAAACTTTCAAATTGACTTGTAACGTACCTATTTTGCCCATAAATGATGTTTTTTCTGTAAACAAGAAAGTGGCATCCGTTTGGTGAGAAGTGCCATATAAAAGCTTTGCAACTCCAAACAGAACATCCCCGTTTAAAACAGGGACGAAGATGGAAGATTTGAGGAGATCACATATTGGTCAGATGTTCGTGTTTGGTAGTTTATTGTCCACATCTCTGACGATAGATAACCTTCTAACATTGCCCTTCCGTCATATCAAAGTTACTACTGATAAACCAATACTGCGCTTTTCGTGTGGCAATAATAACGCTATAACGCTTACAGCCTATATATATCCAAATACAGAAACGACATCATGTCTCTCAAATAAAACTGATGTCTTTAAGTACAAAATTCAATTGTCGTCTTGCTATTTGTGTTTATCTATTGTCAAGATCACAGGAGTATCTGTGTTTGTAAGCAGCTAGGTCCTTCAAAACAAGCTACTCAATAACATCTGGCTTCACAAAATTGGCAAAGTTACAGTTTGTATAGATGACATTGTTGCAGTTGTTGTGGCTCAGTTTTTCATTTTTGTTTTTGTTCGTGCATCGTGCATCGTGCACCCATGACAATCTCATCTGCTACAGACCTGATTTACGTAAGTTTTCAATTGGTAGGGTCACTTCATTCGCTAAGATAGAGTTAGCAGGGTTTGTTACCAGAATTTATCCGTTGAACTTCCAGAAGTGATTTACATGTAACTTCTCCCTGTAATATCCATATATATATATATATATATATATATATATATATATATATATATATATATATATATATATATATATATGTATATAAAACGTATTGAGCACTGTTCCACGCGAAAATCGACTTGCAGACTTCCTATATATATATATATATATATAATATTATGAGAGGAAAAAAGGACGTAACTACATTTCCCGACAAGCCTGTTTCGTGAATCGCTTCACTCTTCAGGGGTTTAATGTGAAGAGTGAAGCGATTCACGAAACAGGCTTGTCGGGAAACGTAGTTACGTCCTTTTTTCCTCTCATAATATTTATTCTGCTCTGCTTCAACGTATTGAGCACTGTTCCACGCGAAAATCGACTTGCAGACTTCCTATATATATATATATATATATATATATACATACATGTATATTATCCAGCACACAGGTAATGAGAATACTCAAACTTATCAAGAAGAATTTCTTATCTTGATCTAAAGCCAAATTCTCGTAATCAATTTACTAGGAACTGTGTAGCGGCTAAAGGGGAGAATTGACAATCGATCAGATCTTGGGAGGAGTAAAGGGTTAACAACAAGAGAACCCGAGCAGCCCATAGTTGGTCGTGAAAAAGTCATTATAGGAGGCTTACAGCGACAACATGATTTGTCATAGACGAAGTAATGAATTAGTTCTTAAACTAGAAGGTTGTGGTAATGACATGCGCCTCACTGACAAATCATCATATTTTGCGACAAATGAGTTTGCTGTCTTATCGTTCAATTGCCTAGTTTGTTTTTCGCAGCTGATTTCGAGAATTACATCGACAGCCTAGGGAAGCAATCTGCCTTTTTTTACGGACGACTGTGGCTGCAGTTACGTATGAGCAGTATATTACTTTCAGCAAAACACAGTTAAACAGTGATGTCCAGACGCGAACCATTGTTTGCCGTGGGAGTTATTTGTAGATAACGTAATTGGCTCTTAGCCAATGAAAATGGAAAAAACAAAAACAAAATAACAAAGAACTAAAATAAGTCTTATTCCCTCGACTGTATGTGATAAATAACAAAAACAACATGGGCGTGGCCAAAGAAAACTATCTCTTCTCAATCACAGTAGGCAAAAGAGGGTTGCAAAATCTTATCATGCCACTAAAATTACATCCGAAGTGGTAGCAAAGAGCCGGATAAAACTGTGCACTGTGTGATCAAGGTCTTACTCCAAAGTGGTCCCAAATTGGCATTTTTTACTGTCACTGTTCCAGTGATATTTGGGCTTTTATCCTGTGATTTCGGCATTGTATTGTTTTAAAGATAACTAAGAAGTTGTTAAGTTAGGTTTGAAAGTCAGAAAAAACCTTTAATAGAGGCGTTGAAGCCAGCAGAACATAAAATTACAAAGGAAATGTCCGGATCCTCCAATGAAGAGCCATCCTTGCGGCCCTTGTTTGGTCCCGTCACGCAACGCATTCGGTCCAAACTGCTTTCTGTGACGCGATCAAACATCGTAAACAAAGAACCTTTAGCAGCTTGTTGTTCGCGTTTCATCGCTTAACACTTCCTTTTTCGACGGTGTGGAAAAAAAAACGTTAAAACGAAATAAATAAACCAGGCAGTTATTGTAAAAAAGGACGATAATACTTTTTTTCTGTGTTATTGCTTCCCACATTATCAGATCTTTCCTGATTATCCCCGGTCTAACTTCCGCAAGCAAAAAAAAAATATTTAAGGGGATTAACCTTCGAAAGTGGCATCAACAAGATGTTTTTTCTTTTAATTAAGTAAGGGAGAAACAAAATTAACGAGGGAGTGAGAGTTTAAAAATTTCCATGACCTCTCAAACCTTAGTCCAACCCCTCATGAAACACCGAGCGAAATGTTAGGCTTAGCAGCCTGGCCGAGGAAGGCGGTCTGTTATTCACGAGAGGTCAGATTTAAAGTCGTAGTATGAAGTGGTTTACGATTCGCAATCCTTTGACAACTAAATCCGTAACCCAAACAAAAGATTTCAGCCGAAAACACTTGAAATGGTTGTGACCCTCTACATCATCAATTTCCCGCTGAAGAAAATTTCTCAAAGACATTTGACTGTACTTACAATATGAGTGGTGATTATCAGACTCGTTAGCTAGATAAAAAATAAATTGGGGGTCATAATTGTGGCGGAAAGGCACTGTTACCCAGCGAACGATTTATAGTTCAAAAAACAAATTCTAAAATGGTACGCTTGACTGATACACGAATTGTTGTTTACTTTACACATGGAACTGTTCTTGAGACCGCAGTGGGAGAGAATATTTTTCTTGTAGTTTTCCAGCCGGGCAAAACACTTTTTCCTGTTTTTGAAGAAATTTATCAAGGATAATCTAAGTAAACAGCAATAAACAAATCTGAACTTCACCACGGAAATTCGTTCCGCTCATTACGTCTCTGTCGTTTACATCGGGGTTTCGGGGTTTCGGGGTCCTGTCCTTAAATGGCGTCTTTCTATTGTGAGTTAGTCTTGAGACGGCAACGGAATGGAAACCTCCTCTGCACCGAGCTTGCGGTTGCGACTTTGAAGAATCTAGAGGGCACTTTCCGGTACAAATACTCCTCAATCGAGTTTCATTTGCTCTTATTTCCAAATCTTTTGGTGCACGTGGTCGTAGTTATGATAGTTGTTCCACCAACTTGTATACGAATGCAGTCAGTCGACGATAAATGTGCCAACTTCTAAACACCGGCAGCCACACCCTGTCGGGCAGACGTCCATTGTTTCGAACCACGTCATAAGATGGTATGTATGACCGCCATGACCACACGCCACACAGAAATTACTAGCGCCTTCAGTAACAGAAGAGAAAACAATTATTGAGACACATCATAATTTACAATTCATAGCACATAGATAAAATTCTATTTGTAGACAATCTATTCATTATTTCTTCTTATTATTATTATTATTATTGTTTGTTTTTTGTGACTGTCCATATTATTTCTTTTCTTTCCCTTATAGCAAGCCGAGCTCTGACTTTCCTTAAAATCTCGAAAAAGAAGAATCGTGACCACTACTCGTATCTTTCACGGACTGACTTATTGATTTAATTTGAAATAAAATTACTCTTGGAATAGCCTTCACATTTACCATTGCCACGGAAGGAAACGACTCACGCGCACGAAGAAAGACTAAAAGCAAGAGTGGTTCACGAGGAGAGCGAAGAAAGAAACTACTTCTAGTGCGTTTTGACATCAACAATCAAATGGAGAGCCCTTGATCAGTATTTGACACTAAATGTACAAACAAAGGGTTGGTAGCAAGCGTCAAGGGAAAGAACCTTCAAAATAAGGTATTTGTCCGCGTCTCAAAACGTCTATGGTTCAGCTACTTATTGTACCAGGCATCACATCAGGAAAGCGATGAAAAGGACATGGTATCCGTCGAGGCCACGTTAGTCACACACGCCACACACACGTCACGCAATCATCATCATGCTATTTAGCCGACTGCCAGTAAAACCCCCTTTACCTTACCTCTAACAGCCACATGACATATTACGCACTGAAAACCCAACGCTTTACAAGTGCCGCACTGAGCTCCACGAAACTTCTGAGGACAGTTGTAACAGCGGGTACTGAATTCTACGACCAAAAAAGACACAACATCTCACCAAAATGATTTGCAGATCGCGTGATGGGCTCTCGATCCAAAAAAATGTATCGATACTTAATTTAGGCTCTGGTTTCCAATGATTCAATCATATTGTTTCCATAATTCCGCTTGCAAAGCGCACTAGCAGAGCTCCATGTTTAAGAAAAATGGCATCCCATAGGTTCAAGAAGATTAAGTTATCACCTTAGTGCCGTCTGTAAGCAAAACTCATGCAGGGTAAGCAGCACTGCAAGTACCCCACGGAGTAATACACGTTGGTTAGCAGGTATATTACGTATTACAATACAAGTTAGTGCGTCATACGCTTTGCTATTCAAGTGTGACATTACAATAATGAATTAACACACCCTCTAATTTACAGATATTTCGCAAAAATTAAAAGAAATTACCGGCGGGGAATCCGAATAAAATAAAGGGCCGTAAAAATTAGCTTATTAAAACTCCCCTTTCACTTAGAGGCTTGCCTAAATCTTTTCGTTACCAAGACAAAAAATACAAATGATCACTCACCTACTCCCTTGTGTGGTTTTTGAGGTTCACTTAAAAATTTGATGACTTCAGCTCTCTTGCCCAGCAGATTCCAGCGGTACAGAACATCAGCATATTGGTTCATGTAGTGGTCATATAACCGAAGTTCTGAATTGTAAACAAATCTGAAAGGGATTCCCAGCATTAAGCTATGTTAACTAATATGCTAGTTTCGAGTAAGCTTACTGCTTGAAAAATGAAATAAGTGCAAGAGAAGAATATGGTGAGAAAATCATGGTCTGTGGAAATCGGAATTTTGGTGAATAATTTTTATCATAATACAAGATAGAAGAATTAAACAGAAAAAGAATTCCATCGATCTCATCCTAAATTTTTGACTGGGAACGATTCTGATTGGGTGAACTTCCCAAGTTCGAATTCTAAAATTTTCATGTGAAATTATCTTGTTCGGTTCAAGCCCAGGTCAGACCATTTTGTTGTACTCTTAAGCCCGACACTTTACGACCACGGTGCCTCTCTCCAACCAGGAGTAAGAATGGGTACCAGCGAAGGAAAGGGAAAGTGGAAGATAGGCTGAGAGGCATTGTCATTTCATGCCACAAAAACTACGATAAACTCCAAATGAATCGAGGGGTAAGTTTCTAAAGAAATTGTGGTGCTGCGTCGGTGGGCAGGGGTATCACAAGATAATTTGATTTTAGCAACTGCGTTGTTAAAGCAAAATCGCCACCGTAAAGGGTCTCTAAAGCCCTTAGTCGCTCTGACGAAGGGCTAACGCTCGAAATGTCAGCTTAGGAAACTCTTTACGATGGCCAATTTACATTACAACTCGGCTGATAAGACCAAATTCTCATTAAATAAGCTCTTTTTCGTTAGCATCGTGAGACTTAACGAAAGAAAATCTGTTTTTTTGTCTTACTTACACTATTCACCACAAGAGTTTGCTTTACTTCACATTCCTATCAGTGCAAGAGGATACTAAATCGCTAAACTCACCGACAATCATTCTCGTACTGCTTGCGTTGTTCTTCCTGCGGATTCTTTGCTCGAATGAACACAGGCGGCGACCAGCCACCACTATAAGGAAATGAAATCTCGCTCCACTGCTCCTCCGCTGGAGACATATCAACTGGCTCCTCTTCTATGACACTCCCAACAGATTTTGGTCGCTTATGGGACTTAATAAACAACAAGAGTACCGCATTGAACTTCACAGGAAATTTCAAATTTTTTTCGAATTTAGTTTACCTAAGAGAACCCTTCGTCATGTATCATCAAAAGCACAAATATGATTCGATAATTAGAATGTTCGTGGTCACATTCTTCAATGGAGAACAAAAGAACCAACTACGATTTAACTCAATCTATTGGTATGCCTTCGTATTTCAACTGGTAATGCAGTTGTAGCCCCTCCATGACCTGAATTTTCTCAACCGCCTCTTGAATATTATTTTTACCGTGGTAGTCGTGTTAATTTGAAAATCCACGAAAGATAATTCAGGATGTTCGACTTTCGACTTTCGACTTTCTATACTGACATTTAGTTTCCCACTTTCGTTGAATTCTTCTTGTATAGTTGTAATAAAATCGTCCCAATTGTAACGAAGACGTGTTCGTCACACAAAATCGCAGCAATAGGCATACAAAATTCTGACTAAAACGAAATCCGCCATTTCTACCCTTACTCATAGTTGCAAGTTTAAACGATATTCACTATGAATTTAACCACCTCTTAACGCACCCCCCCCTCCCCACTAAAAAAAAATCCTTCCAGGCCCCCTCCTTCATAAATGTTACCATGAGCCACTTACTTGATAAGGAGTATCAGTGACTTGTGATGATGACGAGCCATAAGTTAACGGCTTGCTTGATGCAATGACATCCGGCTTAAAGTCAACTTTAGGAGGTTTGAAAGGTTCTGGGAGGGAGGGGTGGGCCAGGACACAAGCCAGCATTCCTAACATCTGAATGTCCCGGATGCGTAAGTAGTAATCCATTCTGTTGATAGAAAGTGGAAGATGAGCAGCTACATATCTTAAAGCTCCATTTTTTTTTTGAGTAAAAGTAAGAGTATGGAAACCTAAATGAGCATGTGCTCTTTTTCGTTGCCAGATAAAACAGGGCCTGGTTTCCGAACGGTATGTTTTCGTAAATGATAGAAATCCTCGTGACGTCTTAGTACTTAGAGGAAGTAATATTGAGTTTGCTGTTAATTGAGGACTGCTTAGCAAGAATTAATTGTTTACTCACAGGGATTTGATCATTTTCCTTCCAAATGGATGTAGTGCCCAGGGCGACTCATCCATCGAATCAGTGGGTGCGAGCTTGTTATCGAGGACTGAGCTCAAAAGCGACCACGTCTGTACCAGGTCTTTGCGGCCAGTTGTCATTGCAGCCGCCAGATTCTTTTTACAAATTTCAGTGATTTTCTTTCCTTCAAGCCTTGATAATAAAAATAATAACGCAAATCAAAAAAAATACGGAAAAACGTCCCAACTTCAATGCTATCACGTGTGACACAAAATAAAATTTGGTATGTCAAACCAGGTGAGATTGTTACGAGCATTTTTACGCATCCATTCCAATTGATTTAAAATCCGGTTGTTTAGGATCAAAGTATCACAGCTTTTCTTGTTACAATGGTAGCAAGGCTAAGCCATTGTGACCTTTAATGGATTTTGATCCATGGTGTTTTGTGTACCTTTTCACCACGTTTTCCCGCACAATACGCTGTTACGTCGAAGTTCATCGTTCATCGGTCCTACTTACGTGTACGCTTGTCCCAACGACTGGTGAATGGGCATCAAAGCACTGACGTCACGAATCACAACGGGGCCAACATCACTATTCCTTGAGGTTACTCCACTGTATTTTTGTGCATCATTTAAATCCCCTTGCTGCGTGACACAACACAGTAAGTCAGTGACGAATGAGTAACTTCCTTTCACATTCAACAGGCAAATTACAGTGACAGGAAATGATAATAAAACCCTCTATCATTCTGTAATGAACTTTATTACGTAAGACATTCAATTGAAAAGTTTATTGATATTATAACACACTGGCGCGCGATATGAAGATATGAAATTTCTCTTCGAGTTGAACACGAGAGGAGAAATGGAAATCCTTGTAAAACACCCCACTTTGATGTAATAAAATTACTAAATATATTGGTCAGTTCACAGGAGTACCACACGCACGCCCTCGTCAACCCGATAATCCACCAAGCAGAAGGCCCACTTCTGTTCACCTGGTTAAACGACCTGAACATCATATTCCTTGCAGACGATTGATGTCCAAATGCACTAAATGTAGGTCTGTATTTCTGAAGCGAGCTGTTGATGAGGGGAGGAAGAGCTGGTCCGCTACTGGGGCGAGAGCTGTACGCAGAGAAGGCCGAAAGGGACCTGTATGAGAAAAACATCAACTCGAATGAAAAGCGGGAATTAGCCTGGATGTAAAAATTTAACTCGTATACTTTTCAATGAGTAACACCTTTGAACACCAAAAGATTCATTTGTGATAACTTAAGAAGGGAAATCGTCAAATCAACACACATCAAGGCTTCATTGGTTCCTTAAGAATATGACCCAAGGTAGCGATCAAAAATTGCCAAGGGGAACAGGGGGAACAGGGGGGAATGGGGAGGTAGGCTACATAGTGATGAGGACGCGTTAGTGTGCAGAATTGTCCCGAAAAATAAAACATGAAGGCACGCACACTAGGGCGTAATTAGTAGACACAAATCCGAGAACCGGTGGGCTGATAAACAGGTGTTCAAATAACGCTAGGAAAGGGAGAATAGATTGATGCAAATTTCAGATAAACAGTATTTCTCCTCCCGATTTCAATATATCATCCTACGAACAGATATTCATTTGAAACTGACAGTTATGTGTTGTACCTGGGAGTTGGCTCTCCACCAGAACCCAAACGGCCACTATACCTTCCTGGTAAATTGAAGCACACAAGTAGTCCTATAAAAAAAAGAGTTATAGTAAACGCCATCTCTTGGTCATTTGGTTCACAGAAAAATTCCGTAAAACGATTAAACATGTCAAAGGAATATTACTAATGATGATAGTAGTAATACTACTAATACTTGTAACATCAGTAACGATGATGATGATGATGATGATGATGATGATGGCGATAATGATAATAATGATACGAAAAACAATTTTACTCGTGACAAACACAAATGACCAAACAAACCAAGCAGATCTCTAGTCAAAATGAGCCACCGGTGCAAGGACAAAAGATCAACTGAGCACAATGCAAAACACGACTTGTTTGACTTCTGATTGGGTCAAGAGGAACCCACGAGATTTCAAAAGCGTATCGATACAAAGATAATTTAAAGCAAAAACTGTCTAGTGTTAATTCAAGTTGTACATGTAAAAAAATTAATACAAATTGTTCGGCCTCTCACAACATGCCCCCAAAAGGCACGTCATCTACCCCTAAACTTACCACATGCACAAAACTTGGCCCCAGAGGTGCGCGGGAATGGAACGGCTGCGTCCAGGTAGCTACCATACGAGACTGGGTCGAGTCTGCCGTGAAACGGGGGTGCAGAGGACGCCAATGGGTCCGTGGGTAAATCTTCTTGAAGCTAAATTAACGAGATTTCTTAACGTCACGGCAAGAACTGGAAACATAATATGCTAGTGGCTTGAGGCCAGAAACCACAAAAAGAAAGAACTCGACTGTGCGTCGAGTGCGAATGTCAAACTAGTAAGATACTCCGAAACAAACAATAAAACATCGCGTCAAAATTGGATCAGGATCGGAATTCTAACATTACACTCACTCATCTCGACAACATAAGTGGCTTCGCCTCCTATGAGAAGCAGTAGCCACAAAAAAATAAATCAAGCCATGAATCACTCTTCTCAATATACTTGAAAAAGATTAACAGGCTTAGAGACCCTAACTTGAGAGAAACCACAGGTGCAAAGTTTGATTTGTAAGAATTTGGTCATAATTAGAAAGCAAGATGTGATTCCATGACGATTGACGCACCTATTTGGACTGAAGGTAGTTAAGGCCATTTTTTAATCAAAACATCAGTATCGTGCCTCCTCGCCCTTTAGCTCCCAGATGTGATTAACAAGTAACCTATCCCCGAAATATCCATACATTACTCAGCAAAGAGGTAACGAAAATACTCAAACTTGTTAGGTTTAAGTTGTTGTCTTGATCCAACACCAAATTCTCGTAACGAATTTAAAAGGAAATGTGTAAGTGCTGGTGGGGAGAATAAACAATCACATCTTGGGTGTTAAAGGGATCAATGTTATGAAAAAACGACGGCGGATAGTCTATCTTACAACTTCAAATCAAATTTCAATAATTTGAGATCTTGTAATTTAATTTGCGACTTTCTACACTACAGTTCAAAACTTAGCACAAACCTTACCTCACCTACACGAAAGCAGGCTGGCTATAATGAAAGGAATTCTGTATACGGAAAGTTCAGTAGCTCACCGTTAATTCTTCAAGATGGCTGACGAGTTGTCTGAGGCATGGCTCAAGACATGTTTGGTTTGACTTCACATGCGTCTGAGCCGTCTCACGTAAAGTCTAAAGAAGGGGAACAAATACACCCTTAGATCAATATCCCTACTCTCCATACTCTTCTCTAGACATTTCCCTTGGCACTAGAAAGGAGAATTTGTTTGACACTCAAAGCTTCTTGAGCCGGCGATCATTTCCTTATATTCTCATGATCTTGATGAATGATTCAGCAGTATCACTGTAAGGAGAAATTACACGCCGGTCACTCTCAGGGTGTACAGGTTTAATTGTTAAAAGTGAAATATAGCGAATCAGCGCTGGAAAACGCCAGTGTCTGATTGGACTCCAAAGGGGGTGCTGTTACTCTTCGACACTCGTCTCGGATTCCAATATATCATAACAAGTCGTTTCAGCCAAATAACTTATTTTTGCTGCTCTCTCTCGTTATTGCGCTAATTTAACCCTTTAATCCCTTAGAGTGATTAGCATCTAATTTCTCCTAACAAAATCATCCTTGAATCAAGCTATAAGGTCATGAGAATCAAGGAAATGATCACCAACTAAAGAAGATCTTGATTGTTAAACAAATTCTCCTTGTCAGCACCTTAGTATCGAGAGTTAGTGACACTTAAAGCATATCTGCGACCGATCTCCTCCAAGACAGAGCTTTCTCAAGTGTTTCTATACTGATATCCGAGCTTACCTTCATGAGCTTGGTTTTAGTACTGACGTCAATGGAGGTATCAGGCGTAAACTCAAATGATGGTATGGCATTATTAGGATAGTGAGATGGGAAGTTTATTACCAGCGATACAACATTACGGCCATTGGTAACGTTCACCGTACAGCTCCTATGTCCAGCGTCCATCTGAAAACAAAGGACAATTACCTTAGCAGCCTCGTTTATATGGGAGACGCGCTGGCCTGGATGTTAACTATCTATATCTAGAGGTCCCATGCAACTCGAGAGCTGGCCAGGTCGCTAAGCTTTGTACTTAGGATAGAGACTTTAAATAATCTCACAGTGTCTCTCTTCAACGAGGAGTACAATGGGTGCTGCCACGGACCGCTTCGCTCGAGCGCACTTGATCAACGATATTTCCGTGTGAACAGTCGTTTGGTACAACCTGGTGATTACTTAACTAACCTGACTAAAGATAAAACGCAAATAATATACTCTTGACCTCCCGTATACCAACAAGCAACTCTCCCTCGCAACCTCTCTCCATATCCTTATGAATGAATTAAGAGAATTAGGGTGATATCAAGATAGGAGCCTCAAGTTGATACGTTTATGTGTTAACATCACCTTTTTGCTGGATAATGTATTCATATAGTAAGGAGAAATAACATGTTTAGGGCACGGAGTGTCGGAAAAAATCTTGAATAGCTTTGGTTTTGCTCTTACTTCGCTCTGCGATTGGTCTTGAAAACTCGCGCCACTATCTCAACCAATCAGATGCAAAACAAAAACCAAAACCAATCACGACTTGGTCGCCCGCGTTTTCCCGCGCCTTGGGCAGTTTGGTCGATTTTACTTTGAGTTCATATTGGCTCTTAAAGGTATTTCCCTTCCTTCTGATTGGCCTTGGATATTACTTTGGTTTCACAACACCTAATCGGAAATAGCTCTAGCAATTGTACCATTCAAGGGTTCAGAGGGATTAACACTTACCTGTTCAACAATGACATTAGGAATATTTACGTTAATAAGCGCAAACTCCTGCTGTAAAGTGTGTGGTTGCACAGCCATGTCAGGGATCACATCAACCGAATCAATTATAACAGAATCTAATAAGACGGACTCAATCAAATCGTCACGCTTGGAAGGACTTGATGCACTTGCGGTTTTAGATGGAAAATTAACCTCAACATCTCCATTACAGGCCTGTTAATGAGAGAAATGGAACAACTTTTAATCGAATATCGAAACTGATCAAAGATTGCATTGGTTTTGCTCTACTTGGCTTAGTGATTGGTCCAGAAAACTCGCGCCATACTCTCAACCTACCAAATTAAAAAAAAAACCGATCGACACTGTGACCCGCGTTTTCCCGCGCTTTTGAAAGTTTGCTTGTTTCTACTGGGTTCTTATTGGCTCCCTAAGGTGTTTTATTTCGCTCTGATTGGTCGTTTGAATCGGTTTTGGTTTTGAGACACTCAATCCTAAAGCGCTCCATCGACAACAGAGAGCATTTCTAGTGAATGCAGTAAGGCAAAAGTTAAAGCAATCACAGTGGCCATTAAAAAAACAAACAAACAAACCTACAAAACAAAACAACCAAGGAAAAGAGTGATGACATGGAGCCAATTAAGACCTCAGAGTAAAAACAAGCAAACATCCTAAAGCATGGGAAAACGCGACTGACAAAGTCGCAATCGATTTCAGTTTCGCATCTAACCAGTTAATAACTGGGGCGAAAGCGTGTTTTGCTTTACAACACTCGCAACGCGTAACGAAGAATACGCAATGCAAGCCACGGTACCGAAAAGGTGTAAAACAAAAACATCCTACTTTGCACGGTGAAAAAGAAATGGCTCAGAATAAAAATAATTTTACTGGAAATACCTTCCGTTATATCTTACAACCGTTTCTAAAATTTCCGCTTCATCCAAAGGACCTAGAGCACGATTCGCGCACCTTTTAAAAATAAAGCCGAAAAGTTACTAGGCCTGTTTGCAACTCACTTCAATCCTCTCTATGCTTAGTAAGGTACTAAGTTTTAATTTTTCTTCCTTACTGAAAAAATACTTTCAGTCTCTATTAAGTAGAAAGTAGAAAAAATAAAAATTCAAGATATCCCAACTAAGCTACATTTTTCTCATCTTACCATGATCCATTTGGATTCCATCGCCCACATTCGCAAGGTTTGGTCTTTTCCCCAGGTGATGAGCTGAAACTGTTCCTCATCTGAAACAGAAATCACTCATGTCATTAGCTGGCATTCATACCAGTTATCCTCTATCACTTTTCTCAAATCAACCGTCCCACTCCCCTTTAACTCCTCTCTCCTCTCATTTTCACTTTTTCTTGTCCCATTCTTCCCCTTTCTCCCTTTTATCGCCTCTCTCCTTTCCTCCCTCCTCTCTATCCCTTTGCCACCCTGCTCTCCCCTCCTTGCTCTTTCCCCTTCTCTCTCCTTCCCTCTTTCTCCTCTCTACCCCCCCTCTCCCCTCTGTCGCAGCTCTTCCCGTAACAATTTCACCTTCCATCATTTGAGATCTCCACTGGAATTCCAAAACAACGTCACTGTGACCAACAAACGTATTCACTTGGGACGACACGGGTGAGCTGATGTTCCACAGAGATAAGCTATTTTCTGTGGTTCGCCTCATCTGAGGTAAAGTGAGAGTTACGAGACCTTCACCAAATGGCTGGAAAGAAATTGAAAAACTTGAATTGACAGAGAAAGCAATGTTTTCTGGAATCATTTCCATAATGTTGACATGCAAGTTAAGTTGGCTCTCTCTACTTGCTCACAGTGTTTGAAGAGTACATCTAAAAAGATAAGCAGACTTTTCTGACTTTTGTACAGGATTGTATCTTGCACTCCTGGTCGCAAATAATTAGGAAACTATGATTAAAATGCACCGTGGGTATCCCATCCTCTCTGCCTCTAAATTTGCTTTTGCATACCACATTTCCTTGAATAAGCACCCATGCTCTCATAAACACCCTACCAAAATAAGCACCCACCCCCTAGACCATAATAACAAACAAGTGCCCCCCAAAAAATAAGCACCCCACCCATCAGTTTAGATTTCTAGTCATCAGCTTACAGTCCCTGAGTCTGTGAGGATGGGAAATTCTGTTTCTAATACCACTTTATCTAAAACATTTTAAGCTTCAACTATAGCTGGATCAGTACAGGTTGATAATTTCCTTAAAAAGCACCCTCCCTCCAATAAGCACCCTTCCTTTTAGTCACATTTTAAATGAGCCACCAAGGGCTTATTCAAGGAAATACAGTATCTAAACTTTGCATAATTCAGACAGTCATTGAAAAGGGGGCTGTCTCAAAAAGTCAAAAGATCACTTATTGATGGTAAGATTGTTTCTCTTGTCTTGATGACAAGGGCATTGGTGATGTAGGAGATTGATTATTTTTCACACAGGGTATTGTTCCATAGTTCACAATGATAGTAATGGTAATTTGTGTAGCCATACACTGTGTTACTCTGAGAGTCTAAACAGCATTCATTTCATGACCCTAACACCAAGATTTTTTTACAAAAAATTTGAATGGATTGAAGCTGACTGAAGCCCTTACAGTGAATCTGGCCCGCCACACAGGAGCATTTGCAGTCAGCTTCAGCTTGTCTTCTGGCTGCCGAGGGTTTTCTGTACTCCACAACTAAGTAGAAGAAAAAATTAAACATACAAATGTGAAGAACTTTCTTAAAGATTTTCTGGAAATATGCTTAAGTGTTTTGAGTATGTTTAAAATACCAAAAGGAATTCCCTTTACGGATGAAAAAACTTAAGATAAAAATTCTCTAGTGTTGCTGAACACCAAAATAGTGTAATTATAAATATATCACAAGACTAAAACAAAATGGGACAGTTGACCCTTAACTCCCTTACATCAGTATGCACATTCTTGAAATTGTCCTCTGTACATTTCCCACATGGTACTGATAGGGACATTTCATCCAAAAATCAAGAGCTGACCTCAATATTTGATTAAGAAGTAATGCAGTAGGGAGAAATTAGACCCTTGTCACTCTTTGGTGTTTAAGGGTTGATGACAGTGAAGAATTACATGGACTGCAAAAATTTAAGCTTCAGTTTTCTAGTAGAACTAAAACTGACAATGCTCTTTTACACAACTTTAAGACTAACCTTGACAGTAGAGTCTTTACTGCATGTTGCGAGCATTGTTCCACTTGAGCGAGACCAATCCAATCCATAAATCTGAGAAAGATGGGCTGTGACGTACACCACAGGGGTGTTACCTTTCTATAATCAAATGATGCAAACAATAATTACTGCACTTCCAAAGAGCATTTTGTTGCTGAATATCATTAACAATAACAACACTGTATGTAAATGCTTTTGCATAAGTTCCCATTCTAGCATTCCTGCACATTAGGTTCCAGTTTCTCTCAGAACAGGAGTCACATGTCACTAGCCAGTCATGTGTTTTTAGTATTCCAAACAAAGTTGAGCCCTGCATTTAGAAGCTAATTTCCCTTAGATTTTGAAACTTATTGTATGTTTTGGTCTTAATACATGAGTGATGAAAGTTTATGGAAGGTTCAACAGAGGAAATTGTAATCCAGAGTCATAGTGAAATTAAAGTTTCTGTAAACAAAAGTTCAATTCAACAGACAGTCATGTGAAACACTTCTATACCCACAGCTACACTGTATATTTACCACAATAGATAACCACACCCTCTTTAATATTACATCAATTGCACAATGTGATCAACAAGCATTTTTAGGTCAACCAATATCATCTCAATGGCAGTTTGTCCTTTGAAAATTTAGCGAGGAAAAGACACATTAATATCAATAAAATATCAGTACCCTCAAGTCCCAGATTCTCACATCTCCTTCATGGCTGGTGGCAAGCACATGTCGATTTACTCTGTTCCATTTGACTTGAGATGCCCCAACTGACATGAAATGAAGTTAGCAAATCTCTAATGAAAAATTGTTCACTAAAAGTTAACAAATTCTTCAAGGGCATAACTCTTCCCTAAGATTTCAGCTATCTATAATTATAATTAAAGTGCTGTCAATCTTAACCAAGATATTTCCAAGATGGCACAATTATCTTGTCTATACATACCAATGGCCTGAAGTGAGCTGGCTGGCTTTTTTGCATCCCTGTAGACAGTGCAAAAGGGCAAATGTATGTAACAACTTGTCTTATGACAGTGAATGGGCTACATAAATAAAAACAGCTCCTCAACAGTGTGTCATACATTTATGGGTGGTTTCAACCCTTTTACCCCTAAGATCTCATCATAATAATTCTCCTTACTGTCTGTCATACAATTTTTATGAGGATAGTTTGGAGAATTTGGTATTGGATCAACTAATAATCCCCTAATTGATATTTATCTCTACTCTCACCACCCGTCTACCTGACATTGTATAGATATTGCAAGGAGAAATTTTTTCTTGATCACTCATGGGTATAAAAAGGTCAAGTCACAAAGAGAACAGACATGAGAAGATACAGATTTTGCCAATTGTGGGTGTCAAGCAATTCTTCCCAAACTTTTTTTTAAGGTGATGATCTAACATTCTCACATGTATTTCCATAATCACAAAAACTGCCATACCTTAAGTCCCAAATATAAATGTACTGGTCCATTGCACAAGTGGCAAGAAGCTGAGGGTCAAACCATGACCAGTTCAAGTCACTAGAATCAAACAAATTAATAGTTCCTCAGTGTTCTCCTTTTCAGGTGGTAACTAGTAAAATTTACCCCATGTAGTATTCCTTAACACCACCAAAAATTGCTTGAAATTTTTAAAATTCAATCGCTAAAAGGATTGCTCAACTGGTGAGTCACTTTTGTAACTTCCTTCCTTCTTTTCAAAATAAAAGTTTAACAACAACAAGAAATAAACTTTCTCATAAATGAAAAAGTGAACATGTTCAATCAAACAGCTTTTTGAATGGAAATAATGTCCACAAACAAAAATATACTGTGACAGATGAGTGAAGATGCAGTTTCTAGCCTGACTGAACTCTGTATTGAAAGATTCAGGTATAAAGCCTTAACATCAGTATACACATTCTCTGCACTTTTCATTGCACATTTCTTGTGATATTAATAAGGAGAACTTTTCAAACAATTAAGAGCTTCAGTCTATAGCTTGTGATCATTTCCTTCATTCTCATAACCATGATGTTTGATTCAGAGGTGAGAGAGACTGTAAGGAGAAATTAATTGGAAGTAACTCTTAGGGGTTTAAGAGTAAAGCTCTAGCCTGGTCACTCTCATTGTGCCTGTTTCCTCATGAGGGAAAAGTTAACTTCAGCAATTTCTTGGAAAAACCATGAAAAGGCTAAGGGTGTAAACTGCACTAGAATAGCATCCTATCCAGTGACTGCTACAGAATCTATGGCGCAGTCTGGGGATGTGGGTCACTTACAGGCACAGACCCAGAAAATTTCTAATAAGGGAGGGGGGGGGAAGTCAAAATTTTGATTCAGAAAGCACTAAAACTGTTTTTGTATCCCATTTTTATTGCTCTATATCTTTTCTAACAAAACCAAATATCAATACCATTAATAAGTTTGGAAAAAAGAACAAATGTAAAGAGAAAAGAAAGTAGTTACCTTATTGATCTTGTGTGGCCCCTAAGAATGTGTTGTTGTAAGTCATTACCATCTCTCCAGGACCAAATTTCTAGTTTTTGGTTGGACTGCAATACAACAATAAGGCAGAAGGTCACTTAATCTCTTAAGATTTACAAAATAAAATGAACTGCTGCATGAATACAATACAGAAAATTCAGATATGCAGGTAATAGTAAGAATTTTACACCATTAGTAATAATGATAATAATAGTAATAGCGATAGTACAATGCAATAACACAGATATATTTATGGTCAAAATTATACAAAAAATAGAACACTCACTGTATAAGCAAATATATGAGCATGTGTCAAATGAGGATTCCATTCCACGGCACCACATTCCCATTTGCTGTTCCTTGACACCTTTTTTGTTACTGTATGAGGAGCATTCAGGTCAATAAATGCTAAACCTTTCCGTCTGTGGGAAAACCATATCAGATACAATTGAAAATTATTAATAAAAAAAATGCCCTTTCTTTTCTCTTTTAACCCTTTTCCCTTTCCAAATTTCCCTTTTTCACTTTCTGATTTTCACTTTTCTGAGACTAATTATGTTCACTTGTAACTTGATAATTAAATTTAGAGCAAACTCTAGGAAAGCTTCATGACAACCCTATGAATGTGGGATAGCCTATTCAGCAGCAGGGTTGGTATCAAGAGGGGCCATGCACAAATTAAAACATAATAAATGATTGTTGAAAGACTTTTCCTGTGATTTCAAATTTTGACAATCATGCATAATGCTTGTGAATAATGTTCATTCTTGATGTATTTTGAATTAAATTCATTTTACTCATTTTACCTTTGCAATGTTAAAACAAGATTGCCAATTTAGAGAGCGTTAAAATGTTCAGGTGCATTCAAAGCATTGGTATGATCACAAACGGTACGAAACGCGCAAAACACAAATACGCCACTAGCCGCAAAGACGGGCCTGAAAATATCACCATGGAAAAAGTTACTTACGATCCTAAAACAGTAAACTGGCCCGTGCAATCCACAGCCATGACTGTAGCCTGGAAGGATAAATGTTCCCTGGTAAGTAAACCACGGGAGTATTTTACAAAAGTTTAATTTACGGCTCACTTGCACAGGTATGAACTACCGGAAGTACACTATTCCAAGTTTGGAAAATTTGAGATACTTAGAAGAAGGAGATTTTTATCGGGTGACCGGGTGAATCAACATGAAAATTCATATTTATTAGCTGTCCGCCTGCCTGGGCGGATCGAGTAGGGGGCGAGTACAGCATAACAAATCATTGCAGTCGTCTGCCCTCAGCAATCGTATAAACCAACTGATTGATTGATGTGCAAGATGGACCAACGGGATCAACTTGCATGCACTTAGTCCACATAACAATTACTATTACTACCATGCAGGAGGTATGTAGTGATATTATTTCCCATAAAAAGAAACTCACGGGCCAGTCTTTGTATGCTGCCACAAAATCTTGGTAGACCGCCATCTTGGATTGACTCACGTGAGACTCCACTGATCAATGTTGTGATAGTGCAGGCTCGGTATTACGCACACGATTGACGGCGACGTTCGGCGACGACCCCCAAAGATATTCGGGAAGAATTCGTAGGTGGAATTTGAGGTACCAGAATTTTGGAGCGAAAGAGTCTGGTCTCAGAAAAGAAACGATGATTCTACAACGTCTAGAAAAGGAAAAGAGAAAGATTCAAGAGGCGAGTAGTTACGAAAATAAATTTATTTTCTTACTTAAAGTATTCTTTCACAAAAAAACGAGAACAGATCAAGTGAAGTATAAGTATATTTTCAAGAAACGAAAAAGACTGATGCTTTTCAAGGACGATCTTAGCATTCAGCAACGGTTTGAAACTGTCGAGATCAATATCAGTAATTAACGTTCCCAATTAAAAAATCATAGGCAGTTGATAAACAATAAGCTCTTTTAATTGGCTGAAAAAATGTTTATTGACAACCGCCATATCATTATTAACCACTGAAACAATATTCTTTGTCTCCTTCAAATCTGCTCTTTAGCATGTCGCTTAATACCTCTCTTTTCGTTCCTTTGAGGGGAAGGTACAGTAGTTTATATATGAAAATATAAACTAATGGATGTTGTGTGACAAACACCAAATTTTAAGAGCTAATATTATAAGAAATGTATTGCAGACTGTGAGTAGAATTAATATTTTGATCTTGAGAGGGAAGGTTAACCCTTGAATGCTTAAGAGTGACTCACATCTTGTTTCTCCTTACATAATCATTGCTGAATTGCACATTAAGGTCACAATAAAGGAATTGATCCACATTTAAAGAAGCTCTTGATTGTAAAACAAATTCTCCTAGTCAGTTCCACAGGAGATGTTCAGAACAGTGTGGAGAATATGCATAATAAAGTTAGGTTGTAAAGGTTAAAAAAAGAGAAACTTTCTTTTCTTGTCTCCATCTGTCATGGTTCATTATTTATGCTAATTGTATGCATGCTGTCTGCTAAACAAGGAACTCTATATTTATTCATTTTTATTTTTAAAGCAATATTGGCTAACCCATACCATAAAGTATCACTTGTTTCAAATACAGGAGCAAAAGTTTCTGGTTTTTTTGGTTTAAGAGAAGACACACGAACAATATTGGAAACAATTGTTTCCTTTTTTCTTCCAGAGATGACAAACTAAAACTTTGGCACAACTCTTGTTGTAACTTTAGGATTGTAAATATTATTGTTTTAAGAGGAAGTGTGTCTCACGTGAAAGGATGTCAAGGTTCATTCTAATCAAAACTTCAAACTTATATCACACTGAAGAGTAGTTATTTTCACATATAGCTTAATAACTTAACAGATATAGTTAAGTGTTACTAAAACCTGTAATAGTTTTTCTTGGATTGAAATAACATTGCGTATTTGGGGTAAAGCACACAGTTTGTTTGCATTCACATTTGTCTCAGTGCTTTGTTTGGAAACATTCTTTAGGTGAGTAAATTCATGCTTTGTTTGAGATAATTGAAAGTTTGAATTCCTTAAATTCCTTGTCTGTCTATTGAATTGGATAATTGACATGTATATTGTTGATAACCTTTTTTGCCCCTGAGGGCAATTAGAAGCAGGCTGACATTTCAGCAAACTTGTTTAACATATTTTGAGATTTAAGAGCAATGCTTTCAAATCTGAATGACACACTGTCGCTCTGTTTGTGCCTTAAATAATCACTTGTCTCTTGAAGAGTGTTTTTCAACAGTTTAGCTTTCAAATCTGGCCAAGAATTACAAGAATGTTCTTCATCTAGTGATAAGTTTCTGTTTGAATGCGATAATCCTTAAGAAAAGAATGCTTGTGGTATGTTTTACCAATTATGTCCTCACTCTCACAATCAACCCTTGTATGTTTGGTTAACTGAGTAGAGTATTTATAAATTACACAGCATCAACAGAAAATTCCACCATACCCACTTTCATTAAATTTTGTGGTCTCATTTTTTCCTTGTTGTGGTTTCAAACAGTTTGCAAAAATGATCAGTTTTTTATTTCTTATGACCTGTCTAAATTCCATTTTACATTGGCCTTTAAAATGGAAAGATATGTCACTGTATATGCTATTGGAGATGGCACTCAATGTGCCTTGAAGTAAAACCAATGAGTGTTTAGATTAATTTTAATCTCATCAGCTGTGTCCAATTTCTCAAAAAGAGGTTAAATCAGGGTCACTGTGTTCAAGTCTTGTCTGCATGCTTCTGTCTCATGGTCCAAATTGAAATCACAAATTCTGTATTCTTTTCATAAACTTCAAAATGGAACACAACAACTCCAACTGCCAATTTTCAGGTAACATCACTATAAAGAGTATCATTGTATAAATTGTTTCTGAATGGTGTTCACTGATGGATACACAATGAGTCTTTAATCAGATCAGCGTGAACTACTGAGGAGTATTTTTTCCTCACGGTTTTCTTCTGGCTTCAGATTTCTGTGAGCAGTAAAAACTCATACCACTCCCTCCAGTGTTATGTGATTAACGAAATTATCTCCTACCAGATAGAACACAATACTATCGTCACATTGTTCTTATACTTTTACAACTGGAGGTGAAATATTTGCACCTTCTGAAATGCCATAATTCAAATTTCTTATTGTGTATGTGTGTACTAAATTTGAGATTTAGGGAGGTTTCATGAGTTTGTTCCGTGTACAAAGAGTCTTTGTCAGGTTTGAGAAAGGAAGAGCATCACTCTTTGATGTTCTTTCAATGATGTGTTGCCAACATGAAGTATTTTAGAGTTGCAAACACTAACATGTTAAAGCGGCTGGTGCTGGTTAACAGTTTTCCGGGATCCCAAATTGGGCAATGTTCTTTTATGCACTATTTTTTACAAAAATTCAGGATGCCTTATTCCTTCAAAATAAAGCATAATATTTCTGACTGAAAAGAGGTCATTTTTTGATACCCCATTCCATTTATTTCAGTAAATTTTAATAATGTTATCAAATTCATTTCTGCAAGAACCCTATGATAGCTTATGGCATACAACACAGGGTGTAACAGATTGCTTTTTAACACATTTTTTTTGAGCAAATTCTCCATGAATTATTTCAAATCTGTCAAAAATTCAAAGCTTTCACACCTTCCACCATGCATTTTACTCTGAATCATTTTATGAGATTTCCCTTAACCCTTTACACCCTAACATCAGTATGCAAGTTCTCCATGTACTGTTCTCTATACATTTTCTGCGGTACTCGCAGGAAGAATTTGTCTAACAATCAAGAGAATCTTGAGCTTGTGATCATTTCCTTTATTCCCATGACCACAATTTTTGATTCAAGAATGATGCACCATTCAAACAAATGTGGCCAGGTGGATAACAAATTTAAAAAAGTAATTTTTTTTCCTTTACAGGTGTGTGTCACAACTGTAAGCAGCAAATAAATGGCTGTGAATCAGCTTGTCTTGCCATGGAACATCTATACCATGTTCATTGTTTCCTTTGTTGCTTTTGTGGTAAGATGATTCTTCAATTGCCTTATTATTACCATAAGGAATTTTGTGGTTCAGAAATTTTCAATTTTAGCTATGATTTGCATCCAGATTTGACATAAAGCAAACACAGCCCTTCCCAAGAATGTATTGGAAAATGCATTTTCAAATTCACCACACCTCAAAACAAAATTCCTTCCCCCATTTAATGAGGTAGAGTTGAAGCAGGGGTATAAGGTTCAAAACTGGTGGTAAGTTAAAAAAAATTAATCAATTTAGAATACTAGAGAAGGGTTTTCTCGTTGTATTGTTTGACATCAAAGCCTGTCTGAAGCAGTTTCATTCTCCATCTGATTGACATCCACCTCTGGAACCATCTGTGTTTTTCTTCCCTACTGAATCAGGCGTTATTAACAGTTGCTTTGGTTTTGAACTAATCTTTCACACTTCCTTCTCTCAGGAAACCAGTTGATTGGTCAAATATTTTATAATGTTAATGGAAAGATTTACTGTGAACAGGATTATAAGGTTTGTAACATTAATTCATGTCTCCCTGCCTGAATTAACCCATTACACCCTAACATCAGTATAAATTTTCTCTCCACTGTTCTCTGTACATTTCCTATGGTTCTGACAAAAATAATTTGTTTTAACAATCAAGAGCTTCTTAAGTTGGTGATCATTCCTTCATTCTCATGACCTTAAAGTTTGTTTCAGAGGAGATACTGATAAGAGAAAATAGTTACTATTTTAGGGGTTAAAGGGTTAACTGCAATTGGGCTATTATAACAAACTGGACTTTTTCAAAAATAAGGCTATTAACCCCTTTAACCCCTAAGAGTGACTGTCATCTAATTTCTCCTTACAATATCACCACTAAATCACACATTAATGTCATGAGAATAATGGAAATGATCACCAACTAAAGAAACTCCTGATTGTTAGACAAATTCTCCTTGTCAGCACCTTGTAAATGTACAGAGAACAGTATGGAGAATATGAATGCTGATGTTAGGGTGTAAATGGTTAACAATAAAATTGATAAGTAAATAGAAAGACTCATTAACCTTTTACACTCTAACAAGGGTATCCACTTTCTCTGTTCTGTTCTTTATACATTCTCTATGGTGCTGACCTAGAGAATTTGTTCACCTATCAAGAGCTTGTCATTAAATCATTTCTTTTATTCTCCTGACATTAATGTTTGACCCAGCAGTGATACTGTAAGAAGAATTTTTTCAATTACCTTTACATTCCAAATTTCATGAGAAATCATTCAAATTACTTTCCTCGATGTCAGTTTTCTGCACTGTTTGGGATTAACTGACATGCTCTTGGGAAAACTGAAATCTTCACTTGTTATCATAAAGAAAATGTATTTAAAAGCACTCAAAAATTCTTAGAAGACAGATGTCACCAGTCATTTTTTTATTTTTCAGAATCTTGGTTTTTCTCCTAACTACTGTGATATTTGTGGAAAAATAATTGAGCTAAAGGTAAGTTACCTCTTTATCTGTTGGGATAGTGATTTATCTACCCTTTATAAAACTAGGCCCTGGAGACTGGTCATAAGCTTATGGCAGTTATTGTGTTACTGACAAGTTGCCATTTTACATTTCAGATAGTCTTGTCACAGTACTCAATAAATCATAAGGCTCAATTTATTTTTTGGTGTTGACTGTGGCTTTCAATTGCCATTTATTTTTTTAGCAAAATGGGACAAAGGCTCAAAATGTTTGGCAATGATAAAATTGTAATTTGACAAAAACATTGAAAGCTTTCAAAATAATGGACAAAAACTAATAATTAGGGAAAGATGTTTTTCATCTTGTCACAAGAATGAGACAAAGAAAAATTCTGAGGAATTCATGGGGTCTCAGGATTTTTTCTCTGTCCTAGGCTTGTGAAGTCTAAGTCGAGTTTTGATACAACTTCAAATTTTAATAGTGTTTAAAATATATACCAGAAAATTTGGAAGGGAAATCTAACACTCTATCAGAGGTCAGTCAAGTCCTCTCTGCAGACAACATTTCAAGTTTTTAACTGTTTTTGTACTTGCAACCATGTAGATCATCCAAGCACTGGGCAGGTCATATCACCCATCATGCTTTAGATGTTCTGTCTGTCAAACAGAATTAGATGGAATTCCCTTTACAGGGGATCAAGAAAATAGAATATATTGCATTCCTGATTATCACAGGTAACAACAGAGATTTCTTGTAAAGATAAATACCTCAAAGTTTCCAATAACTTGATGTCTTTAAAGAAAGTTGTTGAAAATTTTTCTTAAACATGAGAGAAATCCCTGTGAGGACTCAACATTAGTTATTACAAATTAAAAGTATAAAGGTTTTTGTTTTAATGAGTTGTTTGACCACAGATGTTCCAATTTTCTTTCTTTCTCTTTTGACAGAAAATTCTTACCAACCTGTGCAGTTTGCAAAAAACTAATTGCACCAACAAAGGTTAGTTACCAGGATGCATCAGCATAGGGTATTCAAATAAATTTACTGTTTAAATGAAGTTGTGTCCATAACTGTAGATCATTACTAGACTATTTTTCTTGTTGCAGGGATCAAAGGAGATCCTGAGAGTGGTTTCAATGGAGAAAGATTTTCACGTTGATTGCTTTAGATGTGAGGTAATTCAGTAAGGAAGGAATTTAACAGTGTTGTGAAAGTTTTTGAGATTTCTGATTCATTTATAAAATATAAAGAGTTGCAATTAGATTTATCTTGTGGTCATCTACCCTAGGAAAAATTGAATGAAAAAAAAAAAAAAAAAGATCCACTTTTGAAAGACCGTTACCTCAACCTCACTAATCCTAAGCCAAGCTACTTTTATGCACAAGTTTTATAATAATTTGCATTTAGAAGCACAACCCATAAACTCTCAAGATCTGATTGTTAATTCTCCCATCTAGCAGCTACACATTTCCATTTAAATTAGTTAGGTGACAGTGGTGTTAGACCAAGATGACAACTTCTACCTTATAACTTTGAGTATTCTCATTACTTGTTTGTTGGATATTGTATGGATCTCATAGGGAGAATTTGCATGTTAATCACTTCTGGGGGTCAAAGAGTTATGACGATTCTATAATTATCATGTTGTTAGTATGGCTTTTAAGTAATGGCTTCAATTTAGTTTTTTTGTGAAGGTCTGATGTGCAAAAAACAATCAGTGGTATAACAAATTTAATTATATTACCAGTGTATTAATTTATATCTTTTCAGGATTGTGGGATTCAGCTTTCAAATAAGAGACCATGCTATCCACAAGATGACCACATCCTCTGTCGAAAGTGCAATGGTAAAAGAACGCCAATTTCAAGATCACTGCAGGTCACCCCAGTTAATTCACCTTGTGACTCACCAAATGTAACACCTCGATGTCTACCACGTGGCAGACCACGTATTTTACGCAGCAAGCGAGAATAATATTGTAGTTAGATTATCCAATTATGGCATATTTATCCAGCATTTATTATTATGGTGTCACTTACACTGTATCACGATAAAGATCAGGCATTTACTATTTGGAAAGTGGCTAATGTTATCATGATATATTTGAAAGGAATAGGGTTTCTTTATTAAGGAGTTAAAAAAGGACTATCTATTAATATCACTTATTATTATTGAATATATAAATATAAGTTTTTGAAAAAATAAATAAACACATGCCTGGAGTAACAATGGGCTTTCAGTTCTGACTGATTGTTTTGTTAGATAAGGGTTGTTTGGTAAGAAATCTGCCTGGATGTTCCTAATTTTCTTTGTAAAATTTTGTTTATAAAGTGAATGATTAGTCTATTATGATAATTAGACCTTGGGTTTTTATAATCAATAGTAATTTTTTTTGTAATTGAGATTAACTATTGATTATTAAAAAATTTTTGTTTGTAGAGACTCAGTACACTTTGGCTTTCCCCTTTTCCTCTTAACCCCTTTAACCCAAATATCTCATTAGTAATTCTCCCTACTGTCTGCCAAACAATTCTTCTGATGTTAGTTCAGAGAATTTGGTATCAGATCAACTACCAGTAATAATCCCTTCACTGATATATTTCTTTATTCTCCTCACTTGTCTGCTTGATATTGTATTGATATTGTAAGGAGAAATTCTTTTGTGGTCATTCATGGGAGTTAAAGGGTTAAGACAATCTCTGTCATATGCTAGGCTGAATTGATTACTGAATGTGTTTGCTGCAATAACAAATTCTCAGTACTTGCTTACAAACAAATGTAAGCAAGGAGAATATATCACCAGATCTTGAGAGTGAAGGGTTGGTGTCAAGAACTGAATAAGAAGGAATCAAGAAAATGCTTGACAAGTTATTTTAATAAGAGCCAACAAGCTGTGCCTACAAGATTAATAAAGCATTCCTGTCAAGTATCAATTCTAAGCATGCACACAAGTTTAAACAAACATGAGAGGACATTTTTATGATGTTGTCATTTGATTATAAATACCATTGTTCATTTCGGTTTTCCTTTTAGATTTTAATTTAATTAACCAATTGAGGTTAAACAGATGATGACACTTTCACAGGAAAAGGAAGGATTCTGGTAATCGTCAAATGACACCATTGTGAAAATGTGCTTTCTATAAAAATTAAGTTATTTTGATTGTCATAGGTTCCACAAATGATATTAAGTTGTAATAGAGTACAGATATCACAATTTTTTCACCCTTTACACCCTAACATCAGTATTCATATTCTCCATACTGTTCTCTGTACATTTCCTGAGTGCTGACAAGGAGGATTGGTTTAACAATCAAGAGCTTCCTTAGTTGGTGATCATTTCCTTTGATTTCACTCCCTTGATGTGTAATTCAGGGGTGATATTGTGAGGAAAATTTAGATGCTAGTCACTCTGAGGAGTTGAAGAATCCAGTAATGTTTCAAAATCTAATAGACGTCAATTAATCTTTTCCCTATTACAATGTCACTGATGAACAAGTTTGTGCAACCATGTTAATTTCCAACATCACCTGGTTATTGGAACATTTTTAAACACAATTGGCTTGGGTCTGGTCTTGAAGATGATTTTCTTCCTTACTAGAGCACACACATCATAGTATATTTCACCTTCCTTATTGTCTTCATCCTCATTGTTCGTCTTCTTGTAAAGCACAGCATATGGTTTGTCTAATTCAACAACCTTACCAGTGAGAAGATGGTGACCAATGATAAGCATGGGTGTTCCCTATAAGGTCAGTAAGAGGATGTCATGAATCCTCTACTTCCCATCTCTGCTCAAACAAGTGCTCCCCTCCTGTAGCCAACCCACTGGTAATTTTTTTTTAAATCCTTTTAACTCCAAAGATCTAATTATTAATTCTCCCATCTAACTGCTAGACATTTCCTTGTAAACAAGAATTTAGTGTTAGATCAAGACACTTCTACCTGATAAGTTTGAGTATTCTCATTACCTGTTTGTTGGATAATGTATGCATATTATAGGGAGAGGTTACAAGTTAATCACTTCGGGACGTTAAAGGGTTAAATGTGACAGCTTCCTCAAAATGTGAGTTTGAATATTCCGTTATCACAGGTTTCTAAAACAGAAACAAATATATTCACTGAAGCTAATGATCTAAAGCGAGAATAATTCAATTGAAAAGGATGCAGAATATCATGCAGTCACAAAAAAAGGTATTGAGAAGCCACGCAAATTTTGATGATTTCACGTTGTTATTTTGCAGAATGCAGGTGCTGAGCTACTTTTCTGCTCATTGGATCTTTTATTTTGCCACATCCTCGTTGCCGTCGCCGTCATGTTTTGCTAAAGGTCCCTAATAAATGACCGTCCCCTTAGCTGTAGAGGGGAAATCAGTGCAATCATTTTACTACGCTTTCATTCACATAATGTATCGTTTACCCTTCCCAAAAAAAAACCGAACACTTACTTTAAAATTCTTAGCAAACTTCCTTGGGCAAAAAAGAAAAGCTAAGTGCAGGATTGCAAGTCAAAACATAAAATAAAGGCCGTTGGTAAATTAATGCATGAACGAACGAACATCACATCACATCACGATCCACCGACCTTTCCATCGAAATGTAAGTCACCGATGGCTTTCCCTTCTAAACTGACTTCTTCTTTTGCCTCTAACGTTCCTTGAAGTTCGATTATCGTCCAGTTATCCACATCATGGGACCTGTATGAAGCATGTTCAGTCAGTTGCGGTTCAATGCAGACAAAAAGAATGCTCAATCGACAACTGTTTACAACATGAACTCCGACCATCGTTGCAAATACAAATTCGTTACTAAGAAAACCCTATGATCGACGGAGGAAATACTCAGCTCTTACATAGATATCAATATTTGGACCATCCTTGGTCTATTTGTGGCACAATCTCGCACAAACGTTTCACTCTTATGGTCGTTCCAACATGGTAAACTTGGATATTCGAAAGGATTTCTGGAAGATGTACATTTCCCGCGAAAATTGGCGATGTAGCCTTATTTGAGTTACCGCTGACTAGGTCCTTGGTGACCTGCGGTAACGAATCAATTCCCAATCTTCGAAAGTTTTCTTGTTAAGAAAAAGAGAAAAACAATCTTCTTTTCCTCGGTAAAATTAATTCAGATTATCTGATGATGCCAGGTTAACGTTTTCGTGGACAATTTCCAAAATAACTTCGCGCCAGTCGTTTACGATAAACATGTCGCCTTCGTAGAGTGGAGTTGATCCCCTTCTGATGAAAACCTTTCAGATTTGTTTCGAAGCAGAGTGCTCCACCGATTTAGTAATTGACTGGATAATGCTTAACAGTCACGAGGAAGAAGAGATCGTCTTGATGGACCATTCATTCGCGATGTGTTTGCAGTCATTTAAAGGTGAAACCAAACCTTTTCGGAGGAGAATGCCGTGAACCCCGCCCAATTCTCCCTCCCCTACTAGTTAGCTCGCGAGTTCTTTTCAACCCCCTCCCCCTGCTTCTCCTCTTAAAAACTTCCTATCGAGGCCCCATTATACGGCTTATCCTTCTCAGACCTTTTCTTATTAGTGACGTATTCCTACTCTTACTACTTGATGGGAAAAAAAACCTATAATTCATGGGCAGACTTTCTGACTGCAAGCGTTTAATTTATGCGCTTTGATATCTAGAGTGTTTTCAAATGTACTAAGTAAATTGACCAAGATACGGAGAACTCTCCAATTCCAATTACTACAGCAGTATGGTACATTTTCCGACGAGTGCTTTGATTGATTGCACAGCGCAGCCACTTCCGCCTAGCACTAAAGAATGAGATTTTAAAAGAAATTCAAATAATCGAGGCAGGCGAACAACGAGATTATTCAAGTACCCGAAAAACATCGAAACAAATTTTTGTTTTTCACTGTTTTTTGATTATGCCCGACTATAAATATTCTACTAGTTCTTAATATCGATGAGTTGGGCGATTGTCCTAATCATTTATCGCCTGGCCGTAAACAGTCGAGATTAGATGAATCTATCGCCTATCTAGTGTCACGATGATTTCCTAACAGATAAAAACATTTCAGATCTATTTTGATAACACTAAGTGCAGTTGCAATATTTACTCAGTTCTTACGTCAAACGGTGCTAAAATCCATTCTAAGTGTATTTTAGATTCTTAAAGTTTTAAAAACAAAAGTCAATATTGCTATCAAAGTCAACGCACTGAGTTCTTGATGTTTTAAAAAAAAGTTCACGCTTTTATTTATTAGTTAGCAGGTTGAAACCTAACTATTACTTTGGAGTGGTTAGAAATAAGACAAAGCGCATGTTAACCTAACTGTTAGTGTGTTCTCACTTTTCGCATCACCTGCTCAAGCATTGTTAAAACAGCACAAAACTGTTGTTATTGAAATCGCTAAATTGTAATCTGAAAATTTCATAGTTCGTCGAAAAACGCACTGTCGCAGCGTGTGGTTGACAAGTACTTAATACTACAAGCTTTGTTTGGAATTCAATTAAACAAACTTCGGTTGTTTACATGTAATACGGGTCGTTTGCCGATGTAATGCCGAAAAAGGAAAGCTTTCAGGGCCACATCAAAGGATGTGAGGACCACTTAAAAATCTTAAGGGAGATTTCATAAGGTCTAGAGCTTCAACCTACAAATCTGCTATTGTCAAGGTTTGAAACTCGAAACAGCTGTCCGCGAAGTGATAGTGCTTTACCATTGGTTTTCGATTACCTTCGAAATTAATTGACGTTCGTTGAACAACCAATCAAGCTTAACAATAACCTTGGCGCTTTTCCCTGGGTCGACGACAAATAGATAATTTCATATGTAAACTTTCTCAAGACGCTTTGACTGGAACATTTATTGTTTACATGGGCTGAAATAATCGGCCGGCAAGATTAGTGAGAAGGAACAAGGAGACCCGCGTGTGCACGCAGCGATTAGCAGCAGTCTTCATCTTATCGCCTGTATCTACTCATTTGTACACAAAATGAAAGTGTTTAAAACCACGCGTTGGATCAGATACATAAATCGGAGATGATTCATTCGCTGAAATGCGCGTAATTCAATTGGAAGACATGGAAATCACAGAAAACTTTACATCAGAGGCGCAATCCCCGCGGCAACAGCGAACAAACTGTTATTAAGATTTCATGAAGAACACTTTTTTAGTCGAGCTTGCGGATGGACTAATATTTTTCGTTCACGCGTGAATCCCGTTGTCTGAGGAAACTATGAGACGTAAAAGGATTTCACCATGTGTGCGTTTCCCGAAAAGTTGCCATATATTGGTAGGATTTATTTGTTTTACCTTCTTCGTCCAGAATTCAACATCGCTTGAAACTGTTGAGATATTCGAGGGTTTGCCGCCCGGCAGTGCAGTTTTAAAGTTGAAACGGAAACCAGGCATCGTTTACTCTCTTCATCGAGATTCCTCCACCGCGGACGGATTAAGTTTGTTTTACATTGACTCAAATGGAGTGCTTACTTCTAAAGTAACATTGGATTACGAAGACGAGCGCGGAAATGAATTCGATTTACTGGTAATTTCGCGGGAAATCTCAAAAGCAGAGGGTGGATTTGGAAGTATAGTACGCGTTCGAATACTCGATCGCAACGACAACCCACCCAAGTTTCCCAACGATTTGTACACTTGTTCCATGTTGGAAAATAGTGGCATTGGAACTTACGTTCAGGGTCTTGAGAATGTTTTTGCCAGTGACTTGGATAGCGGCAAAAACTCTGTGCGAAAGTACAGCATCGTGGGTGGAAATGAGGCGGGAAAGTTTGATGTTGATGTCAAGGAGCTCGATGGTGTGAAGTTTTTGCGTCTCAAAACGAAAGCGCCTATTGATAGAGAAGAAACCCCGTTCTTCGTGTTAACCGTCAAGGTGGAAGACGGAGGAATTCCTTCACTGTCAAGTGCCACTCAGATACGAGTCAACATCCTCGACGAAAATGATCAAACACCCACATTTCAACCACCGATTTATTCTGTTGCTGTCAGCGAAAATGTACCTGTTGGCACTTCCGTTACACAGGTGAAGGCTTTTGATAGCGACGTGGGAACAAACGCTGAAATTTATTATTACTTTAAACCCGAAGACGAGTTTTTCATTGTTAATGCTCATACGGGAGTTGTAGAAACAGCTTGCGAACTAAATTTCGAGAAAGGAAATTCATTTGATCTCACAGTGTATGCGGTAGATCGAGGCAAAACTCCTCGCCAAGCAGAAACTATTGTACGAATTCGCCTAGTCGATATAGAAAGCTACCCTCCTTTGCTTGGAGCTAATTCTGCTGAATCGGCACCACCTGTCTTTCAAAAACAGACACACTTCGTGAGAATAAGAGAGGATTTTCCGGTTGGTGGTGCAGTAGTCCGCGTGAATGCCCATCAGGGAAGCCATCCACGGCACTATGAGAGAGCGTGGCGGTATATTATTGTTAACAATCCTGCTTCTATGTTCCACATTAATCCTCGAAGCGGGGTCATTACTCTTCGTGAACCTTTAGCATTTGAAAATCAAACTTCTTTTTCGCTTGTTGTTAAAGCACAAGATGAACAGTCCAAAGATTTGTATAAATCACACGCCCGAGTTGAGATAGTAATAGAAGACGTTAATGAGAATTATTTCGCGCCAATTTTCTCTCGTTCAATTGCGGTGGTATCAATCTCAGAGAATTCAGAAAAAAATACCGTCGTTTCAGCGCTTTCAGCTTCTGACGCTGATGATGGTAGCAATGGGGAAATTGTATACAGTGTAGTGGGAGGCTCAGGACTGGGTAAATTTAACATTGACGAAAACACTGGACAAGTACGATCGATCGTTCGTTTCAACCATGAAATGGATTCACAGTTTGACTTGCACGTGCGGGCGAGCGACCGCTCAAAACAACCGCTTCATTCGAAAGCATACTTATTTATTAGATTACAGAATGGAGGAAAGAAAAGGCCTTTCTTCCACAGTCCACGACAGCTTGTCAGTGTTCGCGAAAACAGCGCAAAGGGGACTTTTGTAGCTCTGGTGAGAGCTAAACTTCGAACGCGGAGATTGAACGATAAAAGACTATTGGAGTATTTTATTTCTAGCGGAAATGAGGGCGGCAAGTTTTCCTTGAATTCCACTTCAGGTAGGAGTGCATCTTTGTTTTAATTAAACGTCGCTGTGAAACTACAAACAAAGTCTGGAGAAAGTTTGAAGTCTTCATTCGTTTGTGTTTTCTACGCTATGCAATCAAGCCATGATAGCTACCAAAGTTGCTCAAAGCTTATTAGGTGTTCGATGGATAAAAAATGTATGCAGTTTAAAACGAATCTTGCATTGTAAACCGTAAATAGAATTTTTATACATTATTCACACTCCAGAAAGCGCAATTTACGTCTCTTCATCACCTGCACTTAATAACTTAGAAAGGAATTAATCATTGAAAGGAGACATATCTTCGCTAGATGCCGCCAGGCGAAAAAAAAAATGTTTGTGGTTTATTCTTTTTGTAAAAATTAAAGTTCAGTTTTGATTGCGTCCTCAGCGATCAATCATTCTAGCCCCTGCTTGAAAACACAGTAAACGCGAGGAAAAAATAATAATCTTTTAGAATTGTAGAACAATAACGTTCTTGCTTGGCAAGATGTTGAATCTCAAGATAAACGTTTTATTTTGAAATCGCGAACAGACAGGTGGAGAACGACAGGTTGAATAACATTTTATTTCGAAAGTGTTTTTTTTTTCGCTGATTTATTATTTAAAACTCGGCTTGTTATCCCAAAGTATTGAGAGCAAAGCCGTAAAGAGCTAAAAAATGCAAACTCGTGTTGGAAGATCTAGAAGATCAAGTTCGAATCTGAAAGCTATTAATTAAATATCTTCTTAAACTGGGCTATTGCTGATAAAGTTGGTTGGAATTTGTGGGTAATGAATGATTTTGGAATTATTTTTGTGCCAATTCGATCCTCTTTATATGCAATATTGTTATTCAGAGAATATTACAAGAATTCAACGTTGCTGTCAACTTTAGATGTTTTTTCAAAAGGTTTGATTATTAAAAGAAACACCCCTTTTCCATTTCCTTTCATTAAGGTCTTTCGGCCATTATTTAATTATGGAGATGAGAGAGATAACCGAGGTCCACTCTGTTGGATTGGCTGACTTTGAAGTCTGGCACGCTTTTGTAAATAATTTGACTCTGGAAAAAAATTTAAGCAACATTTAATAACTGCAAATTGTCTATGCAATAGAAAATGCTCAGGAATGGACATAAACCTGTACATTTACAAGAAGGAAAATGAACATGATTATTTGAGAAAAATTTTTTTCCAATGATATTCCAGAACATGCAGCCATTTATTCGTAAATGATATTGCCAAAGGAAAGAAAAATGTTCATAAAACATTTACATGAAAACTAATTACTTCAAAATTTGCCATATTGCTGTGACCACATCTAAAAGAATTATTTCAATCTTAAATGTGATTTCCCTTAAAAGGGTACAGTCAGTTGTATTGGTCTCACCGATGTTGTTGTACTAATTTTTGGCAATAAATGCCAAAAATTTTATTACTAGTAATTAAAGCTGTGAGATAAATCCTTAATTGGTAGTCTTAGACTTTTTTTTTTTTTTTTTTTTTCAAACAAATTTGGAAAAACAATTTTCAGAAGCTGCTATACTTTGGCTTTAATTTTCATAATTACTCTTTTCTGTCTCAAGATGTAATTGATGGTTTTGGGTGAGAAGGTCAGTAACTTTAAATTTTTCGCGGAGTTTTATTCTTAGGAATTATCATTTTATCAACAGAAAATGTAGATTTTAATGAAATTGTTTTGATAGTTGAAAAAAACATGGACAGCTATTCAATGTTGTGCAGATCACATCAAACAATTTTCTAATTTAGGATTTTTTTTCCTTTTATTACCTGAGGTAAATTGTTGATATTTGAGTCAACTCAAGCTGCAATATATTCTGTGTGTATGTAATGTAATTTCTCACAAGTATCATATACCATTGAGCACCGCCGACCATATAGCACACTAATTAGTCTTAGAGGGGGGGCTTATTGTCTCCAGGACCTCTTAACAGGATGGGGGTGGAAAAGTGCTTACTATGATAAACCATGTATAATAAGTATCAAAGGGAATTTAGTTATTCCAGGACTTTTAGAAAGTGACAAAGTGGGAGAGAGGTGGAGAGTGTTTCCTGTCGTGAATATTGTGATGAGTCTTCCTGGCTTTGTATTGATTTCCAGGACTTCTAGCTTCTAGTCAGTGATGAAATCATTGCATTGGGGGTGGGGGGTATCACAGTAAACATCCTGATTTTCAGGAATTCTAAATAGTATGGGGAGGAGAGAGTAAAAAAAACGCATTTGCCATTTTAGAATCTTTGCTGGAAAATCGGCTTATTTTCATTTCTTGCTTAACTTTTGAGAGCTTAAGTATGAAGTCTATGGCAAAGTGGGAAATATTGTGTATATTTTGCTGTAAGCTGCTTTTGGAAAAGTTTTTTTGCACTCTCTTAAGGTAGAATATTAGAAAAGTTGCTCTGAAAGCTCCAATCTTGGGTGGCTTGTTTTAAATCGTAGATGTAGGATAGAATCCATATTTCAGAAAGTTCTGCCATTCAATATAAATGTCTTCCTCAAACACTACTTATCACATCTTTTATTGAAATTGTTTATCTGTAGGGGTAATTTCAACTGCTGACCACCTTGATCGTGAAAGTAAAGATCTGTATATACTTAATATTTATGCCCATATTAAGGGTGCTCCATTATCAATGAGCTCACCCCTCCAAGTTGTTGTCACAGTTTCTGATGAGAATGATAACAGCCCATCATTTGAAAAACACAAGTACAAGGTAAGAACTTAACCTTTTATATACCCTATGTGACCAAGACAGAATATCTCCTTACAATATAAATACAATATCTAGCAGAAAAGTGACGAGAATAAAGAAAAATATCAATTAGAGGTTTGTTTGTTGATCAAATAACAAATTTGCCGAACTAAAATTGTAAGGATTGGATGGCAGACAGTAAGGAGAAATACTACCAGGATCTAGGAGTGAAAGGGTGAGATGATAATCAGCCACTGATGAGCAGTGTTCTCCTTTTCAGGAAGTAATTTGTATAATTTACTACCTGTTATACAGGTGTATTTCTTATTACAGTTTTAAATCACTTGATTTCTTGAAAATTCAATAGGTGGAATAATTGTTTTACTTGTTTGAAAAGTTATTTTGCCTGTGAAATTCAAAATGAGCAAGAACACAAGATGAGGCAATAAAAATGTAGCAAAACCACAGTGAGTAAATGAAATGGTGATTAAGACAAGCAACATAGTTCCCCCAACATGCCTTCTATGTGTATCTCTATCTGGTGAATTTTTTTTTTCTGAGATATAGACTTGTTGACCTTAAACTAATAGCTGTCTGGATATTCATGTACAAAAGGCTAATTTTCTTTTTCTTGTTGTAGGTTTTTGTCACAGAAAACATTGGTAATATATCAAATTTGCTATGTCTAGCAGCCCATGATCTTGACACTGGTGAGAATGGACACATCACATACTCTATAATCTCTGGTAAGGGGCCATTTGCCATCAACCCTGTCCTGGGCGTGTTATCAGTCAAAAGATCTCTAGATTATGAGAAGCAGTCAGTGCATAGACTTGTTATACAAGCAGAAGACAATGGTGTGCCATCCCGCAAGACAACAGTGGACGTTACCATTGTTGTGGAAGATGCTAACGATGCACCTGTTTTTTCTCAGGATCATTACGAAGGTACATAGCATGGACTAATATTGTTATAGGTGGATTAATCAGGCATGCTTTAATTATCATCATCATGAATTCTCCTATGTAAATTATTTTGTAATCCATCAAACACTCTTAACCTTGGTCTATATTAAATCACTTCTTTGAGAGGTGAATCCAAGTCTTGCCCAGATTGTTCTCATTGATATGGATGTTCTCTGCTTTTTTGTGTGGTGGCCCCTAACCCTCCCACCACCCCCCTCCCCCCCCCTCCAAAGAATTTGTAAATAAAAGTTTTTAACGTTTTTTTCAGCAGATAAAAATATTCACGCCATTCCCACTCAGTTTTCCTCAGATGAATATTCATGTTTTTACATTTGAAGATAAAACCCCCTGTAGCTAGGTACAATTATCATTAACTCTATTTAACCAAGAGATCAATTATTTAGGATCTTTAAATAATGTATCTCTTCATCCATAGTTGCCACAGGTTAGGAAAAAATCAGGGAAAATAAAACTTTTCAAGATCACTGAAAAGTTGGGGAATTTCACTTTGAGTCAGGGAACATTACATCTTTGAAATATCATTCAGAGAAAAGAGAAAAATATTTTAAAGACTAGGAAAAAGTTAGGGAATTTCACTTTGAGTCAGGGAACATTTAAATCTTTGAAATATCAGTCAGAGAAAAAAGAAAAAAATCATACAAATTTTGAGTTGTTCGTCTTGTGTCAGCCACCTTCACAATTGAAGATGGTGACACTCCTTTTTGTGATGTGGATTTTACATTGTTCCATTGTTCAGAGCAGCTTTAGGGCAAAAAATTGTCATTTGGTTGGGGAAATTCTATGTTTGTCAGGGAAAGTCAGAGAATTTCAAAATCTTATGACTGTGGCAACCATGACATCTGCAAGAAGATATTAATATTTTATATCACACTTAATGCATGAATCCATGATGTAACTTAAGCACTGTATGAATGATTATCATATTTTGTTATATTTTGAAATACTTTAAAAGTGATATTAGGATCTCAAAGTGATTTCTGCAAGTCAATTTTAGTGAGAGCTGCTTCCATCCTTTTCCTTTTCTTGTTCAAACTCAAGTCAGGAAGTATGGTGTGATGTTCAACCACTGTGACTTTGTATTCCTTAACTTCAGTGGAATATGGTTGGTTTTTTTCTTCCTGATCTCTTTCCTCTTTGTTTCTGCAAGAAAAGAGGAGAAAAAGGCAGTTTAAATGTGATGAACCTTAAACCTTCCTGCTATCTCCTTGTACTAACATTTCTATCAGCCACTAAAATTATGAAGTTATTTCAAGCTACTTGAAGCAATGTTCATGCTGTATAACATAGTCAAATACATTAACCTGTTTTAATTGTCGCTAAACTGTGGAGAATTATATATGTGAACTGACATTTCTTGTTGATATTGTAGACCAATTTCTAATTCTTATAATCAGCTTCATTTTCTGAAATTGTTTTCATTAATCTACTGGTAATTACATGTGCATAAACTTTATCTATGTGTACTTAATTTTATATCATTCATAATAACGGACTTAACTGTGCTAATATAATCTTATTTTATTCTACATATAACTGTTTGCATTTGTCTCAAAACACATTTGCTGGTAAAATAACTCATGATTGCTCCTCTGTAATTCAGTAACAGTCCTGGAATCTGCCAAAATTGGAACCGATCTTCTGGCTGTGTTTCTTGTATCTGATGAAGATGCCGCTGTTAAGGGTAACACGAGCCGTCTGTTGTATGTTTTTCTCTTGGAACTTTTTTTCTTTCTAAATCATTTTCTTTAGCTGAAACTCATTGACTCAAACAGAACCACATGTTTGAACGGACGTGGAGATATTGCGCTTGTAACACTTACCTTACAGTACTATGTCAACCTCTTTGACTAATGACTTGGATTTTGGTGACCTTGACTAATTCCAAAAGACTGTAAGACAAGATTTGATCCCAAAAAAAAAAAATTTGATTCTGATCAATTGTAAGTGGTTGGTTTTGGAGCGGAGGTACTGGAACTTCAGCCCTCAGAACATAACAGTCTTGAAAGGGATCTTTTAGCAAGTCTGGTTTACCTGCGATTTTTAAAATTGAGAGTTATTTTTAAGAACTTGGTCGTAAATGCACTCAGTGGTGTATTTGTTTTGAAGTCTGACAATTGTTCCTTAGGTTGCAGCTAGGATTGGGATTCAGTTAGAAACGGTGGTAGAAATAAGCACAACTCTAAGTGCACTGGGTGCGAGTCATGTGACTTTCTTGTCCTCTGGAGAGACTACAAACATTTTGTGTGAAGTCTCAATGAAATTCTCATTGGCAATGTGGTGTGTGGACATTTCATGGCGTTTTGAATCTTTGTCAAGGACTCCTGTATTTGTGTAACACACTCTTGTTTTCTTGTGGAAGTCTGGTTGCTGGTGTGATGACTCCGTGTTTATTGGGAAATCTTGAAATTTCTTTTATATCTTTTTGAAGTTAAGCTCTTCAGAAGCAACAAAGACGTGACTATCATGAACTAACTAATCATATGCTCCCTTTTCGACTAATAAAGAACAGTTATATGTCACGTGGTTCCAGTTGGCGCCAAGTGCGTTATTTTCCCGCGTTTTTTACTTGTATCCCCTACCTACTCTTCCCCTAAGTCGCCCTGAATGTGATACCCTGACGTAAACTGAGAAATTTTACGGCTGAAAAGTACGGACATGTGTTTTTTGTAGTGTAACAAGGTTTTAGTGACCGTACGGTACTCGAATGGCTTTCACAACAACTGCAGTAACAATTTATTAAACATTAAAAAGGCACTAAAGTGTATGGATTGCAAGACAGGTAAAAACAGGCAACGGTACATTACTGAATTATAATTTACAACCGAAGAAATAGTATGATTTGTAAAAAAAAGTGCTTTTCGAATGAGTGTCGTAAATCCAAATCCAAAGTAATCACGAGCGCCAATCAGAAGAAAGAAAAAACTCCTTAAAGAACCAATTAGAAATCCAAGTAAAAACAAGCAAACTGCCCAAAGCGCGGGAAAACGCGGGCGACCAAGTCGTGATTGGTTTTAGTTTTGCACCTGATTGGTGGAGAGAAAGGCGCGAGTTTTCTGGACCAATCACATTGCGAAGTGAAGCAAAAAAGAAAAATAATCCCTGATTACTTTCGACACTCATTTGAAAGTTACTCAATTTGAACTGTACAGTGTGTTATCTGCTGGTGGAGAATTGAAATTGCAGAAAAAGACAGAAGGTGAAAGTCCATATATCTAATTAGATGAATACAGGCTTGTCAATCACTCTGAATGTTCTATTTTAGCTTTTCTCACAGTAGGATAAACTGTGCGTTGAAGTATCAAATTTCGGTTGACGTGATTGACAGATTTTATGTTGCCAGTGATAATCAAGTTTATCGCTTTACCAATAGTTGTTTGAGCTTTTAATTTTCAAAGAACGAAATTAGTTTATGACGGTTTTGATGAATGATAAATGAAATGAAATCGGTGTTAAGGAAACATGCGGTAATCCCAGTTTGAAAGAGTTTTGTCGATGCCAAAAGTCAAAAATGCTAAGAAGACTCAGTATTTCTTTGGTGTTAAAAATCTCTACGAAGTTGTATTTGAGAAGCTCTTTCAATTATCCACCAGCACTGGTTATTTTGTTTTCAAAGTTACCTTTATACTCATTGTTGTATATTCTCGCTTTCTTTTCCAGTGACCATATTAGAAAACACCGATGTCGAAGATACTGTGGCTGTGCTAACCACTTCTGATCAGGACCGAGACAAGAATGGAAAATTCACTTGCAGCATGGAAAACATGGACTTGGAGACCATGGACACTTTTCAAGTGAGAAGAACGCCTGAAGGCTGTGCTCTGGTTCTAACTGGTTACTTGGACTGGTACCGTGCGAATAAGTATTCCTTCTCGGTCCGCGCCACTGACAGTGCTGAGAGCGCGCAAAGGAAGTCAGTCACGGCTAATGTCACCATTCGCGTACAAGACACGAACAACCACGACCCGGAGTTTTTGCAGGCGTCTTATTGGGTTGCTTTACCTAACGACGCCAACATGGGTGCAACTGTACTGACGGTCAAAGCGCGCGACCTGGATGAGGGTAAAAACGCTGATATACGATACATACTTACCAATGACGTCTTTAGTATTCATCCAACCAAAGGTATCATCACGCTTAAGCAAGGGTTGGGATCTGTCACCCGCAAGAAATATGAATTTTCAGTCAGAGCAACCGACCAGGGAACGCCTAACAGACAGACTGCTGTGAGTGTTTCTGTGACCGTTCACCCCCTGTCTTACATCCCTCCAATATTTCTGAGGTCTGAGTATCGCAAAGTAATCCCTGAGACTTTCAAAACAGGTGCTGCGCTGCTGACGGTGCGTGCACGGAAGAGTCTGGGTTTTGGTGGGTCTGTCAAGTACTTCATTGTAGGGGGTGATCCACTAAATCAGTTCAGTGTGGGAACTCGGAGTGGCGTTCTTACCCTCAAAAAACAGTTGGATTACGAAAGAATTAATCACTACATGTTGGTTGTACGCGCTGTGCAAAGTGGACTATCACCTTCATTGCCAACCGAGGTAAGTGTAGACAGTGAAAATGCTCCCTTGTGAACTGACGACAAGACTGGAGTCCTACAGCCAATAACGTAACGAGACTGGAGTCCTACAGCCAATAACGTAACGCCCAAACAGACCAAGAAATTTTTAACGTGCTATACTTACAATATTTGACCGACCAATAGTTCCTTACCAGACTCTGATGATACCTTGTGTTCAGGTTGTTGAAACGTCAGGCACTACTATAGACATCAGTCCTTTTTAGGACAACCCCTAACCAGCTTCTCACATCACACAACCGGGGAAATATTCTCCGTCCGAAAAGAGGCGTTTGATTTATCATCGTCGACTTCAAATTGGTAATCAACTTGAGGATTAGGGATTGCCCCGACATCACATACCCGTAACTTTTTCCTTTATTTGAATCTAGCGCGCGCTGTTGTGTGCGCAATAAAATTTTCTCCATTATCTTTACAGGTTAAAGTTTTTGTAAATGTCACAGACGTGAACGATAAGTCCCCACGGTTTGCTCTTCCAGTGGATCCGTTTGTGATAACTGTGGATGAATTTCAACCCCCAGGAACTCTCATTGCCGTTTTGAAAGCATATGACAGAGACACAGGCAATAATTCCCTTATCACCTATAGACTGGAAGATGCTAACTTTAAAATTCACTCATACCTTGGAACTCTATCGACCAAGCTTGAATTATATCATTCTCAAGGAACCTCACGATCTTTCGTTGTCACGGCAACCGACTCAACACCCCCATACCGAAGTGCTACAGCCAATGTGGTGGTCATGATAAAAAAGGCCGCCCCTCCCCCAAGGTTCCCCAATTCGGAGTTGGCCGAATACGTGCAAGAAGACACAGACGTTGGTAAGTCCCTAGTGCAGTTGCGTTCCCTCGCAGAGAGTCGTTTCACCTTAAAGTACTGGGTAACAGACGGTAACCAAGATAACCAATGGTGTGTAGACACGACTGGTCATATACGAGTCAATAAACCGCTGGACCATGAACAGAAGAAATCCTTTCACCTTAAAATCAAGGTGGATGATGGCATAACGACTCATATCGCACCGTCCGTCTTGTTTACGGTGGAAGATGTGAACGACAACGTTCCTACGTTTAGCGCAAACACATACAAGTTCTACGTGTCCGAGAATTCACCTGCCTTCCACACAGTCGCTAAAGTGTATGCAAAAGATCGCGATGAAGGCTCCAACAGCGAGATAAAGTATTCAATAGTTGGAGTAGAGGATACTCGTTCCATTGGAAAATTTGAAATCGATCCAACATCCGGTCACTTGAAAACAACTGGGGTGCTAGACAGAGAGTTTATGGAGCAGCATGTGATCATGGTGGAAGCAGAGGATGCTGGGAAACCTTCGCTGAGTAGCCTGGCACGCCTTACTGTAATTGTTAAAGATGAGAATGATAACAGTCCAGTGTTTGCCACAGACTTGTTTAGGGCTTCGGTACCTGTTGATGCCAAGGTTGGGTCCAGGATTTTTTCAGTGATAGCGTCAGACATGGATTGGGGAGAGAATAGGCTTTTGAGGTGAGCTAAATCAACTGAGTTGAAAACGTAAATTGTCCACCGTGAGAGTTTAAAGGCTGACGTTTCGAGCGTTAGCCCTTCGTCAGAGAAATTGACGAAGGGCTCGAAACGTCAGTCTTTAAACTCTTTACGGTAGCTAATTTACGTTTTCAACTCGGTTGATAACACTAAATTACCCTCCTATACTCTCCCACCGACGCACCACCACAGTTTCTTAAGAAACTTGCCCCTTTAAAATAAATGCACCCTCTGCATCGGTTATACTTATAAAACTCATGTTCACTTTCGCGGGGACTCATAGCATTAGTAACTCACACCTTTATTTCTCCCTCACTTGTGTCTTTTTTTCTTTCCTTCATCTCTTTTTTTTTTACACCTTACTTTATACTTCTCTTTTTCCCTCTCCATTTATCGTTTTTTCACTCTATCATTTTAGAGGTGGCTCTCAAACCAGTGTCATTTCATTCACATTCTACAATTTAGTTTTACTTCCTATATCAACACCCATCCACAGACTGTGACTACCTTGGTGAAATAGATTCAAACAATGTCTAATTCTTTTTGCTTACAGTTACTCAGTAATTGCCGGTAACTCTGAGCAGTTCATCGCTGTCGACCCAATTGATGGAACTGTCACTGTGGCCCGTCTTTTTACGTCGCTGAAGGCAATCAATTTTACAGTAATGGCACGCGATCAGGGTCAGCCTACCAGAAACGCTACTGCTGACGTAATTGTTACGATTCACGCCATTGAGGGCCCTCCAAGATTTCTGGCTTCAGCTTATGACGCGCGTGTAGCAGAAAACAAGAAAGCGGGAACTAAGGTCATTCGTGTGCAAGCAGCAAGTGTCGATCCTGTTATTTCGTATAAAATATTGAATGGAAACTCTAGAAAACATTTTCATCTGAATGTAGAAACGGGATTGCTAACTACAACTAGATCCCTTGATTACGAAAAATTTACGCGTTACCAGCTTGTTGTTATGGCAATAGACAGTAGCAATCGAATGAATTACGTCAAAGTTGTTGTACACGTGATTAACGTCAATGATAATGAACCTTACTTCGTGGATATACATAGCGGTATTATTGAAGGACAGGTGTTAGCTGACGCCATCGTCAACAGTCACGTGATGTGGCTTAAGGCACGCGACCGAGATGTTAGTGACGTCATTAGCTACAAGATACACAACGAGAAAGCGGCTTTGTATTTTACTGTCGACTCTGAAGGAAGCTTAAGGACCAGGAGAGCACTACAAGAACTTCAGTCACCGTTCGTTTTCAAAATTGAAGCTTTGGATAATGGGATTCCTTCTAGGAGTACTTTTACGTCGGTGAGACTTGTTTTCTTGAGGTATCATACTCAACAGAGAGAGCTGCAGGTGCTTGTCCCTGAAGACGTTAAGCAAGACGTCGTGCTCATTAAAATAATAGATTCAGCAAAAATTGTAAATCCGAGCTTTTCGATCATTTACCCTGTCGGAGCACCTTTTCGTATAGACAGTGAAAGTGGGGAGGTGCGAACCTCCCGTCCTCTAGATTATGAGACTACACAGAATTACAGCTTAATACTGCAAGTGCAAGACTCCAAAAATGGCAAAGAATACAGCAATATAGACTTAGTGGTTGAAATTGAAGACGTAAATGATAACTCCCCCAGCTTTACTATGGAGAAGGAGGACGGGATATACATCGCTAAGATCAATAGAAATCCTGTCCAGGGTACGGTGTTGTACACGCTTACAGCTTCAGATCGAGATTCTAGAGGCCATTTGCGTTACTCGCTGGTCAGCAGTAGTGGCGAAAACGCTGTGTTTGAGGTGGAGGCCGAGAGTGGGAGAGTGAAGACAGTCACTCAACAGGTGTTAATGGCCGACTTTTACAACATCACTGTGATGGTGAGTGACAGTGACACGCCTTCTCGTCACACTCAGGCCATACTGCATGTGCAAGTTGGAGAATACTTGCCCACCTTCAGTCGGGAAGAGTACGTGTTTAGAGTCAAGGAGAACACGCGGAAAGGATTCACTATCGGCCGCATTAAGGCGCACAGCTACTCTGGAGCGTCTCTTTCATACACTGTAGTGCACGGTGAGAATAATGAATCTTCGATCCCAAATGCTGATAGTTAAGTAAAGTATTTTTGCAATTTTGGGACACTGTTATGCAGATAGGTGATGAGAATGAAGAAATGTCATGTAAGAGTGATTTTCTTCAAGCAAATTGTCTGGAATAGTTAACAGGAAATTTTAAGTTCCCAGTGTGGAAGATAACCCTACGCATCCTAGAAGTGAAAGCCAAGAGAGTATCAAAATAACTCCAAACTGATGTAATGTCATCTGCCTTCGCTTGTAAAATACTTTCGATTCAGTACTGTAAACGGTAAACTGGCATGCTCACACTGTAACACAAAAACCAATAAGAAATCATCTGCAAAAAGTGCGCATTCCCTAAGGCAAGAACATGGTGGATGTTCAAAAATCGGTCTGTTCTTTAAATGTGTCTACTGTAATTCTGGGTATAATTTGAGGTTGTATTTTGTGTTCTTTTAGGAAACGTTCATAAAAAATTTATCCTGGACAGCAACACAGGGCGTCTAGCTCTCCCCAATCCTCTGGACTATGAACGTGACTCCAATGTTTACTACATCAGGATAAGAGCGGTCGAGGTTGGTGTTACTCAGCGCCAGTCCTCCGAAGTCAACGTCCAAGTCCTCCTCAAAGATATGAATGACAATGCTCCTGAATTCTCTCAACAACGCTACAGGTACATTTTACCAGAAAGTGCTCCTGTGGGGACAATGGTGTTGGTTGTTTCAGCCCGTGACAGCGATTCAGGGGTGAACGGACAGTTTAGATATTACATGAATAGTAGATACTTTTCTGTAAATCCTTACACTGGGGAGATCACCACAACAAAACCGCTGGATTATGAGACCGCGCGCTCACACACCTTTGATGTAATGGCGCAAGATGGCGGGAAACAGGTGCTTCACGGGACGGCGCGAGTGGAAGTGACGTTACAAAATGTAAACGACAATCCACCGCGGTTCTCACAGACGGTTTATAATTCACACGTGAATGAGGATGCTGGCCCGGGTGAACTGGTGACGACTGGTGAGTCGCTCTGTCAAACATTGAAATAACGGTTGATATAATTGTCAAAATTTAGCTATGTGCAGAGTTTTTAATTTTTGTAAAAGCAACTTTGGGTGGTGCCGTGTTATTCCGAATAATGAACGTCTGGTTTGTCTCTAAAGATGATGAATATGAGTTTATTTTATACATACTGAGATTTCCACATGAAAAAAAGCCCGCTTAAAATTCCTACGGAATACACAACCAACCCGATCAGAAAAGCGTACGAATGTGAAAATACATCGTTCGTCCAATCAGAGACACGAACAATAGTACTTCCCAGAGAAGGGCTACTAGCGCACGACTTTCTGTTTAAACAAAATGGAAGAAGAAGTGCTAAGATTTGCTTTCCATAAAGGAACTATGAATGATTTCATATGAGCAAGGAAAAAAAACACGTGATCAAAGACCGACAGAGACGTGAGCCTGCTAAAGACCTCTCTTCAAAGAAAGCTAGATCTCAGAAACGTTGAAGAAATACCTCCTGCTCAACACAATAAATTGCTGAGCGAGTTTGTACTCACTGTCAGAACCCATTTTCGATGGAAGTGACTGCGAGAAGTATTTTATACAAACTATTTTGTAAAGAATACCATATTTTGATTTACGTTACATTTTTTTAATGAGGTTTTCGCATTGGTTATTTTTAAAACCGACGTTGTCCCATTTACCTTGCAAGTTTTCATACCTCGTAATTTTAAGATTCTGCAAATTCGCAAAGCCATCTATAGATTGAATTTTAAAATCACTAATTATCTTTATGTCTCTTTAAAAGTAAAGTCTCTTTGTAAGCGAATTAGTTTGTAAACAAATGACAAAATTTAAAAAATCATGAATAAAAATCATGCGTGCGCACTGTCCATGGAATAATCTCTATTTACGCCTAAATGCCATTTTTGCTTCCAAAATAGGGAATGGGTGAGTTTGTCAGGGAGGACCAGAGTAGTTTAGTAACAAAGCAATTACAGTCTCGTTCACTTTTCTTTCTAGTTCAAGCAAGTGACCTTGATCTCGATCCAGTCTCCTACAGTATTATCTCAGGTGATGATAACAGCAATTTTGTGATAGACAACCGGACGGGTGTCGTGCGATTGGTTTCACACAGGGCACCAAGCCTTGTAGGTCCGTACTACGAGCTGAACATAAGTGCCTCAGATGGCCTTCACACAAGCCAAGCCGTGTTGATAGTGGCTATTCAGGATATCAATAATCACAAACCAGTGTTCAAAGACTGCGACAAGTACAAACCGGTTATCTCAGAAAACGTTCGTCCTGGATCCTCAGTTATTCAGGTTTGATAAGTATTGACTCGTAATTTCAGCCCTACCCCCTCCCCCCACTTCTAAAATATATATTATACAAGAGTCCCTTACAACACTGATTTTGTTTTTTCGGTGGATAACCCTGGGAACATTAATAAGATGAAAAACACCTAGATAGGAGGAGGATAGGAAAACCTGTCTGGTTTGCAATGGTTTTAATGTATTTTTAATAGTATTTTCATTATTGCTTGTTTATTTCTGGTGAATTTTAGGTCAGTGCTGAAGATAGAGACATGGGTCAGAACGGAGAAGTTAGTTATCACATTGAGCGGCCTTCTACCGGGATACGCTACTTTAAAATAAATAGTGCTTCCGGTCTGGTAACAACTGCCGTGACCTTTGACCGTGAAGAGAAGCGATCCTACCAGATAAGGATCACGGGAAAGGACGGAGGACCTGGCCAAGAAGAAGGAGAGAGGCTGATGGGATTCTGTCAACTGGAAATTAGAATCGACGACGTCAATGACAACGATCCAGTTTTTAGTAGCAAAACATTCATAACCAATGTAAAGGAGGACCTTGAAAAAGGGCATATAGTACTTCATGTAACCGCTACCGATAAGGACGCCGGTAGTAATTCGCTTATAACGTACTCTCTTGAAAAACCAAACAAGCAGTTTCTGATATCCAACAGCACGGGAATTATAACCACTAAAGGTCCATTGACCTCGACAAAGTACAACTTCAAAGTGATTGCCCAAGATAATGGAAACCCGCGGCGGTCTTCTAAAGCAGATGTAGAAATCAGTGTTTACAAAGCTGGGAAGGACCCGCCAAAGTTCACAAAAGATGTGTACATCGCGCGTGTTCGCGAGGATGTGCGGCAAGGGTATAGAGTTGAGCGCGTGTTGGCCACAAGCCCAAATCAGATTTATTACAGTATTGTGAATTATCCACAGCCGGTTAATATCGACCCGGTTCAAGGAATAATAACGACTCAGCGCACCCTTGATTACGAATTAGCGTCAAATTACACAATACACATTCTTGCTCAAGATAATCAAGATCCACCGCTTATGTCGTTCGCTCGGCTTGAAATTCTCGTGGAAGACGTCAATGATTCACCCCCTCAGTTTCCGGTGTCAAAATATGAAGGACAAGTTGCTGAGAATTCACGGATCGGTAGCTCTGTCATCGAAGTGAAAGCCGATGACCCGGATAAGGGTGAAAATGGAATGGTTTCTTACACTTTCAAAGAAAGCTATAAGTCATTTGAGCTAAACTCTAAGAGGGGGCTCATTACCACCAAAAAGATATTTGACCGTGAGGAGACTGGACGCTACACCTTGATAGTAGAAGCACGTGACCATGGAGATCCTCCCAAATCGTCAAGTTGTATTGTGGATGTCATAATCAGCGATCAGAACGATAACCCTCCTGTGTTTGAGCAGACTGTGTACAATGCGAGTGTTCACGAAGATGCTTCCAGGGGAACAAACATTCTTGAAGTATCTGCAGTGGATGACGATATTGGAAACAATGCTGTGGTGAACTATTTCATCACGGCAGGAAATACCCGAGCGGCGTTTGCGATTAACAAGGATCTTGGACAAATTGTGGTGGCGAGTTCGTTAGATCGCGAGACACAAGATTATTACCAGTTGAAGATTAAAGCACTTGACGGGAAAAACTCTGGTACGGCTGTGGTCAACATACACGTCAAAGATGCCAATGATAACACCCCCGTGTTCACCAACACCACGTATGTAGCTAAAGTTTACGAAAACCAGCCTGCCGGGAGTTACGTCACGACGCTGTCGGCGTCTGATAAGGATCTCGGACTGGGCGGAGCGTTCTTGTTTTCGATCAGCGGTCAGGGTAAGGACGCTTTTGATATCGACCCGAATACGGGTATCGTAACGACTATCAAACCTCTAGACCGAGAAGCTAAAGGGCGCTACGACTTCCTTGCGTTTGCCACTGACAATCCTAATGCAGAACCAGGCTCTCGGAGGACCGGCTCCTGCGATGTGGTGGTTTGGATCCGGGACGTGAATGACAAAAGGCCGCATTTCCCGGATGATGTATATGAGGGCACTGTGAAAGAGAACCAGTTGCCAGGCGCTCGTGTCATGGTCTTGTCGGCAGTCGACGAAGATGATCCAAATGAAAACGGAAACGCTGTTATATCTTACGAGTTAATCGATGATGCAGGTGGACTGTTCAAAATCGATCGCGACTCGGGATTAATCACGACGCGAAGGAGACTAGACCGAGAAACTGACGACGAGTACCAACTGGTTGTTAATGCTACAGACCGAGGTCGACCGGCGCTATGGGGTCAAGTGGAAGTCATGATCAGGGTGGCGGATGACAACGATCATCCGCCTCGGTTTACTGAGCAGACGTTTGTCGCTAGTATTTTCGAGAACGCATCTATTGATTCGTCTGTGATGAAACTCAAGGCCACGGACGAAGACATCGGTAGTAATTCTAGGTTACGCTACAGTATAATAGCAGGGGCTGCTGATTTGGAAGAGGATGGTAGTAGAATGTTTCGCATTGTGGAAGATACTGGAGTCCTTCAGGTAGCTAGAAGCTTAGATTATGAGACACAGAAGCAGTACACTCTAAAAGTCAAGGTAAGTGAGAATGCGGACTCCCGGCATATTTTGGGGAAAGAGCATTTTTTTTTTTTACTGATTGTCGTTAGCAGTAGGAAATCGAGCCAATGGTCTGATCCACTTATGTGGGCCTTATTCCAAAGAAAATTCCTTTCAAGGTGTGTATGAACTCCAGACTGGGCGTATTGCGTGAAGTTTTGACGCCTAGGTTATCCACGTAACTAAACGTCGCCTCATAATACTAATCAGCAAACAGATTCCATGTTGCCAAGCATCTGTGCAGGAATAGATCACAGATAGGGTAAAAAAAAGTGGCGAACGAGATACAGCTGAGTGTGTCACTGATGTTCTTACCATGTTTTGACAGCCTCTGCGGCAACACGAAGTACAGAAACATAGATACTATTTGACTTACAGCATAGAGAAGCAAGTTGTTGTTAATGGTGACTCCAAGCAATCTAAAGCAACAACTAGTATTTGTTCGAATCTTCTCGAATCCTGAATTTTTACAAGGCTTTATTTCTGCGATTGCCTAAATTTTAGTCCACCTAGTATTTTCAACTGCTGGTCTAATGAAATTTACCTCATTAAAAATTGTAATTGTAATTTCATCTCATTAGTCTGTGCTCAAGTAAGCACCAATCAAAATGTGTGCGTAATATCAGCGTGTTAGTTAGTTATATACTCATCATAGTTTTGACTTCTGTTACTTTCCTTCTCCCTCTTTTTGTTTAGGTGAGTGATTCTAGTTCTCCATTCTTTAGCGACAAAGCAGATGTAATGATCACCGTTCAAGATTACAATGACAATCCCCCAGTCTTTAACCCCGTATCATACGCGCAAAAAGTCAATGAGGATGTCACCCCTGAGTATTTTCTCATGAAAGTTACCGCCACGGACTCGGACTCGGGCAGCAACCGAGATTTCAAGTTTTCAATTTTTGAGGGCGATCCCGACGGACAGTTTCGTATTGACCCGGAACGGGGAAACCTCTATGTTCACCGCAGGCTGGATAGGGAGAAACGAGCAGTTTACTTGCTCACTGTTAGAGCTACGAATACTGGTAAGTAAAAAATAAATGTTGGACAACAGAGCTTTTACTTTGCTAACATGGAGCCATTAGTTCGTTAGATTTATCACTTGAAAAATATCACCAGACATTCGGTCACGTGACGTTTTTAAACCAATCGTGCGCGGGCGATAATATTCGATGGATTGTAACCTTCTATATTTACTGTCGGTCTTTAAATTTTTCAGCAACGCCTCCCTTATATGGTCACGCCTCAGTTAAAATCACCTTGAATGACGTGAATGACAATGGTCCAACTTTCCACCCATCAGAAATTCACTTCAGTATCAAAGAAAACACTGAACCTCCTCAGTACTTAGGAAAAATCAGCGTTGATGATCCAGATCTTGATCCTCCTAACGGAGCTCCGTTCTTCTTCGAGATCGTCAATGGCAACGAAGAAGGCCTCTTTGAGCTGAATAACAGAACAGGAGAGATATTTACACGAAAAAGGTTTGACCGGGAAGAGCGCGAATCTTACAGGCTGGTTGTAGCTGCGACGGACAGTGGCAAGCCTAAGAAAGATTCGAAGACCTCACTCTTTGTGCACATTTTAGATGTCAATGACCATCAACACTCGGTAGGAATATTAAATCTCGAGCTAAATTCGTATCAGGGCAAGTTTCCAGGGGGGAAGATCGGAAAAATGTACGTAGTGGACAAAGACATTGATGATGACCGACATTATAAGTTAATATCCAACAGCTCCCGATATTTCACTATCCAGCCAACGACAGGAATGATAATAAGCCAGCCGAATCCTCCTGAAGGAAATCACTTTTTGTCTGCCATAGTTTCTGATACTAACAGCTCATTCAAATCAGTGATCTGTTCCGTGTTCATCAAAGTCAAGCAAGTTTCAGCTGAAGCTGTCCACAACAGTATGGCGATAAGACTGGGGGGTGTTTCGCGTAAAACGTTTGTCAGTTCAGTTCTAGCGAGATTTAAGGAGTCAGTGGGAAGCATTCTTCAAACGGACGAAGACAACGTGGATTTATTTAGCGTCCAGGATGCACCAAGGGCACCACGAGCCATCGACGTCAGGTTTGCAGCGCATGGAAGTCCTTACTATGCCCCTGAGAAAATGATCGCTATCCTGAAGAACAACCGACCCAGCTTGGTCAAAGCAATGGCTGTGTTTGACGTGAAAGTTTTGGCTGTGGGTGTAGATGAATGTCTGCATGAGCCCTGTGAATCTGGTGGCTGTACAAATGTATTGCTCGCCAATGGAGAAGTGGAAGTGATTTCTGTGAAAACAACGTCTTTTGCGTCCATTGTGGCGATCCTAGAACCACGCTGTGATGATTGTATGGGGAAGCAAAAAGAAACAACGAGGTGTGAATCGGAGTGGTGTTTAAATGGAGGCACGTGCTTGGACACTCCTCAAGGTTAGTATTCCATGCTAGAAATTCGCCTTTTCAGGGAGGGAACATAAAATATTTTTGTTATCAATTGGGAAATTTCTATCGTTTTGATAGAAAATGATAAAGAACAGGAGCATCCCTGATTTATAACAGCGCACCTTGGGCTTGCCTACTTTCGCCTGGAAAACGCCGGAAAAATACGCTTGTTCTGCAGGCTACTTTCTGGTAATAGGATTGTTCAGTTTTCATAAATGAGTCCTGTAATTTATACTAGTTGCTCTCCGAAAAAGACTTAGTTTACACTGCCTTGCCACCGAAAACTCGCCAAGTGAACGCTGCTTTCGTGTTTTCAATTTTTTTTTTCTTTTATCAGGACACAAGTGTCGGTGTCTTAAAGGTCACAATGGTCCCAACTGTGAATTTTCAACGCGAAGCTTTGAGCATGGTGAGTGGCTGTGGCTTCCAGCACCGGAACAATGCAGTGTGGGTTCCCTGTCACTGGAGTTTGCCACCCGCGAAGCAAATGGGCTGCTGTTGTATGGAGGTCCAACTTCCCCTGTGCGGGAGGGAGACGTGCATGATTTTATCACACTTGAACTGGCCGGCGGTAAGATTCTCGTGACCATGTCTCTTGGGGACCGTAATGATGTGGTGCGCGCTGGAGTTACTGGTGGGATGGACCTGAACGACGGTGAATGGCACCATATTGAGGTCTACCGGGACGGATCAGTAAGTGACCATATTTAAAGCGGTGAAACAGTGGTAGCCATTGTGTTGTGTTCTTGGCTACAACATTTTTAAAACCATCACAGTTCCTCCCTTAACAAAGGAGTAGAAATAGACCAGGGGGTAATCTGTAATGGACTCACTATCCGTCCAAAACTTGATGCCTTGAAAATTGAGATAAAATCCGGCAGCCGTGGGCTATTTGGCTGGGAAAACTTAACCTCCTAGCGCCTCCTGTGGGAAAACGAACCTACCGGTAATCGACAGGGTTTTTTGTTACCTATGAGTGTGTGGAACAAGGCTTTAACTAATCATGGAAAAGTAGATCATGAGGTCTCTCAGGGTTTGCAAACTTATTTTAAATCAAGGATTCGTTTTAGCGTAAACAAAATTAGTTTAAAAATAGAAGGATCTGGGAAGAAGATCTAGTCTTGATTAGCAAACAAGTAACCAGTAACCAAAGAGAACGAGGGCAGGAATGGTGTAAACGACTCAAAATTGATCTGTCTAGAGTATGAGAGAATTGTCCTGTCTTCTTCCAAAGTCATTCAGGCTTAATTAACCGTATAATGATTTGGATGCTGACAAGTCATGCAATGTTTAATTTGAGGAACAAAGTGTGAATGGCGAAATTATGAGAAATACAATTGTCCAGCTTCTCAACTGGAAGTAGAGCAAATGAAACTAAAAATGCTGATTGGCCCACAACATTGAAATCACCATCTTGTGGGCCAATCCGGCCATACGATTGGTTCAGTTCTACCTCGTGGTACAATATACTCCTCTCTGATTGGCTGTGTACCAATACTGCCCCCATAACCCTCTCACAACAGATACAGACCACGTTGTAAACCTATGATATTGAGTGGGTGATTGTTAAAGTTTCTCATGTTTGCTGCTGTTTTCTATAAAAATCTTAGTTTGTGCGTGTAACAGTTGATAAGTGTAAAGGAGTACCGGTGGTGGTCGAAGAAATGTATCGCTGTTCTTCCACAGCAAAATTGAGCAAAAAGAACAAGTAAGTTGATTGTAGTTCCAACCCTGATTAGGTGTGGAACTTGAGCTACGTACCATTTATCTGTCTTATGTCTTTGTAGTATGCTACCATAACGCTATTTAACCACATTAGGGCAACAGACCGTGCAAGACATACGACGGTATAACTATTTGACAAAAAAAAAAAAAGGAAATCGGAGCATTAAGTTGAGCGCACGAAAATATCCAAGCTTCAAACTGTTTACGTCCTTTAGGCTGGACTTTTTGAGCGTCCAAAGTTTAAGTGAAACAGATTTTTTTTATTTCATAATGGACACTTCTTTGGTGTTGTTTGTGTTGTTTTAATTCATCTTCCGACGCGCCTTACGCGATCAATACGATTCTCAGATATTGTCGTAAGATGTATTCAAATGAAATGAGAGAAGAATGATAACTTCCCTTTTGGTTGGTTTGACATACGATACGAGCAGACATTTTCCTCATTTCTTTTACTACTCTACCCAACCTGCAAAATATTTGCACGTCTTATATATGTTAAACTACCGAATAAGGTTTTATGTACAACAGTCTGAAATGCGAGTGAGTCACCTCTTGTGTGTAGGTGAATGCATATGTTGGTTAAATTTGAGCCCTTAAATTTCAGGTTTTTGAATTTAAACGGGCCCTTACAGTTGGGCGGGGTGTCAACGACTAATCTTCTCTACCCAAACCTGACTGTTACCAATTACGAAGGCTGTATACGGAATGTGATAAATCAGGGCAGGTACTACGATCTGAAGACCCCTATCCGCAGAAATGGCACCAAAGAAGGATGTCCTATGGTGGATCAACATTGTAGGAGCCACCAGTGTGACGCCCTGTCCAAATGTGTTCCTTCTTGGACTGGTTACTCATGTCATTGCCCCTTTGGTTTCACCGGTTCCACGTGTGGCAAAAGTAAGTTTAGAATTGCTAGTTTTGTTAATACAGTCGACTCTCGCCTTGCGGACACCCCGCCATTGCGGACAAGAGCCAGCCCCCCGGCGAAACGCATTAAGAAGTGACTGAAATAAACTCCCGTTATTACGGACTCCCACTCTTAAGGAAATGCGGACACTTTCATGCCTCCAGAGGAGTGAGAAAACGATGAAGGTTTGGGTCGAGTTGCGTGTTGAACCGACCCAAACCTCCCGCGGTTTTCCACTCCTTTGCCACTATAGCTCCGTTTGCTGTTTTGCTCCGTTCTACTAACTGAACGCCTGTAAAAGGCTTAATGATATGTAAACCTTTGTTCTGCAGATTGGTGGCTGAGTTTACTTTACTCTACCTCAAGGGTCAGGAAACCGTGATAAGCTTTGCTAATAAGGGTTTGCGAACTTCTTTTCTTTTTCTTTTTGTTTTTTTTTTCGCAGGGACACGTGCCTTGTCCTACGCGGAGGGTAGTTATACTAAGTACCTTTTTTACGAGCGCAAGATCAACAAGGAACAGCGGGAGACTAAGATCCAAATGCAGATTAGAACACGTGACCCGGACGGAGGTGTACTAATGTACAATAACGGAAGTAAAGAAGGCCGCTTTAGTTTACTTGAGGTGAGATCAAAAGCTCGTGTTTTATCGTTGCGAAGTGAAAACGCGTCTCCCTGAGGCTAGTTATTTAAGAAGTTAAACACGATAATAACGGCAGAAAATTAACCTTCGTGTCATCTTCTTAAACCCTTTAACTTCCAAGATCTGATTGAGAATTCTCCATTCTAGCTGCTACACATTACCTTGTAAATTACTAACGAGAATTCGGTGTTAGATCGAGATAATAACCCCTTCCCGATAAGTTTTAGCTGTTGTCTTTTGGTCCTGCGAGAACCTTTGTACTTAAACTTACTCTTGTCAAGATTTGTTACATCCATTCAATGACTTGATAGGATGTCACAAATCTCCAACAGCGATTTTTTCAAAATAGGATTAGTTACTTTCTGTTTTAAACAAAAAGCTATCAAAGGGCAAAAAAGGTTGTGTAAAAGAGAGATGTGAGAGTGGATGCTTAGTAATGCAAAAATTTCTAAGCATTTCCAATTGTGATGATTTTCGGTATGTATGTATTGGGGATTAAATGTATGTTCGATTGGCCTAGAGAAAAGGACTAATTTACATCTGTATCCTCCCTGGTTAGGTGGTGCCATATGATATTGACGGGGATGGGGAAAGTGAGGTGATTGTTACATATACGTTGGGTTACAAGAACCAATCCTCTTCAGTTTTGCAACTGACCGGCGTCAACGTGGGCAATGGTCAGTGGCATAATATAAGCGTGGTACGGGAGAGAACACACGTAACGCTTTCCGTGGACTCTGACGGCGATGGATATTCCGTGACAGGTATAATTTTCACGTATCTTTTACGCCTCTAGCAGTGAAGGGACTGAACTTCTTTCCAGCTTATCTTCAGAACTTGCAGGATCTCACGACGGTCTTCGCAGCCTTGATTTTCATGTCTTGCTCTGGTCTGTAAGTTTTTTTATCGCCGACTCTTCTCCTTTCAGCCTTCCCTAGGGAGATATTGACTTTTACCCCAGTTACGTTTCCGTCGCGTCACCTAATCGCCGCTTTGTGTGACAATCCCAGTTATGACCGTGAGTATATGGAAATCAAATATGTGAATATGAAAGCGATCTTCGCAGTGATGAGCACTACTTGAGCAATAGTGAAAATAAGGCCTGAAAAAAAACATTAAAAATGACCTCTGCGATACCGGTGCAGAGCTCTACCGACTGAGCACACATACATGAGCACACCAACTGAGTTCATGATTTTTATATATTCAAAGTCATTTATTCATCACTTCACGGGTTTACTTAGAACAGACATAGTGACCAGCTCCCAGTTGGCTTGATAGCTCAGTTAGTAGAGCCATGCACTGGTATCGCAGAGGTCATAGGTTCAAATCCCGTACAGGCCTGAATTTTTTTCAGGCCCTATTTCCACTATTTTCCCATGTTCATCACTGCGAAGATCACTTTCACATTCAAATTCCAGCCATGTTGGATGCTAAAAATAAATGTTAGCTTTCAAAGCTAGTGTGAGCCTTATTGTTGCGAGGGATTATGCAGACGGCTCCTTAAGTTTCGTCTTGGTAATTTAGCTATTTTTCGTTTTAGAGCAACTTGGCATAGAACACACTTTGTTCACTATGGATCCCACGCGGAACTTCATTGGGGGTGTCCCGCCATCTAGCACATCCTCGCGTCGCCGTGCTGACATTGGAAAAGATTTTGTTGGCTGCATAAATGATGTGAGATTCAACGGACATTTACTCTATTATTACAATGGAACAAATGCTTTAGGAAACGCTCTATCTGTAGGTATGGTAAACGTTTTTCTTTGTTTCTTATTCATTAATAAGTAATTACTTTCTAATCCGACTTTTCTTAAATGAGAGTGAGGAACAGCATTCTTCTTCCAAGCAGAAGTTTACACGTATTGTTAAGACTACGCCTGGACAAACCTCCGGTATTTTAAGGACTCCATTTGCGTGTCTTAACCTCATCTACCTTTGCTCTCTCTCTACTGTCCTCTCGATTTTTCCCTTTGTTTTACTTTGGCTGGTGAAGTGGACAGTGGATGGAAACAAAAGGCACGTATGCATTGCTTTTGGGTTTATCATTCGATGGACTGGCATCCCATTCAGGAGGTAGTAGTAATACTCCTAGTCGCTTAACGCTAAGGAAAGCAGAATAAGGTCCGACTGAATGGGTCACATGGTTCGAGTACAGACTTAAATTTGGGTATTTTTCTTCCAGGGGTCAGTGAAGGTTGCTTGGCAGAACCCATGTGTGAACCTAACCCGTGCAACATCTCTGAATGGTGCCGAGACGTGTGGCGAAAGTTTGTCTGCCTTCCTCGTCTGTGTACCGGGCAGCCTTGTAAGAATGGAGGCACATGCTTCGAAGGGGCTGATTCCAGAGGAAACAACAAATTCTTCTGTAAATGTCCTTTAGGTTTCGAGGGCGCTCTTTGTGATGTGCGTGGCCGGTCCGTGGTTGTTACTGAAGTAACTGGCGCTAGATTAGAGGACGGCTTAATTATCGGTATTTGTAATTGCTCTTTATGCATAGTGTTGCGTTCCTTGACAACACCCTTAATATGTTTACGGTTCCGTTTATATCAGTGACGATAACAATGATTACAATGAATTAATTAACGACAAGGATAATTGCACCAATGAGAACAATGGTAAGGATAATGATGAGATAATGAAGATGATTATTATCCCTATCATTGTTGTTGTTATTATTATTATTATTATTATTATTATATTATTTATTATTATTATTATTATTATTATTGTAAGGCTTCTACGTGTAAAAGCATCAAGGTGAAACTTTCCGAACTCTTGCCACAACAACAGGCTTTGAGTTTTCCATATTTTATCTTTCACCTGCAGGGTTAGCAGTCTTGGTAGTGACGCTGATTTTATCAGCTAGCATTCTATTCGTGTACCTCCGCCGCTCCCAACCGCAGAAGCGTGACGTTTTTGTCGAAGAAGATCAGTTTAAGCGGGACAACGTCGCCAATTACCGCATTGAGGGAGGTGGAGAAATGGACCTAGAAGAAGAAGATCAAGTGAGGGACATTTTGAGATCCTTTGAAACGAACGATTTCAGTCCGTGTCAAAATAAAAAGTTTAAACTATCGGGAAGCAACGGTGACGTCAGCGGATCATATTTTGTCCTTACCCCACTTAAAAGGGAGGTCATTGGAAGACAACCCAACGGAATGCCTGATTCCAAACCTGTTCAAAGGTCTGGTAAACCGGATAAACAAGATATACAGCGCTCTTACTCCCAGGAAGGCTCTGATCAGGAGCCCCCGGACTCATCTTCGTCACCGTCAGCAGTATCCACTCCTGAACGGCGCAGGCGTGTTCGTACCTCTTCCAAAGGAGATATTGTGGAAAGACATAGTCCAGAAGGGGGTGAGGAAGGGGTTGAGGGAAGTCCAACTCGGAAACTGGCGGAAGTGTTCGGATTGAGCGAAGAAGAACAAGAGGGAATGAGATCACCGCCGGAAGGATTTTCGTCGCCAGAAAAGTACGAAAGCTTGAGTAAAAGAGAGCGTGGAAATGGTGCTTCGTTGCAGAGACCTAACAAAACAGAAGAAGAATCTAGAAAACCTCCACAGAATATGGAAGAATCACATCTATCTTACAATGGCGCGGAATCCTTCGCAATGGAGAACCCACTATCGCGTCCTAATAGTGACTTACCCAGCTCGGCTGTAGAAGATGGATTCCCTCCCGTTCAACGGAACTCTATCCCCCCGCGGAAACCTCCACGAGCCTGCTTTCCTAGGGGAGTACCACCCCCACCGGGTAACTTCATACCGGAGGATGCAATGCAGAGATTTTATTATGAGGGGGCTGGTTCCCCTACTATCTCGCTAAGCACTCTGGGAGACACGGAGGGCGAGTCGGAAGCGGATGATAATTATGATTATGTGAATCAGATGGGAGATAAGTTTAAGAAACTGGCGCGTATTTGCGGACAGACTCCTTCGGTAACCTTCAGTCCTCACGATGAGGTCATCGGAGAATAGAGCTAGGAAAGTGGTCAGAACTGAACGAGATGCATTGCTCTATCACCGAGAACATGATGATGAAGAGCTCCTGAAATGAAAAATCGGAATTGAGACACTAACCTACCCCACCCTGTCGATGACATTAAATCATTAGCTAAGCTTAGACTGATAAAACTCTTTACGTTGTAAAGAGCAAGAGAGGGTGCGGTAGACACAAAGACAACATTTTAGATTGCCAAAGGCGAGGTCTCGGAATAATAATACCAAGAAGTGTGGCTTAAAAATCAAGACTACTGATTCTTAGGTTCGGACACGTAACATCTGCGCACAAAGTTAATCTCAACCCTTTCATTTCTTTCAGTGATCTGTTCCTCGTTACCTATTTAAGGTGTTCGAGTTCATAATAAGAATATAGACAAACGACAAATAGCTGACTGCGTGCACGATTGCCGAAGGGTGAAATCTTTGTGCACACAAATACTGTTAAAGAGTCAAGCAAACAAATAGTTCAGATATTGATAGATCGTTAAAATGGAGCAGTGAAAAACCGTTTTCTTTCACTCTTGGAATGAAAGGGTTTTGATAAGCATTTCAGTTAAAAAAAAAGAAGCTTATTAACTCTGACTCAATGCCAGCTCGAACTGGGCCGACGTTAAAAATAATTGAAAACGTGATCGTCCATCAAACGCTCGAAATATTTTGAAATATTTCCAGCATCTAATGAACGCTTGTAGTGTTAAAAAACTCAGAAAGACAATAAACTGCATGTAAGTTATGAAAGATATGCTGATAGAAAAGTATAGAGAAAGGGTTTTTTTGGAAGACTTTGAAATGATCAAGCCCTCGCATCTTCTTGTCTCCTACACTTTTAGATACGAACCTAAGATAACTTACTACGTGTGCTATGTTGTATATTTGTGGAAAAGCTCACACGGAGAATCGGTAACTTTAGTCGCAGGAGATTAGTCTAAATTAAAGGACACTAAAGTTGTTTCCCAGCGATGTTAGTCACGTTTTGCTCATGTTGATTATTTTTTGTGATTTTTATTAGGAAATAAATGATGAGATTTGGTTTTCTTAGCTCAATTAATAATGGTAATTGCACTGAGTGGAGTGCAATTTGGGCTGAAATCATACGCGTGATTTTAGACCGAAATTGCACGACACTAGGTTCAATTACCACTTTATTACATCTATTTTGAAATCGCCCAAATACAGGACTTGGTCAGTTCAAATGTTTTATTGATGCAGTACTGAGCCGGTATGAAATTAAATTCATGTCCATTTTTTGGGGGGAAAAAGTAAGTTGAGAAACAAAAGTTGCAAAATTTGCCTCATGATACTCCTTGTCTTTCATTTTCCTGCAATTTGATCGGTTACTTTAAACAAGCCTTAAAATCTGATTGTTTGTTTTGTTTTTAGTGCAGCCTCCTCGTTGGCTGGGAAAAAGATGCGATTTAAAGCAAAAAATGGTGCGATTCGTGAATAAATCGCATCAATTAGAGCCAATCAGATTACAGGAACCACCAGTGATTTCAAAACGGGTGTAATAAAAAGGAATATCGTTTCTGGAATGTACCTATCTCCAGTACTAAGTGATAATATCTTATATTTTCTAGAGTTATAATGTTATATTTTGATATTTGAAATTATGTAAAATAATTTTAATCCCCTGTAAGAGTTTTTGAACATGCGCCGGTGTTTAGGGTGCAGTAAAACATCCGAAAATAATTTGTTTTACCTTTGAGTTAGTTATAATCATTGATTTACTATGAGGAACCATTTGCTGACTCCAAGTTCTCCGTCTAATCAGTAAGAGTTAGTTAAGTTTAAAAGAGTTGTAACGGGAAGGTTTTTCCGTCGGATTGAGTTTAAGACAGTCGTTAAAAAACCGTTCGTTCGTTCGTTCGTATGAGAGGTGTAAATAATAATAAAGAGGAAAGTAAAAAAATTGTCATGGGGTAGGGCGCTCATTTTTCTTTTTTAAAAATACGTTAATGTTTTTGTATGGCTGTAAAATGTGTAACTCTGAAAGAGATTGCCTCACTACAATTCAATAAATAATTAGCAGACAATATTGTGATTTCTTGTCTATATTCCGCAGTAAAATCCATATAAACCTGAAAGATCTTCACGAGCCGGAAAGTTCGACGGTATTCGCACCTTGAAAAAGGTGCAATGGAAGGGTGTCTGCTAGTATTTGATAGGTACAACTATCTACACTGTCTACAGCAGGTACAACTATCCACACTGTCTACAGTAGGTACAGCTATCTACACTGTCCACAGTACGTACATCTATTTGCACTGTCTACAGTAGGTACAGCTATCGACACTGTCTACAGCAGGTACAACTATCCACACTGTCTGCAGTAGGTACAACTATCTACACTGTCTGCAGTAGGTACAACTATCTACACAGTCTACAGTAGGTACAACTATCTACACTGTCAACAGTAGGTACATCTATCTACACAGTCTACTATAGGTACAGCTATCTACATTGTGTACAACAGGTACAACTATCTAAGATGTCTACTGTAGGTACAGCTGTCTACACTGCCTACAGTAGGTACAACTATCTACACTGTCTGCAGTAGGTACAACTATCTACACAGTCCACGGTAGGTACAACTATCTACACAGTCTACAGTAGGTACTACTATCTACACTGTCAACAGTAGATACATCTATCTACACAGTCTACAATAGGTACAGCTATCTACACTGTGTACAACAGGTACAACTATCTAAAATGCTTACTGTGGGTACAGCTGTCTACACTGCCTACAGTAGGTACAACTATCAACACTGTCTACAATAGGTACAACTATCTACACTGCCAACAGTAGGTACAGCTATCGACACTTTCTACAGCAGGTACAACTATCCACACTGTCTACAGTAGGTAAAACTATCTACACAGTCCACAGTAGGTAAGACTATCTACACAGTCTACAGTAGGTACAACTATCTACACTGTCAACAGTAGATACATCTATCTACACAGTCTACAATAGGTACAGCTATCTACACTGTACAACTGGTACAACTATCTACACTGCCTACAGTAGGTACAGCTGTCTACACTGTCTACAATAGGTACAACTATCTACATTATCTTCAGTGGGTACAGCTATCTACACTGTCTACAGTAGGTACATCTATCTACACTGTCTACAGTAGGTACAACTGTCTACACTTTCTACAGTAGGTACAGCTATCTACACTGTCTACAAAATGCAAATTCCGCGGGGAGGAGTTCTTCGGCCCCCAAGCCAGTTTGAGAGTTACTCCTTGTCCGCCAGCTACAAATCAAATGCATTTCAACGGTCGATCAGCAGCATGTACGCAGCAACACACGCTTATAAGGAGCGGAAACTGTGAATTTCTTTGAGGGCCGGTTTACCATCGGAAACTACATCCCAACGTCAGAGTTCGGCACGTAGACATACTTAGAAAACGTTTACCTCCTTCTAACTTGTATTGCCTATCGAAGGATGATGAGCTTGAAATGGATAATACGATTAAAAGGATGAAAAGAGGTAAAAAAAGAGGTAAAACGGTTAAAGAAAAACAAATCCATTTCTATTTCAAGGAAAAGGAGTCTTTGCCGGCGACTTCTGAGCAACAGAAAACACTACAGGATTCAGAATATAACTAACAATAAAAAAAAAGTGGCCTGAAAAAGAAAACCGCTCGAAAAAAAAATAAGGAAAAAAGAAGATAATAATGTTGATAATAAGGAGAAAAAAAAGAAAAAACAGCAAAAACAAAATGCAAATTCCGCGGGGAGGAGTTCCTCGGCCCCCAAGCCAGTTTGAGAGTAACTCCTTGTCCGCCAGCTCCAAATCATACTCGGGGAGAAGTTATTCGGCCCCCAAGCCAGATTGAGAATAACTCCTATAGTGTGATTCGAACCCGCGACCTCGATGACCTCTCATGCACTCGTTGCGCGCCTACGATTGCCGCTCGACCATCTCGAAACTACATATTATATTAGCATAAATTGTCGGTGTAGTGAGTTTTCAAATACCAGGTTGGGGGGGAGGGTGAGGAGCTTTGTGTTACTGACAGTGCAATCAAGCGTTTCCGGTCAAGAATAAAGGAAATGAATCAAACAAAGAACTGACAAAAGCGATCTACACGAGGAATATTAGCATATGTTGTAATGGCGGACGGCTTCGTTTGCTGAAGCTCGTTAATGTGATTCCTCAGTATTGCATCGTACATCGTTTTCTCCGCATAAAAATCACGTGGTCATATAGGCGAATAACCACGCTTATTGTATTGTAATCCACGGACCAGGTAAAAAGGCTCGATGGTCTTTAGCTCTTGATTGAGAACACTAAGTTATATTTTCTATTACATAATTTTGGTGTACAAATTATCTCTTTTAGATTGGGGAATCTATTTTGTCTTTTTGGCTCCTATGAATCCCTCAATAAAGAAGAAAGTAGTCCTCTTTCGAGAACGAAATTTGCATTATCACCAAAAAGCTCTTTCAGTTCATGCAAGGATAAAAAGGCGTTCGAGACCTTAACTGAATAAATCTGCAACTTACTAAACTGATGGCGTAAGAGTACTATGATTTATAAAAAAAAAACGGCTCGATGCGTATCAGAGAGTTATGCCGTACAGAAGCAAAGAGAGGTAGTGAATTTTAAAATATCAGGTTTGGGGGGAGAGTGAGGAACTTTGTCTCACTGAGAGTGCAATCGAGCGTTTCCGGTCAAGAATAAAGGAAACAAGTCTAACAAAGAACTAACAAAAGCGATCTACACGAGGAATATTAGCATATGTTCCAATGGCGGACAGCTTCGTTTGCTGAAGGTCTTAAATATGATTCCTCAGTATTGCATTGCACATCTTTGACTGCGCATAAAAATCACGTAATCATATAGGCGAATAAGCGCACTAATTGTATTTTAATCCATGTACCAGGTTAAAAGGTACGATGGTCTTTAGCTCTTGATTGAGAACACTAACTTATATTTTCTACTGCATAATTTTATTGTAAAAATTATCCCTTTTAGATTGGGGAATCTTATTTGGTCTTTTTGCCTCCAATGAATCCCTCAATAAAGAAGATAGTAGTCCTTTTATTAAAACAAAATTTGCATGATCATCAAAAAGCTTTTTCAGTTCATGCAAGGATAAGAAGGCGTTCGAGACTTAAACTGAATAAATCTGCAACTTACTGAACTGATGGCTTAAGAGTACCATGATTTATATAAAAAACGGGTCGATTCGTATCAGAGAGTTTTTGCCTTACAGAAGCAAAGAGCGGAAGTGGTCGGTAGATTGCACATTTTTCTCGCAGATTATTTCTGACCAGAAACACAAATTTCTTTCGTAGAAGTAACCGATGTACTCATTATTTAACCATCTTCTATTTCAAAGTGGGACTGACGCAAGCATCGTCAGCATATTGACACTGACACTTCTGATTGTCGTCCGAAATTTATCATTACGAAATCATTATCTGAGAGAAAGGAGGTGTAAAGTTTCCAATAACTTGGACCACAAGTAAGAAGAGGGTACCTTTGCCCAAACCTCCTCCCCTCTAACGACCAACAGGAAGGCCTGAAAGGTGTCAGGAGCCATAGACTGCGATAGGGAGCTTAACCACTTGATTTAGTTTTCAAACACACCCAGTAATCAAGGTGAGCTACTAGAACCAGTTGTATCTGGTTAAGCCATGACAAATTGTAAAGTTAATGCTAACTAAAAACTTTATTTGACCTTAACAAACACTATCGGCATAGCAAATAAAAGCAACGTTTCAAGGGTCAAGAACGACATATTTCCTTTAATTCCATGTTTTCAATCTTGCTTCTAGTCAAGAGATGGTATTAAGGTTATTTTCTCTCTTGCATTAAGATTATGGTGCTCTGTCCAATTTTGAATGAGTTCCTTGCATACGACTTCAAACGATTACCGATACATGACATTTCGCATGATTACGGAAAGTTTGGCTGATGTCGGAGATGTGCTCCAGCACGGATCCTCAAAGACTTTATAGCCTGTTTCTTCATTTTATTCTCGACAAAGAGAACTTCACTGCAGTTTACGATCGGACATCGACATCTTCACGTCAGAGTTCGGCACGTAGACATACTGAGAAAACGTTTACCTCCTTCTAACTTGCATTGCCTATCGAAGGATGACGAGCTTGAAATGGATAATACATAAGAAACGTAAAAGGAAGAAAAGAGGTTAAAAAATACATAAAACGGTTAAAGAAAGAAAAACCATTTCTATTTTAAGGAAAAAAAGTCTTTGCCGGCGACGTCTGAGCAACAGAAAACACTACAGGATTCAGAATATAACTAACAATTAACAAAGTGGCCCGAAAAAGAAGGAAAAAAGAAGACAAAAATGATGATAATAAGGAGAAAAAGTAAAAATAACAGGAAGAACAAAATGCAAATTCCGCGGGGAGGAGTTCCTCGGCCCCCAAGCCAGTTTGAGAGTAACTCCTTGTCCGCCAGCTCCAAATCATACTCGGGGAGAAGTTATTCGGCCCCCAAGCCAGATTGAGAATAACTCCTATAGCGTGATTCGAACCCCCGACCTCGATGACCTCTCATGCACTCGTTGCGCGCCTACGATTGCCGCTCGACCATCTCGAAACTGCATATTATATTAACATAAATTGTCGGTGTATTGAGTTTTAAAAAACCAGGTTGGGGGGGAGGGTGAGGAACTTTGTCTTACTGAGAGTGCAATCGAGCGTTTCCAGTCAAGAATAAAGAGAATGAATCATACAATGAACTGACAAAAGCGATCTACATGAAGAATATTAGTATACGTTGTAATGGCGGACGGCTTCGTTTGCTGAGGCTCGTTAATGTGATTCCTTAGTATTGCATTGCACATGTTTATTGCGCATACAAACCACGTAATAATTGTATTTTGATCCATGGCCCAGCTTAAAAGGCTCGATGGTATTTAGCTCTTGATTGAGAACACTAACCTACATTTTCAACTGCATAAGTTGGTGTACAAATTATCCCTTTTAGATTGGGGAATCTCATCTGGCCTTTTTGGCTCCTATGAATCCCTCAATAAAGAAGATTGCAGTCTTTTTATAATAAAAAAATTGCATTATCATTATAAAGCTCTTTCAGTCCATGCAAGGATAGAAAGGCGTTCGAGACTTCAACGGAATAAATCTGTAACTTACTGAACTGATGGCTTAAGAGTACCATGATTTATAAAAAAAAAACGGCTCAATTCGTAACAGAGAGTTATACCGTACAAAAGCAAAGAGAGGAAGTGGTCGGTAGACTTCATATTTTTCTCGCAGATTATTTCCGACCAAAAATACAAATTTCCTTCGTAAACGTAGCTGAGATACTTATGTATTTTATCATCTTCCATTTCAAAGCGGGATTGACGCAAGCGTAATCAGCATATTTATCACTGACACTTCTGATTGTCGTCCGAAATTTATTTACGAAATCATTATCTGAGAGAAAGGAGGTGTAAAGTTCCAATAACTTGAACCACAAGTAAGAAGAAGGTACCTTTGCACAAACCTCCTCCCCTCAGTCTAACGGGCCTTGAAGCCATAGTCGGTAACAGGGAACTTAACGTCGTGATTTAGTTGGCAAACACGTACACTCAGCGATAAATGTGAGCTACTAAAACCATTTGTATCAGGTTAAGCCATAACAAATCGTAAAGCTGATGGTAGTTAAAACTATACTTGATCTGAAGAAGCAACATCGGCATAACAGGGTTTCGTTGCATGCGATTTCGGACGATTACCGACACTTGACATTATGCATGATTACGGAAAGTTAAGCTGATGTCGGAGATATGCTCCAGCGCGGATCCTCACGCAATTACGAGCCTATTTTAGTATTCTTTATATGATGAATTTCACCGCAGTTTACGATCAGATATCCAAGGTCAGAGTTCGGCGAATAGACGTTCTAAGAAAAGGTTTTGCTTCAACTTGCATTGCATATCGATTTGAAAACTGAAATGGATAATACAGAAATAACGTAGAATAAAATAAATAGGGGAAAATAGACAACACAGTTGCAGAAACAAAACGATTTCCAATTTGAGGAAAAAGAGTTTTTGCCGGCGATGTCTGCTGTTTGGAAGGCTTATGTAAGACATATCATTGTGTAACAACCGCGGCGACAACTTTCTACAGTGGGTACCACTATCTACACTGTCTACAGTGGGTACAACTATATACACTGTTTACAGTAGGTACCACTGTCTACAGTATGTACAACTAGCTACACTGCCTACATTAGGTACAACTATCTACACTGTCTACAGTTAAGGTACAACTATCTACACTGTCTACTGTAGGTACAGCTATCTACTCTGTCTACAGTGAGTACAGCTGTCTACGCTATGTACAGTAGGTACAACTATCTTCACTGCCTACGGTAGGTACTGCTATCTACACTGTCTACAGTAGGTATAACTATCTACACTGTCTACAGTAGGTATAGCTATCTACTCTGTCAACAGTAGGTGCAGCTGTCTACACTGTGTGCAGTAGGTAAAACTATCTGCGCTGTCTACAGTAGGTACAACTATCTACACTGTCTGCAGTAGGTACAACTATCTACACTGTCTACAGTAGGTACAACTATCTACACTGTCTACAGTAGGTACAACTATCTACACTGTCTACAGTAGGTACAACTATCTACACTGTCTACAGTAGGTACAACTATCTACACTGTCTACAATAGGTACAACTATCTACACTGTCTACAGTAGGTACAACTATCTACACTGTCTACAGTAGGTACAACTATCTACACTGTCTAACAAAGATCACACAACAATACCGCTATTTTCTAGTTTGCTATATCCTATCAATATTTATTTGAGTATCTTTTACGGTCAAAAAAAACTTTTTATTTTTTTTAATTTTGAACTTTGTCTTTATTTTATGGTCGTCTAGAAGGATAAAGTGATAAAACAGTGCAAAGTCAAATCAAGGCATATTAAATCACGTTAGGTTGTTTTGTTTTGCAAACAGTTAAAAATTCTAGCTCCTTACCAAAATTTTGGACAAAATGTTTGGTTCTAGGTATAAAAGCGGAGATTGATAATTATCGTAGAACCCGAGTTTTTAGTCACATTGATCAAAAACCGCCTTTTTATCTACTGGGGATTGAGTTTAAAACCTTCTTAAAATTACGTATCACCTCTGAAGTTTTTTAATATAAAAGGTACTATCTAGTTGCACAAGCGAAAAAAAGAAGAAAGAAATCGCCGATCATAGTTACCAATGCAAAACTCTTTTGCATTCAGGCCAATTTAAGTTTTTACCTGTACCCTTTACTGGAACCACAAGATTTAGGCAAACTATGGGAAATGGCTGAGAAATTGCTGAGAAATAGGTTTCGAACCCTCCCCATTTCAGAACCTCTATTAGCAAAGTAATTCTGTTTCAGTAGTGTGTAGCTACACAGCATCAAACAATCAATCATTCAATCAATCAGTCTGAATCAATAGTTTCAGCGCCTTTTATTTCAGCATATGAATTAGTGCGCAATTCAATGATTTCCGTGAAAATAATGACTAAAGACTATTTATTGCGTTATCATTTATTTTTGAATCACTGTTTTAACTTGTCCTATTCAGGAGTCTCTACATTACGCTAAGAATATTTTAATCTAAACGGAAAAAGTAACCCATGAGGTTGCCTACAACAACTCTTTAATAGCTTACATGAATTGGAATCACTTCATTTACAGATAAGTTTGCGCTCTTCAATAGTATTCAAATCTTTGATATTATTTATGTAGGATAAGTCAGCGAAGGCCTAGGAGAGAATGGAAATGTAACCAAGCCTTTGCTGCTTACAAAATGGCGGCCGTCTGTAGCAGTTTAGCAATTTTCTCTCTTTTCTGGTCTTTTTCTCTGGCAGTGAAGGATGTTTTCCATGAGGAATTGCTACTGAGACCGTTGAAAACTGGCCACGTATATGCACACTTTCAATTCACTACAGTTTGGGATGTGGATATCAGGGACACAAAATCCTGTAAGTGTCACAACTTTCTGTCAGCTAAAATAACTTACAGCTGTAGTTGATAAATGATTTCCTTTAGCAGAAAGGCGAAATGATTTGTTTTTATCGCGGTATTGAAAAAAAAACATTTCTTTCCTTTTGGCCGAATGGTTTTCTCGTCTAGATAAAAGAGAAACCATTTGATCATTCATCAACATTTCATTTAGTGTGTGTTTTGGTAGTTTGGTCAATAAGGATGCTTCATATCCCAGCTTCACGCATGAGCTAAATGTGACAAGTGATCCAGATTTGGTAACTGGAACCTAAATAAATATGAAAAACAATTTGTATTAGTAGGTTTTATTTGTGATGATCATTCTTGATATCACCTTTCTGTGTCACTGTTATCATTTTGTTCATCTTAGTCTCCCACTACAAGCTGTTTCCAAAATCCTTTGGACAGATTGTTAATCAGTATTCAGTAGAAGAACTTCACCTGAGTCTAACACAGGGACAGTGGCAGCATGAACAGTGGGGGTACCCTGTGACATCAGCCCCTCCTGGGGCAGAGTTATGGGTGTGGTTCCAGGATAGAGTGAAGGACAGGTACTTATATAGGAGCTTTTTAGAACAGTGTGCTTTGAAACAAGAAATGGCTTATCAGGAGCAAATTAGATACGAAACTTCTTTATTGTTGGAAAATTTAAGTGAACAAAGTTGGGAATGGTTCTAGGTTTACTTTTGATTAGATGATCACTGGCAAACTAAAAGTAAGATCAATGTATATGTTTTTCAATATGTTAAAAATTCTACACATAGTCAATGCCCCTAAAAGAGATTAAAGATCATGAAGCTTATTCTGAATTACACTTACATGGACAATGTAATGAGTAATGTGTACTTGTGTATTTTCTGATAATACATATACACAAAAAAACTTTGTCGTGATTATCAAGAGTGATCGATATTGTGAAAACATAGTAAAAAACCTTGATTTTTTTTCTGCTCTTGTTTGCAGTGTGGATGAGAACTGGTCAGGACTTACTCAGGCATTGTCAGGCCAATTTTGCGCTTCCCTGAATTTCATAGACAGTAAGACAACCACAAGCCCCAAACTTTCCTTTACAAGGGAAGGTGTTACCTCTACTGCTGGTACAAACTCTTCATTATTGAGACATGCAGCTTTGCCCAGAGAGTTGGTTTGCACTGAGAACCTCACTCCATGGAAAAAACTGTTGCCATGTGACTCAAAGGTATTATCTTGTGATGTGATTTTTGTTCCTTGTGAATTTTTTTAATGCCTTGTAAGTTATATATGTATATATACACCCGTTTTCAAAAATGTTGCAACATTGAAAATATACATTTACCTGCAATGTATATATCTTTTGTTTTCTTCTCAAAAAGAGTCTCTTTTTGATGAGAAAAGATGGTGACAACTATTTTGTGATGAAAATAGTTTAAAGTATTTTCCTGCACTTGTTATTCAGTGTTAATTGTCTTAAAAGTCACTGTGGGGATAAAACATGCTTCTTTTACTTAGAGTTTTAAGTGTTTAGTACTGCCCATGTAAAACAACCATTTGTTCCCAATTTCTTACCTATGGTTTTGTCCTTCCCTTTCTATGCACTGCTTTAGAATAAAATAGAAAAATTCTTGATAACACTGCTTTTGTATTTTTTTTCAGGCCGGTCTAACTACATTATTTAACTCATTGCTGCTGTATAGAGTTAATTATCATTCTCTAGCAGTTCATTTGAGACCAATCTGCCAGGTAGATTGAACTATTAATTTTTACTTCTATACTGGTAAGATTGAATTTTTTGACTGCCAGAATGTGTACTGGCAATACCCCATTGACAAACCAGTTAACCACTTATTGATGGAGGTCTATTCCAAGGCCTATTTAAGGTGAATTGTGACTTTGGATGTTGTGCAGCTGTACTTAAAACTGCAGCAAAAAGTAATTTTCAATTGGGACCATTAACTTCCAGTGGCACCTAAATTTAGTTTCTTCAGTTTCATAACAGTAACATTGGAATTATGAAATATAGCACTTGCCGTAGGTTAGACAGGCCTTATTTTTATAACCAATGTCAAGACCATGTTTTCTTTTAATGTGGCAAATCGGCAAGGTGCGTGCAAAATTGTAGATCTTGATCTGAAGGTGACTGATTAACAAGCCATTAATGTGTTGTTTTAATACCCATTGAGGAATGCTCAGCTCAATCTGTTGATTTTTACTTCATACAACAAGCGGTATGTGCTGGGTATCTATATACAAGTTTCTTTTTATGAAAGGAATTATTGACACCTTTTCATTCTCAGAAGTGACCAAGACATACTTACAATGACAAGAAGACACGTGATGATTGTAAAGAACAATATCAGTTAAAGGATTACCACTTGATCCAGTGATAAATTCTCAGAACTAAAAATATAAGCAATATTTGACAGACAGCATAGAGAATTACTAAAGAGATCTTGAAAGTGAAAGGGTTGAATAATTGTGATGTGCAAAAAACATGCATGCTGTTAGTATACTCATGGTGTGTTTAGTTAATCTAGGATTGTATGATTTATTTATAACAATTTTAAGGATACAAGCTGTTCACAATACTCTGTGGAATTAGTACAGTCAGTTTCCATGGTGTTGGACCCACTGTTAAGAGGGGGATCCAAATATGGTAAGTTATATAAACTTCTTTACAGCCACACACACAAAATGAGAATGGGTTTGACACAACACATTTTGTTCCTAGAAAGAGTTTTGAAAGAATGGGAAGATTAGCACATGAGTGAGCAAGTTCTTACAACCAGTTCATCCAAAAGGGCCCATGAACAGTTCATGCAAAGGGAAAACCAACAAGTGTTGAGACTAGATTTTGGGTTTTTCAGATGAAAGTTTACTCACATGATACTGGTGATACAGTCATGCTTTTAAAAGAGTTTGGGAGTTACTGTTAAGAGAAATTTGGAAAAGTGGAAATGGAAAGATATGATGAATAAGAAAGTGAAAATACTTTTTCCTGTCCAAAAACTAAACCGTAAAAACCTTTTAACAGTGACCTCAAAAGATGGGAAAAGAGGCCACTGGACAGAAGTTGAACATCTCAACATTTCCAAGCTATCATTATGTATGGTTTAGATTATTAATAAATAACACATAATTATATGCATTTATTTTGTTTTTAGATTGGTCCTTCAAGAAGTTATTTGGTCGTTCCATCAAGTCTGCATGTCCTCTGGCTACTACCAGTCGCATTTATGTTGATATAAGCAGTAACAAGGTTAGGTGTGACATGCTGGCAATTTGTTTATCAAAAATAGGTCTTGAAGTCATACAACAGTTCTCCCAATAATGTACATTGTGGAGTCAAACTTGATGAGGGGCATGAGATAAACTAAATGTGAATCAACCAATTAATAGTTAAACCCAAGGGAAGAAATGATCTTGGCAGTTGAGCTGCAATTTATGCATTTACTGGAAAGAAGCCTTAAAAGACAAAACAAAAACAAGCAAAAATTCAGGCTTTAAACGTTAAACTCCAAGAAGTGATTAACATGTAACTTCTCCCTAAAATATCCATACATTATCCAACAAACAGTTGAAAAGAATACACAAATTAATCAGGCAGAAGATTTTATCTTGCTTCAACACCAAATTCTCATAACTAAAAAACAAGGTAACTTGTAGTAGCAAGAGGGGAGAATTAACAATTAGATCTTGGGAGTTAAAGGGTTAATATGATTCCAATCCATGCCAGCTAGTTACTAGTTGGGCAATACTACCCACTGGGCTACAAAGCCACATGTTGGGAGTAAGGCAAATCAAATTTGACCATTGAGTGACTTGTGGGATTTTTCTGCCACAAAATGACTGTAATAATTTGTTGTGACCATTTTACTGTTTTTTTACCACCCAACAGAGCGATTCCCAGTTCACATTGTCTCCAGCTTTCTCTACAGTAACAAAACAAGTGACAGGACAGCATCAACAATACTTTGCCATGTATGACATGAAACAAATGAGTAAGTTCAAAACATTATCACCAGTACTGCCTTGGTAATCACTTGAAATTTTAATCTTGATGGACAAAATAAATTTACAATGTCGCTAAGTACTTATTGGCTTTTTCTTACACAAAGCTCTTCCCACAAAATATCAAAAACAAAAAGTATAATGTAAAGCCAGGAAGAATAATTCCTCAACATTACTCACTTGTTAAGGGAAAGATAATTCTCCATTAGAAGAGACTAAAGTTTGAGGACTTGTTCAAACAATTACTACAGAAATTCGAACATGATATTTTTTTAGCTGAATTAGGGACAAACTAAACTATATTCAATCAGAAGAAAAAATGAATTGGTTTTACCTCACATCTTCATTGTGATGCAAATGAAATTTGTTGAATGTACCATAGTCCAGCAATTGTCTTGGTTGGTTGAACAAGAAAAAAGTGTTTGTAACTGGTTACACTGTATGTTAGTACACTTTTCATGACGTTTATGGTGTATAACAATCTGACCTTTGGAAATTCTGCCAGTAATTTTTAATCAATGTTTATATATTTACATTTGTTTTAAGACCAAACCAAACTATTGAAGTCCTGTGCCAACAATAATAGTTGTAGATTCTCGTTTTAAATCATCTGTTTTTTTTAAAAAAAATCAGAGTATTAAAAAAGGGTTATGTCTTTTGAATCTTCAAACTGTGAGTGATAAACAATTTTGATGTATATCTTGATTTAGTCAATACCAGTGTTTCTGACTCAGCTCTTAATGTGGTGTTCAAGTGGAAGAGGAGAGTTGCTAAAGGTCAGTGGAACATTGGCAAAAATTTGCATGCAAATCACACATGAATCACACATAAAGCCTCCCTGGATTACTTCCTTGTTAGTAATTCTCCTTACTGTCTGCCATACCATTCTTATGGTGTTTGGTTTTGAGAATTTGGTTTTGGATCAACTTATAATCCTGTGATTGATATTTTTCTTTATTCTCAACACTTGTCTGCTTGATATTGTATCGATATTGCAAGGAGAAATTTTGTCTTGGTCACTCATGGGAGTTAAAGGGTCAAGGGGCTAACTGTTTTAGTTGTTAATACTGCTTCCATCTGTCCCAATAATTATTTGATTGTACCTTTTTCAACAGGTGTACCTCCACAGCTTTATGCTCAAAGATTTGTAACAGGTCAGTAGTGCATTGACATAGCTGAACTTAGTCATTACCTTGTAAATGTTACTGCAACTATCATTATTTTTTTGTCTTTTAATCATTGCATGCATAGTGTCTGAAAAATGTAATAATAGATGATAATCTGTATCAGTAAATATTTTATGGATTGGTGGACTTCCCAAATGTCTAGATGTGCAGTGTGATTGGTCATGATACATTAAACATTCCTGAAATATTCCAGGTGTCCATGGTTTATTAAGTTTGAAAGTGGCTTCTCTCTTTTTATTATCAGGATTTTAAGCTCTTGTTTCTAATACAATTTTGCTGTTCTTTTTAAGGGTATGGTGAAGAAAAAGGTGGTATTACATCCATGTTGCACAATTGTCACCCCACAGATCCCCTGCCAGTTGTTTACTTTGCTACCTTCCCGTGGTACCTCAGGATCTTTCTTCACACCTTAACCATCAAAAGTGCTGGCAAGGAAATCAAGCCTGGTAAAGATGCTTCCTACTCCCAATGTTCTATTATAATTGGTGGATCTTTTGATTGGCTGATACACTGGCTTTTTAATCCTTTGGTTGAATGACAAATTGACTTAATGACGAAGTTTTTGTCTCGGTTACTTCCTGATTCACCTTTCATTTTACCTGTATGGTATTTGACATTATTTTTAGCTTCCAAGCAGGCCTTCATTATTTGCGCTGCAAGGCGCGCGTTTTTCCGCTCGCGGGAAGACTTGATGCGAGTCGGAGAGAGGTTTGTAGGGGTGTGGCACCAATAATTATCACTGTTGGACCTGAATCAGACGTCACGCCGGCTAATTTTTGTTAACCTACGTATAGTCGTACTCTCTCTCCCCCCCCCCTCCTCCTCCCCCGTGAAGAAACGGGAGAGAGAGGGTACGGTTACAGGTAGGTTAACAAGAATTAGCCGGCGTGACGTTATCACTGCTGGACCTGAAGCAGACGTCACGCCGGCTAATTCTTGTTAACCTACGTGTAGCCGTACCCTCTCCCTTCCGTTTCTTCATGGGGGAGGAGGGGGGGAGAGAGTACGGTTAATTAAGGCTAATTCTTGCATATCAAATTGCTAAAGTTGTGAATATGACTTCAAACTGAAACCAAAATTATGGTTGGTCTTTATGTAGATATCATCCACGTGACTCCAGCAAAGGATCGTTTGCGGCCTTATACTGTGGAAATGCTGCTGACTTTACCAGCAAACTCTGTTACAGAACTGAGCGTACAGTTCCATAAAGGATTCCTGAAATGGACAGAACATCCTCCAGATGCTCATCATGGGTTCTACATCAGGTAATATTCACTGTGCATCTGTTGCCGAGGAAAAGTGTATCCTTATTTAGGACCCCTCAAGGTCCAGTCCCTAAAAGTGAAAAGAATTATGTGGACGATTTGTCAGGAACGTCGGACAAAGACGTAAATATTTGAACTCTAGTCAGTTTCGATTTTGTGTTAATACGCTGTAATCTACCAGCTGAGCTATCGAGAAATCGTTTTTAAGTTCGACTGTATGTGAAGTTCCCATGTAGGCAGCGTCCTGCTCAAACTTATTGGACGAACGTCGGTCATGCGCGAGGGGATCAGTTCTTTCCGGCCGCGCCAATTTCGCGCGAAAATATTAAAAAAAACGTAAGAAACAGCCCCTGTCTCGCAAAATAAACTGAAAAAATCGAAACTTTCATAGAAATCTGTAAAAGGAAACAAAAGTCGAGAAAAGGAAAACTCGAGACTGCGAACACAAGGCTATTTAAGTACAGGTATCCTGTTACTTTATCATTCTGTTTTGAGCTTTACCGAAAAAGCTATATGATTTTGAAACACCCTGACTTACTTACTTGGGTGGTTGTTTGTAATTCGTGTGAAACAAATTGGTTGTGAAAGCGCACCACTTAGTCATTCATTAAAACGTTCGCACATGCGCAGACGTTTGACCGCTCTGTTGTCCTGCTCACTGGTAGGATCACCAAAATCGAAATCTTCATTAATGTTTACACATAGATTGAGTTTGCTGGTACATTTTAACTGACAACATACACAAATAATATGTGCAGTTCTATTCTTTTGTGGTTTTTAAGAGTCATGAAAGAAGTTTTGCACGAGTACGTGCGATTTGCTGATGAACCAGCAATAGTCTGAAATTCCCCAGATAATGGTGGCCTCGAATACAAAATCACCCTGTTGTCAACTTTCTTGAGGGTTTTTGATATACCAAACGCCCCTCACTCATTTTGCGTTTGTTTTGTTTCAGTTCTGCTGTGATCTCTACAAAACTTCAAGGCCCAAAAAATTACACTGGTCCAGCACGCCACACCTCTCTCCTGTTTGAAAGGTAACCTAAAATCATTCTCTCGTGAACCCTTCAGGGTTTAATTCTGTTTTTTCCTTTATTCATTTATCTGATTGTTTCTTTTGATGAACCATGTTCTAAATGAGTAGGAGACTGGGCTGGAATGCCTTTAACCCTTTAATCCCTAAGTGTAACAAGGTTCTAATTTCTCCTTACAATATCACTCCTGACTAAAAGGTTTAAGTCACGAGAATATAAGGAATAATCAGCAACTAACGAAGCTGTTGATGGTTTTTACAAATTCTCCCTGTTAGATCCTTGGAAATGTATAGAGAACAGTATGGAGAATATGCATACTGATGTTAGGGTGTAAAGGGTTAATTGATTGGGTTGTGAACGATACCAAATAAGGAAGCCGGTTGGTAGAGCCGTTTGTCAGTTGAGTTAAAAAAAGACCAAAGTAATCACAACAGCCAATGGGAGCGAATTTCGACATCATTGTTAACCAATGACAACTCAAAGTAAAGTTAGGGAAACTGCATGAAACGCAGGAAAACGCTAGTGACGAAATTACGATCGGTTTGAAGAGCAAAGTTAAGCAAAACCAAAGCAGTCATGGATTACTTTCAACACAATTGAAAACTGCTCAAAAATTGATACAAACAAGATAGCCTAGTATCTGCGACTATGTAAAACTTTATTGAATTACTACACCTCACTCGAAATTTGGAGATCTTACCAACGTTTGAATGATCTTTGTTGTTCAGTCCCTTTGAAATAAATGTTGGAAACCTTGCTCGGTTGTAACAAGCCTGATTTCAAATTTGTTTTCTAGTGATGAAACTACTCCAGCGGAGGAAGTGTTTCTTCGTGTTCACACAGAAGTTTTACTGATCACCCTCCCCACCCCTGACTTCAGCATGCCATATAACGTCATCTGTTTGGCCTGCACTGTAGTAGCCATTGCATTTGGTTCTTTTCATAATCTGTCTGTGCGGAGATTTGAGGCTGTTGACCCCAAGGAGAGCACTGGTCTTGTTGGCAAGTTGAAAGCTTTTCTCGCCAAGCTAAAGGGTAAAGTTTTTGGGAAGAAGAAGGAAGAAATTGCAGAAGAAAAGAAAGAAAATTAAAGTGAACGTTGTAGCAGCAGTAAAGGTGCCTCGCGAGGTCTGTCGCGCAGGAGTAAAGCGTTGAATATTCTAGTGGCCGAACCAATCAGAACTCAGAAAAATGAGCACGTTATATGTGGCACGAGCAGGAAAAAAAAGCGATGACGCTTTGAGTCAACTAATAATAATCACTGGTCTGTGATTGGCCGGTTAGATTGTTGAGCGCGTTGTGCGTGTTTGATCCCTACAGAACTTTACTCAAGCAGCTGTTTTGGTTGTTTGAAAATGAAGAAAGAATGTTTGGAAAGATGAGCATCAAAAAAGACGAGGAAACTTTTTGTTTTGTGTAGAGTGAAATGATGAACGTTTCTTTAAAAAAAAAAACGTTTTGGAAGGAGAAGCCCCTTTTTTTCCATGAAAAAAAAAAGACGTTCACGAGAAGTAGGTTAGAATTTAATTGTACACTACCTATTTTTTTTTCTTAAACAGTGGAAAGTGTAGGCATTAATGAGATTCATTGAAACAAAATGGATATGGAACATTGATAACGTCTTGGAAGTAGTTCGCTAGTTAGTGATAATCAGAAATTTACTTTGTCGTTCTTCGTGCTTGCTTGTAAGGCGACAATCGGTGGTCATAAAATAATTTTACCTCTTTGTTTCAAATTAGTAGAATAAGTGACAGTGGAAAACCAATGATCTTTTTTAAGACAGAGTGAAAACTTATGAGGTTACAGTACACCTGATTAAAAAAAAACTGGAAAATGTGTGAGGTTGTGAGGCTAAAACTATTTGCAAGGGAAAAACTTGAAAATTTAAGATTATCAAGCTGTGACTAAGAGATAAGTATTGTTCCTGTGATGATATCAGAAAAACAGCTACTTAATTAGCATATGATAACTTATCCGTCTAAATTGCTGTTGGTTCCCCTGATTAAAGGGAATTCTTCCAAATAAGTTTTCTGCATTTTAGTGTATGTAGTAAAATTCTTAAAATTATGCCCAGCAGAACCGCTGCATTAGGGAAGCGAGAAAATTCTGCGGCTCCTCGTCTTTAGTTACTTTGGCTCTGTTTGCCTAGAAGCATTATGTAAAGGAGCATTTCACACAGGCATATCTTAAATTACGTGCGAGTAACGTGTTGTAATCTGCGTGGAAGATGACAAGGAATTATTTTTTCAAGATTCCGCTTTAAATAAATTATAGCTACAGGCTATTCGTCAAATAATAGCTGTCACTTTTCCTTTTTATATCGTTAAGATGATTTTGTTACAACTGTCATGTTTGCGTCAGAGGCAAGACAGGTGAAGAAGGAGAATGTCCAGTAGGAACGATTTAATGTTAACGCTTCAACACCTCTTAATATATGCCTGCTTCCCAAAGCTTTTCGTAAATGGATTAAACCAAAAATATATAAACCTTAAATATCTAATCCGTCGGAACTGGGGCCAAGTCATTCACCATGATATGCTTACAAAATCAAATAGATTGTGGGCATATGTTTTGTTTATACAAGACTTCCTTTGGCCTCAGGGCTGATTCAGAGTTTTGTCACAAATGAATCAGTTTATTTTAAGCGTAATGGAAAGCCAAAGCGCACGAAAAGAACTCTCTCGTTGGCCATCGGCGTCAAACGTTATTTTCAATCAGGCGATCATCGAAGGCGACGTGGCGAAGGTGAAATTTTTGTTGAAATACGGTGGGAAACAGATTGCGCTCAATGAAAGGAACAAACTCGGTTTGACTCCTTTACAGCAAAGCTGTGTTGACGGTAATCTTTCGCTAGTGATGTTACTTCTTGATCATGGAGCTGATATTGAAGGCAAGGACATAAATGGCTGGACGCCGCTTCATTTCGCAATAATCGCTGGTCACTGCAATATTACCAGTTTGCTTATAGATTCATGTGCGAACTTGGCAAGCGTCGATGGTAAGGGTCGCTTACCCATCGATCGTGCTCAGACTGAAGAAATGTTGGTTTTGATTACACGAGCTATGGAGAACGCTGGGTATGTAGAAACAGCGCGTTTGTATCTGGAAAAATGGGGTTTACGATCTCTCTCATCTGAAGACGAAATGTCATCATCTTCGTGTCAAGAAAGTACTGAATTTTCTGAAGCAAATAGTGTTACGGACATTAGGCAACCTTCGAACGACAAAACGATTTGTAGTAAAAATCAAAATATTCAAGATTTCGTTATGCAAACCAAGTGTGAATTGGTTTGGTCGAAGTCATCATAAATTTTCTTATCAGTGTGGAATACATTTTCTTCCAGGGGCGATTTGATAAAGGAGCGATTTTTCAAAGCAAAGCCAAATAACAATAAAAAATTAAACCTTCAGGTGATCCAGGAGTGTTCTATTAAATAAAAATTCGCTTTAATATATTCCACAACATCAACAAATCGAGGAGAACGAATAATTGAATTGTGACAGATTGCAAATGCCGTTAATTTTTTTCATAAGCCTGTTTACTTAGGATCAGGAAAATGGTGGGATTGTCTTTCGCGTGTAACTGAAATTCCCCGTTAAAGTTCCCATCGAAATGATAGAAGTGTAGTTAAAAATAGCCAGGGAAATCCAGTGGGATGTCACAGCATTTTAGAAAGCTTAAGTTTGAAAATAACGTCATGTAACAAACGCTATAAAATAAGCTGTGACAATTCAAACACGTTTATACGATTTTCATCAGTAAAAATATGAGCCGTAAATATTAAAAATCAAAACAAGCTTCGAGGATGTTAATGAATTTTACATAAATTTCTAAATAAAAAAAAAGGAAAAAAAGATGAGGAAAAATCCTCATCCTCTTCATATACCACTCAGATACAAGCGAAACAACGCGTTTGTTGGCGAGTTAAAAACAGTTTATTATGACCTCTTTCTAAGCCTTCATATCCCTAGAAATGTTTAAAGCTCTAACAAAATAACAATAGACCTATAGACTTCTATTTACACTTAATCTCTCTATCATTAAGTATTCATAAGCTGACAGTTCCGTAGTCTGATTAAATTCACAAATGCAAGACTTCTCCTTAAAATCAAAGCCATAGGGATGATAAGGGTCTATCGAAAGTCATGGAATCAAAAGGAGTGTTTCCTTCAAGGCTCGTACTTTCCTAAGATGCAATTCTACCCCGCGAGGATCACTCACATCCTGCGACGGCAATTCACATCCCGCGAAGGTCGACGGTCGCTCTAGCGCGAAGACTCCTTGTACCCCGACCCGACCCCAACCTCCTCGTTTTTTCACTCCTCGACTCCCCGAGTTGAATAAAAAATGTACAAATATGAATCAACCGTTAGCCTATCATTTTACACTGACTGACGAAACGCACCAATTTTTTTTTCAAACCTTATAAATCATTCCACATAAGTTTCCACTTGCAAGATGAAGTCGATTTTTAAATAGCCTGTTCTAGACGTTCAGTTAGTAGAACGAAGCACGATAGTCGCAGAGGAGTGAAAAAGCGAGGAGGTTCGGGTCAGGTCGGGTCGGGTCGGGTCGATTCGGATCGATTCGCGCTGTTAACTGTCCTGCTCCGTTTTACCACTTCATTGTACGCCTGAAACAAGCCACCTTGTTAAACTTCAAACACAAGTCTGCCGATGTCTGTAGTTGATAATTGTCGGTGTTATTTTCCTACAGAACTGAAGAATTTCTCAAAAGAAGTGAATTAATCCCTGGTAAACTTTTTGACTTTTTACATCATTTATAAACTTTCTAATTGTGACTAATAATAAAACTACTACACATGCAACATGTAACGCATATCGCTCTCTCTCACGGTTACACTCACGTTTGTTTCAATCCGAGTTTCTTTTTCCTAACAATTGATCGCACACATTTTGGGAAATTAATAAATAATGGAATCTCAAGCTCGCATAATTTCCCTTCTACCAGTAGACTAACGGCAAATACAAACAACGAACTCTGCACAGAGTAGCGCCATTTTAAAATTCGCTATCGTGTATGTCCTTATTTTATATCTTTATAAGAGCTGCCTTGTTGCGTTACGGTTGTTACGCTATGCTTATAAAATATCCTGTGTTGTGTGACTGTTGACGAATTGGTGCTATCCGTGATTCCGTACGAACTGTGAACACTTCAAGAAGATGAATTATTCACCCGGTATCAGCCATTGCTTTGGTAGGAACCTTAGTTGGGCGTTTGCCATGCTCATAGTTGACCAGTTTCTGGCCGACAAGGTACCTGAAAGAAATCAGACATGTACATAACCTTAGTTCATAACATAGCTTACTCCTGACGGTGTTAAGTCGCATAATTCAAAAGTTCCATTCTCCCTGTGTCTTCAGTTTGAATCCAAAAGTAAGGTCAAAACGAAGAAGAAAATATGCAAGTTCTCTCTCCCCAAAGAGTACCAAGCTGATCACCGCGTAGCTTGCAAGCAGACCCAAATCAGCGTTGCACCACTTTTAGCCAAGCATGCGAGATTCAAACAGGCGGGCGAACATGCCAGAGTTCCTTTCGCATACTCACATCGATCCCCAGGAACCAAGCTCCCTGGTTCGTAGATAAGTCGAGCATTCGATCGTTTTTTTGTTCGGTCGGTCCGTCATTCATTCGGTTAAATGGTCGGTCACCCAGTCAATTGGCCAGTGGTGAGTTAGTTAGCTAGCCCTTGAGTCTGTGTCATATATTTGACTTGTTAAGCCATGTCAAATTAGTTTTTTAGAGTGCGTTCTTTCAAAGAACACTTGGGCATTCGCGGAATTCTCTAAAAACGTGGCTAAACCTTCAGCTTAACAAAAATTTGGAGATGTTGGTTTCTGAACAAGATAGAAATATGACGAATAGAAGAATCTGATGGTGACAGAGGAGGACCTTATACCTTTTAACTTTTTAAAAAACACAACTTACTTATCATTCCTGATTCGTTCGTACAAAAGGCGGAATTGACGTCCTTGAAATATAAAGCCCGCAATCAGGATGAACATGGCCAACAGGAATGGGTAAATACGGCGGAGACAGAACAAGCGAGTGTCAGGTGATCGCACTGAAGAGAACGGCAACAATAATCAGTAAAGTACGAGTGGTGAGATGTTAGGAAAGTGTTATGAAGCTGGGGCAAGTTTGCACAAGGTGGACAAAGCCTCTTCCAGGTAGTCGTTCGGTAAACGTGACAGTAAATAGCACAATTATAGCATAGGGAAAAAACAAGGGAGGGTTAGGTTGAGTCACATTTCCTACTGCATTTCGCTCCACTGAACGCCAAGAACAGGCAAGGTGGAGATAATTTTCCAGAAAGAACCTTATAAACTAACTCACTTAAATAGGAACAGACAGGCTAGGGATTAAGGCTATCTTATTCCAAGGCATTTACAAACGGATGGGATGTCTAAATCTAGAGCTAAATCTAAAATTTTAAGATAAATCTGTCAAAGGAATCGTCTTAGCTCTTAAGCTGCACACAAGGTAAAAATGCCGAGGTTTAATTACGCCACTGAATCCAGACGTAAGATATACACCAAATACTTACCAAATATGGGTATAACTCCGGCAGCGGTGACGTAAGGGAATGAGACAGCCAATAGAAGACAACATACGACGGGTAAGGTCACGTGTCGAAATATAAACACCACATTTATGTTCCGAACACCATCTTGATATACCTGGAAAATTGAAGTAAAAGAATCAAATCGACAGTGTTTGAGCATGGTCTGCACACTTATTGATAACGATATTCGTCATCACAGTGGTAAAAATGTTATATACTTACGAGGAGGCGCAGCCGAGTCCCCGCAGCATTTCATATTTACCACAATATCAACGTCAACTAAAACGATTCTCTCGGTACATGACCTTTACGGGACACGCTGACGCGAGCAGCGTTGTCTATACTCTTGTCGACAACAGCAAATTGGCCAATCAGATTGCGACTTTTCTACCAATTGTGGTAAAATTACTGATTGATCTCAATAAAACAAATACAGCTTTAGGGTGTAGGGGTAAACCTAACATTGATGTCATGAAAAAAAAAATTGATTTACCGAAGTTTCTCCCATTCATATGGAGAAATAATTCGCCCATTGACTATTACGAAATGTACTGCTAAGCCTGAGATCGCTAACCAATGCTTTACTATAAGTGTACGTAAATTTTTGGAAGGTACCTCGATAACTGACCTAAATAAATAGATGTCCATCTTTCCCGATCGACTATTAACCAATTACTGTCGTCGCAATAAACTACTCCCGTCATACATCGTACTCTAAGATCGCAACATGACTAGCTTCTACAGGGACTATAGTTAGAACAACACTTAACTACTAGACAAGCACTTCGACTAGATGTACAAGGCAGGACAGCCTTTGCTGGTTGATGGATCAAACCATTGCGTGTTACCTGTTCTAAAGCTCTCTTAAGCCACCAGTTTGGTCCCATCATGGTAACAGCACATATAATCTTCATGTGAAGCACACCCAATGCCCAGTCCTGTTAGAGAAACAAAGATATGGCGGTCTTTAAATTGCTTAAGAGACTCGGGCTGAGAAAAGTATGACAGGATTGGGGCTCTCTCACCTGCCACGGAAAAAACAAAGGGGTCTGATCGAGAGGGACTCGCAAAGGCGCTACCACGACGAGCTCAAACAGAAGGCCCAACAATAATGGTACCAAGCCAATAAGAGCGAGGGCTACGATAACACACTTGAGACCCTGAAGACAATAACAATAAAGGTCAATTAATTATAGGCAGCTTCATAAAGCTACAGTGATAGAAGAACAGTTTAATTCACTCACAGCCAAGATAAGTCGAAGATGACGATTAAGATTATCTTTAGCCGAAGAAGAAACCTTCGGTCCACCTTGCGGTGATCGTGTAAGCTACTGGTTAACTGATTTTATCAACTGCGTTAATAATGTATATTGGCCACCGTAAAGAGTTTCTAAACCTGACATCTCGAGCGTTAGCTCTTCGTCAAAGCAAACCAGAACTACTGGTTAGCTTTCACGCATCAGAACAAGGTTCGTTGACATTTCTTGCGCTAAAATTGACATGTTCCAGACTTTTTCAATCCGCTTATTGTCATTTTCCAGACTCTGTGTTCAACATAAAACTCCATAGCCTACACAAAAAAAGTGGTTGTCCAAGCTTTCTTTGAAACAGACCACAAAATACGAAAAAAAAAAACACATTCTGTTGTTCTTTACGTCCCGGGGATTTCAAACAGCTACCAACCTTGTTACAATCTAAAAATGATCTGGACTCTTTTAAAACTCTTTTTTTCTCTTCACGATTTTACTTTTACTTTCAATGATTCATTCAGGTCTTAATGGATAGTTTCCAATCGCTTTGTGGTATCAAGGCTTTAAGAATCTAAGCGAGCCTTAACCAAAATTCCGCTTTCAACAGAACCATAAATCCACAAGGAACTTACCAAGAGAAACCACTCGAAGAATTTCAAAGCAACACCCTTGCAGCCAAGAGGTATCCAGGAGGTGAGTACACTGCCTATTCGGCAAACAAGCCATATAATATACAAACCACATGCTGCTGTATACAGCTCGTGTACAGCGGCATCACCCATCCACAGCAGCATCACGCTTCGGCCAATAAAAACTAAACAAAACGATCACAACTTTAGACTTTTTCAGCTGTCACAATCGGAGTTTTGAGGCGGAATATGCTAGGGTCAAAGCCCTAACTCTTTTTCAGGTTTTACATGCTTCTTTTGTTTCAATTGTATTTAATCAATTAGGCTCATCACTTGTAGGGCAAATTGACCGAGGGAGATTGATCTTCATTCTCCGAAATAGACAAAAGTATTTATTCCGTAACTCACCTGGTCCAGTTAAAGTCACAAAACTTGCAAAAGACAGCGAAACACACATCAACACGACAAGCAACAATATCTAGGAAACAAGAAAAAGCACGAGAGAAAATAACATAGTATCTCAGTTTAAATAGCATAGAGTAATCTACTCCCTCCTATATTCCTACGTATTCCACGTTGCAACATTTAAGGAAATGAAATTGACTGCCGGGCTGGGGTACAAACACTTACTAGAGACAAAGTTTTTTTTCTTTCTCCAGAGGTCATAACAATTGTAAAGCATCTTTCCTTTACTATGAGGCCAGTATTCTGAACAATAATGAGATACTTAAAAAAACAAATATATAATAATTGTGTTGAAGGGGTAGGGTGGGAGAGGGAAGACGGAGAGGTGTTTACCTTGAAAGCGAACATACGTGGTCTGATATACGGCTGAAATCCGAGAGCAGCTCCACCACCCCCCGCAGCATTACCAGCAGCTGGCTGAGCCTGCACTGCATTCTGACCGGCAGCGTTTACTTGAGGGCCATTTCCAGCATTCCTCTGATCAACACGGTAACTTAAATGCAATCCATACACCTGGAGAGTAAAATTCATCAAATGCCTGAGTGCTTTTTCCACAATTAAACTAGTTAATCAACCAACTAAACCGTGAATATCTTTCAGTTTAACAGTTATTTTAAGCTCGATTTCCGCCGCTCTCTCGAGTACCGTCTTCGCTCTTGTGGGCGTGTGACCAAGTCGCGCCCACTTGGTCTTAGTTTTGTAGATTTGTGCCTGATTGGTTGAGAAGGTGGCGCGATATATCTGCACCAATCACAAAGTGCATTATGGCAAGACAAAGCGATCCAGAAAAACTATCAACAGTCAACTGAAATTTTTGTCTTTGGACGGACGAAGGCAGAAAAAGCTAAACAGAATCACATATATCTTAATTATCAATTCTAGTGAACATGTCACTAATAACTTAGGTTTTCTTCAATCGATAAAAACTTACATTTTCTGCTCCATCCAGAGGCACGTCCCCTAACAGGTATGATCTAAGATTTCTGGAAACAGAGCAAAAGATTATCTTGATAAGTATGATTTTAAAAAAATGGTAAATCTATCCTGCATTAGAAAAACATGGACATAAAACTAATTTTGGTGTAGCGACTCTCTTGGATGGGAAAAGAAAAGTAAAAGTAAAATCTGAATAAACACTGAAGGCCACTTTAATCCGTTTGAACCTAAGAGAGGCTAGCTTCTAATTTCCTCTTACAGCACCACCCTTGAATCAAATATAAAGGTTACAAGAATTAAGGAAATGATCAGTGATTTAAGGCTTAGGAAGCTCCTGATATGAAAACAAATTCTCCTTCTCTTCACCTTAAGAAATCTATCGAAAACAGTATGGAGATTATGCATACTGATGTTAGGGTGTAAAGGACTGAGAATACTTACAGGACGAAGGCTGCGGCAACAGCCCAGCCACGCATGACATTTTTCAGCCATTGTCTGGTATGACCCTGCTCCAACAAAGCTGGTAACACAACCTGAAGTAGTAGCAACTCAAGGGATAACTCGCTTACGGGAACCTCACTGAAAGAAAAGTAAACAATGGAAATCATTTTAAGTGGAAGTTCGCTCTGGAAACAACACAAGGAAATTTTTGGGGCGAACTTGTTTCACTTCAGGGGGAGAGGGGGGCAAACCTGCGAAGGTGGTAGGAGCGAACTTACACTGGGGCCAAACCTCCAGGTACCGTACAACAACGAGGGAAATCCGCTGAAAATACCATTTTATCGAGGAAAACAATTTCTAGAGAGGATAAAATAACGGAGATATTCAAGGAAATAGTTTTCGATGAACCAAACGGGCCTAACCTAAGTTAAGGAGGACGAACGATACGTAAGAAGTAATTACAAGGCTGCATCTGACCTGAATAACTGGACATTGTACGGCAAGAAACTTGGAAACAGCCATTTAATGAGTCGGACAGGAAGATACATCATAAGGAGCACCGTGGTGCCAAACACAACCTGAAAGTGAACGAAACCAAGTAACCTTATGCATCATTAAGGGGAGACGGGGTGTTCTTGGTCCAGTTGTATAAAGGTGGATAACGCAATCCAGCGGATAAATTGCTTTCCGGCGGATAAGTGATACCAAAACGAATAGCTTTATCCACCAGACAGAGAGTTATCCAGTGGATAGCGTTATACACCCTTCGAACAACCGAGGCCTGGTGATTGGAGCGCTAGACTCCGGGTCGAGATGTGCAAGTCCGTAAGTTGAGCGGATCATTGTGTTGTGAACTTAGGAAAGACACTTTGCTTTCACAACGCCTCTCTACTCTCAAGAATATAAATGAGTACCGGCAGGGAAGCTTGATGAAATGCTAAGGAGTAACCTGGCCATGGACTAACATACCATTCAGAAGGGAATAGCAAGACTCTTCGATAGCTCATGCTTCACAAACCAGGATGAGCTCTGCTTGGCTCGAGTGAAAACTTACTTTATTACTCAGTGATCAGAGCAAAAAACAATTTACGTGACAGGTCTTTATGCTATTTCAGAAACGTCTCAAAGAGGAATAGGAGAAAAAATATTCTTCTGTTTTATGATGTAAGGGAATTTATCTGTATAACATAGCATACCAATGACAGCAAAAACCTTCTTGCATGTCTGTACACAGGGAGTCGTATCATCTGAAATTTCGAACAAACAGCAATGCCTTTAATTTGACTGAAACACAACATCCCTGTGAGAAAACAGATCAGATCTCTCACGGTTCACGGTTATCCTCACGAGGGGAAAGTTTCTTAAACAGTTTACTCAGAGGGTCAACCATAACTACACTCGATATCCTTCGTTTTCTCGGCTTCGGTTTACGATCCTCCCGAAAGTCTTCTGCGGGAGAAACGTGGGATCATTTCGCGAACAGCGGCTGGTAATCGATTCTAGGGCATAACTTGAAGAAGTCACGTACCTCTTGGACTGGATGAAAGTCAGGATCATTCAGATTTCTCAAGAACCACAGGACACCAGGTCTGAGGACCTCTCTGAGCAAGAGAACAAATGAAGCAAAGTAGAACACGTACACCATACCAACAAGCCAGTGAAGGAACATGGCTGTACCTTGGGAAATAAAACAGAAGTACATTATCAATCTTTGCACACGAAGAAAAAGTTCGATGTAGAATATATTCCTTAAAAAATTACTAACTTCCTGTAATCATTAAAATACCTGGTGCCGAATCAACACTTAGAAGTCTGTCTTTCAATGTAGCTCCAAACAGAGACTAGAGAAAAAAAGAAAAAAACTTTCATTAACACTTGATAAAGCACTAATGAATATCAATTCTACCATCTTCAGAGGATACTACCTTTGAAGTTTAAACAGAAATGCACATAAACATAGAGCTTCTTTTGCTCGGAGAAGATGGCCACAAGCTTGTTAAACGTGTGCGAGTTGCGGTAATACTGCAGTGTGTTTGTAAGTGGTGTTAACACTCTATGACTTTCAGGAAAAAAAAAGCCATAAATGTTAAGAGGCGTTAGTGCTATGATGTTAGAGGGGTAATGTCATAATCAGGCTGGAGTTATTTCAATCATAATGTATTCGTTTTAACAGACTCACCAGTGAGCATACGTCTAACCACCATCCACACACCAATGGAAACAATCCAATCTCTACCAACATTAACAATGAAACCTGCCAAGGAATCAAGTAAGATGTAATTGGAAAAAAGTTATTTTGAATAACCTACCTATATTGACAAATTCAAGCGCATTTCAATAGAGTGCAGTAAAACCAAAACCAAAGTAATTAAGAGAGCAAATCGAAATTTCTTTCCAGTTCTTACCTTAACTACTACATAGCACAACCCCAATATTCTTTTCGGTCTGCAAGAAAAGAGTAATCATAGATAAAGTATTACTGGCTCTGGTAAACTAAATAGACATACTCTGATTCTTGAGAGAGAGGGTTTAGGGTTATATATTGTATTAATATTATAAGGAGAAATTCTGTCTTGGTCACTCATAGGGGTTAAGGGTTAAGGGTTAAGGTTAAGAGAAAAGGGTTGAGGTTAAACCATAGACATGTATCTCTTTCATCCAAAAGACAAAGATAGTTATTGAGTAAAAAATGAACCAACAACATTACCTTCTCAATCCACACACAGATGCTACACTCTATAAAAAAAATAGTCAAGGAAGAACCACTTTACTGTCACACTGGACAATAGCACTATCTCTAATTTATAACAGGTATATGGTAAGTAGCAACATCAGGCCATAAGGTAAGTGGTATGGTATGACATGTACACTTCATATTGTGAAAAGTGTCCTTTCCTAAATTAAAACTTTATTTCAGGGAAACATTTTACCATTTAGGAGAAAAATATTGTGACTTTACAAAGTTTACAAAGTTGAACTCATCTAAACCTTATTGTTTTCAGAATATTTCTAATTAAAAACCTTTTTCCCCATCACATCTTTGCTATCTCTTTTTTTAACTGACCAGATCAAATGAGATATTATCTAAAATCAGCTGACCTCACTCACCCCACCCCCCAAAGTGATTCATTAACTTTTACAATTTTCAAGTTTTCAAGAAAATACATCAAAGTGACATTTCTTGTAAAAAAGGATACATGACACAATATTAGAGAGAAGGCAATAATCACATATCCTAGAACTGCAGTTAAAAGACCTTCAAATTTCGATGACTGAAACTGTAAAATAATTGACAAAGAAAGTTAGAAACAAATTGAAGCACAAAAAAAATTCATTGCCAGAAGTCATAAAGAAATAGTTACTGTCTTTCATACATGTACAGCCAAAGGAAACAAGAAATATTGCCAAAGAAGCATTCAGACAACTGAGTAAAGTTTGGTGTGAAGTATTTTAGATATGGCTCACAAAAAGATAATACTAAGCAATGGCCAGCATAATTTTATCCATGACTTTCAAATAGAGAGTGAATCCCTCTACAAAAAAATGTGCATACTTTTGTATTTCAAAAGATGATTGTGAAGTGAAAAAGGGAGAGGGGATTTTAAAGCGACCAGTAGTTTTTTTTTATCAACATAACTCTGGGTTGCCACAGACTTTTGTTTCCTTTTCATCTGCAATCTTACACAACTAGAGTAAATCTAAAATGAAGGCTTTTTATTTAATTCACGATCAACAAAAACTATGGCAAAATTCTAAATTGTGACTGGAAATCAGCAGCTCAATTTGAGCACCAATAGGGCTGTACATAAGTAATGCTCAACATTGCACAAACAAGACAAAATATGTCATTTGCCCAAGCTGTGAAAAGGTCTATTGAGTGATTTTTCTTCTCAGAAAAAAGTCACTGCTATGATACTATTTTTTTCACTAATTTTCAGTGACAGGCGTTTTGTCTCTCAAATCAGAGTTTTAGCTAAATGGAGACAAAAATTTGTGCCAAATTATGTCTGTAATCATGATAAACTGATTGGGGTTCTGAGTTGCAGGCATCCTCCTTTGTTCATTTCTCCTGTGATTACAAACCAAATTGGACTCCACTCATCCTACTACAATTGATAATAGGTACAAAGTCACGTAAAGTTAGGCATCATTCATACACAGACATCATGAAACCTGCCACTTACCACTTCCTCAAGTGATAATAGAATAACTGTAAACTGCCCAATGTGAAAAGGACAGAAGGCTGAAAAAAAAAATAACACAACAATCAACCACCACATCATTTTACAATGGGATCATAACATGTGGTAGGTAGTAGGAACTTAAACATAATAGCCAGAGTAGAAAAATATCACCACAGTAAAAATAAGCCAGAAGAAGAATGTGGATGATTATGAATGGGAGCATTCCTTAGCAATACTATTGGCTAAAACTTTCAAGGTTAAAAAATTGTGACACAACTCCTTTAATAACCATGCAAAGTTACTCACCAAAGACCAAAATAAAGGATGTGTTCAGAGAAACCACCCAGAAAACATGCTCCTGAAAAAAAAAAAAATCCAGAGATGCATTTGTGAATCAAAATGTAAACAAACAAAATACATTTTTACTTAAACAACAATGAGAGGTTTTTTATTAAGTCTATAATCCAAGATGTGCAAGGTAGCAGGAGATAAATGCATCTACCTCCAATGAGCTTTAAGACAATATGTAACTAAAAACACAATAGGAAAATTTTTTTTTCTGCAGTTCCCTTCATTGCAGCTTTCCTGCAAGGATAATACAAAGTCAAAAGGTAATTTACTTCACCTAACTGCAAACAGATATAGTTTGGAAACTCACCAAAAATACTAAAGACCCATCCAGCCCAAGCATCTGTTGAAGAAAATTGATTAAGAGATTGAGTGTCTATCAAAATGCTTGACACCAATACAGCTTTAGGTATGCATATATTTACTACCACCAGGAATACTATGATCAACTTTAATTTGTTTCTTGAGGGTACCACATAACGTTACATCTGATGAACTCATGGCCAGTTATTAGGCTTTAACTTTACATTAAGTGATATTCAAAGTGTCAGTTTGTGCAAGTGTACAAAATGTAGTATTCTTTGTGATAATCACCATGCAAGCATAATCTGGTGTAATATGTGGCTAATTTTGAGAAAAAAGCAAAAATCTTACCCTCTCCCATGTAAGTTCTTCTGCAGCCCTCTCCCATTCCACAGGATTCCAATTTGCATCATCTGTGGACAAAAAAAAATTCAAAATCATCACCATCATTAGAGTCTTCAGAGCAAACAAGAACAGAACTCCAAATCAAATAAGTTCTTGTGTCTTATAACATGTGAAGAATGCAAGCATTCAGTAATGAAACTGGAGTATGCTTCAGCTGTGTGGCTCAATACCGCATAAATCATTCCACAGTAGTTGGTGTATGTTTTGCTTCTTTGACAACAGAAAAGCCAATGATTTTGTTTGATATAAGGTTTAAAGCAGTTCCTTTGGCATCAAGTTAACAGTAAAGACTTGACCTGTCATTATAATACTAACTTCCCTTGCCAGGACACCTTCACTTGTTCTACAAATAGCTTTAGGGTGTCAGAGTTACCATAAAACTCCAACTTGGATGTGCTGTCTTAAACCCTTTCACTCCCAAGATCTCTTTAGTAATTCTCCTTACTGTCCAAAATAAAAATTAATTCTTATGACGTGAGTTTGAAGAATTTGGCATTGGATCAACTAACAATCCCTAAATTTATATTTTTATCCATTCTCATCACTTGTCTGCCTGAGATAATAATGATATTGTAAGGAGAAATTCTGTCTTGGTAACTAATGGGAGTTTAAAGGTTAATTACAAAAGTGTCATCCTTAAACTACAAGTAACTTCAATGAAAATTCTAAAGAAATTTTTTTTTTCCTTTCAATTACAATAACAAAAAATATTTATTGCTGTTTATGCTGACCATCACCATTTTGAGCTCCATTTTCTGCATCTTGATTTGCTCCATTGTTCCCTTCTTCTTCTGGAATATCTTGAGGCTGGTTAACATTCTCCCCACCCCCACCTCCCTCAGCAGCTGCATTCTCAGCACCACCCCCAGGATCATTGTTTATCTAAATTAAAAGAAAGTGTGAAAGTATATGTTGTGATTAGACTTTTCTCTTTGTTTATAATCTTTAACACCAGTTTGACCTGAAATCCATTTTACAGAATGGCAGACATACAGTGCGAGATTAAGTTGCTACAATGAGAGCCAATTTCAAGCATTCTGAGCTTAAACTTACAACATTAAGTTGAGGAAGAGGATCAGCATTAGGCTCCAGCCATGCAGGGCCACCATTTGTGATAATCTGTTCCCGTAACCAAACTAAGCTAATGAATGCGCACAGTGTACAGGCTACCACAAAACAGCCTCGTATACAGTCTGAAAATAGATTTTCTCTGCAGAGAGACAGAAATTGCAATAATTTGATCAACAGCCTAAGTATCATGCATTATTAGAAATCTAAAACTACCTCATTTTGTCATAGCTTTAAATATTTTTTGGGGTTTGAAAAAAAAAGGCTAAATTATGTGTAAGAACATCTTTGTGGCTAATCAATAGGGGAAAAATTAATCATGTATATCTTGCTAAAAATTATTTTTAAGTGACAGTAGTCTCTTCCCACAGCATTATCCAATACTAACTTTTTGACATCTTCCATGGTTTGAAATTTACAGTTGAACCCCCATAACTCAAACCCTTGCTAACTTGAATTCCCTGCTAACTCAAAGCAAACTAATTTCCCTTGGATTTGCCTCATATAATTATTATTTACTGTAATTTTAACCTCTATAACTTGAAACCCTGCTAACTCAAAGCAATTTTTACTTCCCTTCAGGTATTTTTCTTTGTAATTTTACCCTCCATAACTTGAAGTCCATTTTCACTTTTGCGGACTAATAAGCCATAACATTTTGCATCAGAAGATTACATTTAGTCTCGTATATTACGACAAATAAACCTTTGTCAATATACGACATGTTAAAGTGAGATTTAGCGCTACACATTCTGAAAAGCAGCTGCTTTCTAGTACTAGTGGTTTTCATGCTTTTTTTGTTTCCTTTTGTTTTCTTCTCTTGTTTTCATGCTCTTACATTGCTAGAAATCTTACAATAAAACATGTACAAGCATAAAAACCTCTTTAATCAAGTGTTTCGGTCTTTTTGTTCAAAACCCCTCTAACTCAAAACCCTGATAACTCAAAGTTATTTTGATTTCCCTCAGCAATTCAGGTTATCAGGGTTCAACTGTATTTGTCATTTTCAAAAATGCACTCAGAGTTCCAAGCTGCCACAACTTTAGTCACCATGGCAAGAAGAAAAAGGTTTTGGTGTCAAACTAAATCTGCAGCAAAAGTCACCAATTTGGCTGCTTATGTTGGGAAGTAAAGCAGTTTAAAGAGTGCTTTTCCATGACATTTCTGGGAACCACAACCATCTTTCTGGAAGCCATTTCATAATGTTTTTGTTGCCAAATCACAACTTAGAATAAGGGTGAGGTTGGAACCCTTGCACGTGGTTGTTACATTGCACTGTACTTTTGAGATGGGAAGAGCACAAAGTACTTACGTGGACAACATATCTAATGGCAAAGTAAGAAGAGAATTGACAGATCCAGCAAATAGGCATCTGTATATACGATCTAAAATATGAAAAAAAGAAATTGAAGTGCTTTCACAATCAGCTTTTGCCAAACATTTCTGCCTTGCTCATCAGAAGTTTCTTTTTTTAGTCCAACAAGTCCTGACCTGACTGAATCAACATTAAAACATTTTTGTTGGAAGCTTACAGCTATTGAATAACAAGATTATATTACTTTTGGTGAGACATTTTATCCCTTCACTTCATTGGCAATAGGGATCATTATCCTACTGAAAATTGAATTACCATATAAAACTGGATCATCACCATAGTGATCCAACTAGAGTTTCATGACAAAGGAATAAGAACAACCTATTTCAAGTCCATAGGGAAGAGTTCTATGTACATGCAGGTACAACATACACTGAATGAAGGCTTTGTTTGTGCTTAAAAGTTCATGGAGGTAGGACTTCCTGAGGGTTAAAACATTTGGGGTACATTTATATCAAGTAAAAAGCCCTTTTCTTGTTACAAGGAGGAAACATAAACGGATTGAGTTGGTTGTGCAACTTTTGATTAATTTTATCAATGGTTCAAATTTTCTTGTCCTGTCTATTTGGGTACTGCAATATATCACAATTACTTCAAAACAGAGCTGGAAGTAAATTTGAACCAGGGAAAAATTAAACTACCAAAGTTACATCCTTCATTTTTTGAATCTGGTGTAAGTCACTCTTATCCCTATCTGAGAAACAAGTACTTTATGAAAGAGAGAATTTTAAAAATGGAAATACATGACTGTGTAGCCTTCATGTAGGGAAGATTTTTACATCTTGTATTCAGACAGAGACTTAGAGTAAAGAAAATGAAACTGCATTGACTTACATGCTGTAATAGGTACAACTCCCAGCCATGCCAAGGCAACCAGTGTGTAATGAAGCCAATATTTTAGAGCTCTAAGAATGTTTGTTACTAAACCACCAACAAAATCCTTGACAGGAAGTCTGTTGGGCATGTCTGGTGCGTAAACTATGACAAAACAGAAACAAACAAACAAAAAATTGTTGTCAGTAAAAAATATGATGTTTAACTTTTTTGTTTCCTTTGTTTGAACATGTATAAGATGATGATTGATTAATTACAACAACAAAACGAAAAAACAACAAAAAAAGCAATAGAACCACAATGAACATATTTTAAATTGTTCATTAAAACACACATTTTAATATATTGACAGTTTCAAAGAACAAAGAAGATAATTGTTAAATAGATGAATTTATGAAATGCTACACAAAGAGACAGGTTCAAACATATACATCAAAGAAGACAAATTAAAAGAGCAAATAAATTTATGGTAGAATGTATCATTCTTTTATAAAGAAGAAATTACAATTCCCAGGAAACAATACTATATAGCAAATATTCCAAAAGCTATTTTAATGACACTCACTTGGTTTGAATGCAAACCGGTGATTGCATAATTCACAATATCTGAAATGGATACAGGAAAGACAAAAAAGTTCACTATAAGGAATACCACTATTTATGGTTCAATTTGGCGACTGCTGCTATTTCCAGTGGTGAATTTCACCAGCAGTTGGCTCTTAGCCAAAACTTTGTGTAATAGTCTTAATGTAAAATGAAATGAATTAACAGTTTACTTACAAGTATTCCAGATTATTGAATAGAATGACATTAATACTCACTCTTTTTTACTGTGTTTAAGCCACTGTACCAAACTGCGAATAAGTGAATGGAACCAATGAATGAAAAGAAGTAAAATCAGAAGAAGTCAATATTAGATGTTTTAGCAAATTCACAAAGGGAATAATACATATACATGGCTGTGTGAAGTAAGGACATTTTATGTTTGAGTGCTGAAGAATATTTTTACAAGTGAACCCAGCAGACAAGTGAAATATTTCCTAAAATATAAAGAGAAACCTTGTATCACAATGCAGCCATTTAATCTTTTATTTGCAATATTAACACCAATGAAATAGGAAACCACTGCCACTGCAGGTGTGATTCATTATGTAACCATAACATAATCTTTTTGTATGCAAAGATAACATGTTACATGTATCTCCAGCAGGAAGATATCATGATTTTGCAAGAGGGCTTTGCTGATATTCAAATGGTGTTTGTATGATACAGCACTTAATTCTACAATTTTCATGTGAGGTTTGGGGAATGAATGTTCAGCCACTTCAGGATTTTCCCCCTAAATAACATGATTTGTTACATCATTAACAAATATTCACCCAAGTGGAGGTGAATAGTGGTGCATATTCATTGAGCTAGGAAGCAGCAAGGTAAATATCCACCTCTTTCACCAACACTAAGGTGAATATTGACTAATGAATACTAGCCAATCAGTACATCAAACAGCACTATTCACTTGTTTGGTATTAACTAAGTAATAACATTTAAAAGTATATACCACACAAATAAAAGGTACTTTTCACAGTCATGCTAATTGGCAAGTTTGGAGGTAACTCGCAAGTACTATTCACCTCCATGCCACCAAAGAGACAAAATTGTTCATCTGACCATTTAATTTCCCACCATATTGAGAGAATTTAACTATTATTTGATTAAAAGTGAAGGAATTTAAAATAGAATACTTTGTTTACACTAGCTAAAATGATAACTGTAGTGGTTTAGTTAAGGCTCCATAATAATAGTATCATTTCAATGCCTGGATCTATGAAAGTCACATATTTAAATACTATTATTGTGAAAACACTTTGACCTTGTAGCTTACCAACACTATAAAATTAAAGCACCATGACAATTTTATGTAACTAAATACTGACTCTGAAAATGTCATAATACAAAAGAGACTAAGGATGAAGCTATTTATACAAGGAAACTAGAAATGTACAATTTTGCACTGCACTAACAAAGCAAACCGCTGTACTGCTTTACCGATCATAGATAACAAGCCGAAACTTTCTATTTCCTTTTTATCGCTACCAACGTAAGTTGACATCTTTCGGTCTAGACAACGTTGAAAACAAAACAGAATTCTAAAATACAACGCACATGTACACTGTAATCTTCCTGTAAGTGAATTCAACATCTCACTTTCATCCATTCTATATTTTCCTTTGATTGAGCAAAAATTGCTCTGGGCGTAATTTTTCGGCCTTGTGCAAACAATTAACGATGTTAAGCACTAAATACAAGAGATATTGATGCAGATCACGAGATCTGCTTCGCCGGTCTAACACACTCCAGTATGGTGCTCTTGTAAAAAACCTAGATAAAAAGCTCAAAATACGTACCATTCTTGATGTATAAATTTAATGCTTCCCGTGCATATACATGGGTGGTACAGAGGCTTATCATGTGTCCCTTCAGCGCGACAAACCCTGCAGATATCGCCTAGAGAAAAACAAAAACACTGAGAAACATAGGAACAGACAGATTGTACGCGAATGTTAATACCTTAAATTAATCCTTTCATTTTCCACATCAAAAGGAAAGATTCGTGGTGTTATTTAAAAATTTCCAGGTAATTATTATAAAAATCTTTAAGGAAAGTTACACTAATTTTAAGAAAATGCAATAGGAGAGCAAATAACGAGGAACTCCTATCAACCTTCGTGTGCATCGTCGTCCATCTTGTTTCGTTTGGTCAAAGACTATTCTTGGTTGTGAGGCAATACAAATTTCCCCCGCCCCAGTCCACGCAGATTCGGTTTCAGTATGGATGCAATCTTTCACGAGAAGGTAAATGTTTTCCTGCGAATCTTGCCTTTTTGCCAGCCTTCAGGGTCTTAAATCCATAAGAAATTATCTTATTAATGTTACTATTGTTTTGCTTTGCAGCAAGAAGGTTCTCTTTGCGCCCAACACTGCCTCAATGCCTTATTACAAGGTACTGTACCAGCTAATGCAGACAGAGAACAGTGCGTCAAATGTTAAACTTATAATTTGTGATTGAGTTGTAAGGAAGATCCTTTGACGTTTATGTCAAGGATAACATTTAATTCAAAGCCAAACATAACTAGTTTCTAATAAGCTGCAATTTGTGATAAAGACATTGCACTGCTTGTTGGAATACCTTGGAATAATTTCATTTTTTTTTTGACAGCTCGACTTTATTGTTATTGATCCATATGAAAACAATAGTTAAGTTAAGTTAGTTTAGGACTCTCTTTTGGTCGCACATCTCTCTTCCAGGACTCTGAAAACTTCTAGAGGTATAGTTTTTTAGGGATGTGATCTTTCCAGACAGCTGTTTGGGAGTTCACTGCTTTTTGATCGTGATCAAACTACTTCGCCTTACACTTAGCCTCTAGTGGCCTAGACCCTCCTTTGCTGTCTACCATAAAATTCTTATGAGATAAAATTTCCGCACAGCCCCATACTATTGTAAAACAAATCTGTTTTCCCAAGGGCAATGTATTGTTTTTGTCATTGTTTTCTCTTTCCAAGAACTGAATGCATAATGTAGGATGGGGCTGTGCAGAAACTTCACTTTCTTATTATGTTACTTCAAATAATTTATTATTGGATCAATAGGAATTCCCTGATTGATATTTTTCTTTACTCTCATCACTCTTCAGCTTAATATTGTATTAATACTGCAAGGAGAAATTCTGTATTAGTCACTTGTAGGAGTCAAAGGGTAAGTGGGGAGTTCTCTACAATGAACAAGTATTCTAAATTGGAGAGTTGGCAGTGATTCATGTTGCTTTTAGGCATGGAAAGTGGGATAAGCTCATGCAATGAGGGGCCAGTAGGCTTGAGAAATTAAACCAACCTAACCTTTTTCATAGGCCCTTACTTAAACCCAGTGGTTCTGGCGGATATAGCGACACAATTAGATGAGCTTGAGAGAGCAAGAATGGCAGAAGGAGATGTTACATCACAGGATTATCAAGAATTTATTAAGGTAACTGTTTTGATTTTTGAAGGGAACTTATTACCATAAATGAGGGATGAGTTGATCAGAAGACATTATCACAGTGAGAAGAGTGGGGATTTGGTACTGCTTTCATCAGAAAATTCATGACCATAAGAGCTTCATATATGGTGCCTTTAAGAACAGTGCATGCTTTTGCTATTGTATACACAAGCTATATATCATGCCTTGGTGGTAAATGGGAGCAAAAAAGGCCAACATTTGGTACTTATAAAAGGCTTTTTTCCCTCATATTAATTGGCAAAATCAATTCAACCATGCTGCCTTCTGTTCATAAAAAACTTCAGAAAGTGAAAGAGAAATATCTTACTTTCAGGGAAGGAGTTAGTAAAGCTACATGTAGAGTGAGGTATGCTGACAAATTCAATCAAGTGAAATAATTCAGAAAAATGCAGAGTGACCTATATTTTAGAAACCACTTGATAAATTTTTCTACTATTACTATTGATCTTGTTTGTCTTGGCCAGGAATTATATTTCCTTCACTTTGTTAGAAAATGCAATGTCAGTACCTTTTTCAGTTTTAAAACCTAGTTACCCCAAATTTTCTTTTTTTTTATCTTGATAGCCCTTGATAGTCATTGGTCAGGCAAATTAAATCCCTATTAGTAGGTACCAACCTTAAGCTGATATAACAAATCCAGAAAGACAAACTAAACAAAGCACAGGGGGTAAAGGAATATCTGTATTATAATACCCAATCATGAAAAGATGCATTTAAAAATTTCAGACAATCAACCAAGCACTATGTTATAAGCAACAACAGAACGTTATATTCAACAATTATTCATCAAAACAGAGGTGGTTTGTGGGATATATCTATTAAGCCACAAAACATATGGGGGTATTGACTGTTTCCAGTATATATCAAAACCAGTAGAGGGCAGCAGTATCCATATCCCTCCAATGGGAGGGATTTATTTTGAGCTCCCCCTCTCTCCCTACCCTTTTGGAAATGTCATTTGGTATCTTATGTTGCCTAGGAAATTTCCAGTGGTCATTGAACGCTTTGATTCCTAAGATCTCATTAGTAATTCTCCTTACTGTGTGCTACACAATTCTTATGGTGTTTGCTTGGGGAATTTGGACTTGGATCAATTACTAATCCTTAAATTGATAACTATTCTTGTCACTTGTCAGCTTGATATTGTAAGGATAAATTCTGTCCTGGCCACTCATGGAAGTTAAAGGTCCCATGGGTGACAGGGGATATTTTCTGAAATTGTCTAACATAAGTTGAAATTCTGTGATTGTAATCCTTTTTTCTTGTTGTTTTTACAGCAACCTTCTTCAAATATGGATGACAGTGGATTCTTCTCCATTCAAGTTATATGCAATGCACTCAGAGTGTGGGGGTTAGAGCTGATACCATTTTTGAGTCCAGAGGCCAGAGAGGCACGAGAAAATCCTCAGTAAGCCTTGGTATACTATTAATTTAATAATTTTATAATATATACATAATTATTACTGAGTTTCTACAAAGCCACCACATGAATATTCCATTATTAAGTGACACATGATTAGAAAGAGTAACATATTCTTAATTGCTTTTTTCTTCTAAACTAGGTACCAGAAAGCTTTTATATGTAACTTACAACAACATTGGCTGACCATACGAAAAATTGGCCATCAGGTACTGGAAATATTAATTTTACTGTAATTGTTAAAAAAAAAATAGAAAAGCCTGATTTAAATGGCATTGTCTGTCAAAGAGGGATTCGTTAAGAGCTTGACTGAACTCATTCCACTGATACCATGAGACAAATGATCAAAAATGAGTAAATTTCTAAAATAAACCAAGGTGCTGTGTTGGTTGGGGGTATAACAGGACAACTTGAATTTATCAATTGGGTTAAAAAGAGTTTGTAAAGCTGACCTCAGTTGTTCCAAGGTTGGATAATGCTATCCACTGGATAAATCTCTCTCTGGTGGATAATGCCATGCATTTTGCAATCACTTATCCGTTGGATAGTGTTATCTGCCCTTTATAAAACTGGGCCCTGATGTTTTGAGTGTTAACCCTTTAACTCCCAAGATCTTACTCCAATCACTAGATCTTGTTAGTAATCCTCCACTTGCTCTGATGAAGGGCAAACACTTGAAATGTCAGCTTTTTTACTCTTTACAGCGACCAATTTGTTTTCAACTCAGTTGTTAATACTAAATTACCTGCTATACTCTCCCACCGACACAGCACCACAGTTTCTTTAGAAACTTACCCCCTTAATTCTCCTTACTGTCTGCCATATAGTTCTTGTAATATTAGTTTGAAGAATTTGATATTGGATAAGGTAATAAACCCCTAATTGATATTTGTCTTTATTCTCATTGCTTGTCTGCTTGATATTGTCTTGATACCATAAGGAGAAATTCTGTCTTGATCACTCGTGGGAGTGAAAGGGTTTAGCCCTGACAAAGGTCTAACTCTCAAAACATCATTTTTAGAAACTCTTTACGGTGGCCAATTTACATAGTCAACTCATTTGACAAAACCAAATATTATTATTATATTATAATATCTAACAAAGTTAGTATAGCAGTAAAATGTTGCAGGCTCATCTGCCTCTCCATTGGCTGCCACAAAGGAAAAACTAAATGAAGAAAATATGAAGATAATGAATGTAAAAAAGCTAGTCTAGAGTTATGAATCTGGAGTAACCAACGTGGAAATTGAGAGAACCACATCAAATTAAAGTGTCCGTGTTTTTTGTTGCAGTGGTTTAATCTTAACTCTCTGTTGTCCAAACCAGCGCTGATAACTGAGACATATTTGTCACTATTTCTTACCCAATTACAGACAGAAGGTACTTGCGAGCAGAATTTTAAATCTTATTTTCACAGTGACTGTATCTACATTAATTTTGAGGTGTTTTAAATGCTGTGGCCAAGCAAACAAAAATATATACTAATTTTGCTCTTCCCTGTCAAATGACAATTTCTTTTTCATAGCTTGCAAATTATGCACTCAACTGTCAGAGTTGATTTACATGTAACTGTCTATTTTGATTCCAGTATATTAGCTTTCAAACAGATTATGAGAACAGACAAGCTTATCAGTTAGAGGGTATTAGTTGTGCCTCCCCTACTCAAAGAGGCACACAAAGTGATGATATCTGGGCACATTGGTCAGCTTAGCCATCATAGAATACAATGCCAAATTATCTTGTCTAGTTTACAAGGAATTCAAAGGCACTTAGAAAGGAGAAATACTAATTGGATCTTTGAAGTAAAAGTAAATAGAGGGGCAAATAATGTGGGTTTAAGTGATTTGGCCCAATATAATTTCTATCATTTTAGCTTCAATAATTTGCTCCTAAATTCTCATCAAATACTTTACATTATGTTATTATTGTAAAGAGAGGTGTGACAGTGATCACCTCTTGGAGTGAAAGAGTCATTAGTGTCTTATTCAAGACCTTGCCCTCTGCTTCTTATGTTGATAGACTGAGAATTTTGTAATATTTAAGTAGCTCAGAGTCCTTGACCCACTGTGTGGTATCTGTAGACTTTAAAAAGAGCCACAAAGAATGATTTGAAATTAAAAATCTCCAATTCAAGACATTATCAGTTCAAACACATGGACATTACCACCCATGATTTCTTGCCTCTTAGGTTATTCAATATTTGTTGTGAGAGGAAATTTACCAGAGAGTGAAGCAGATCAACTTTTGAAGCTTTGTCCAGCTGAATCACAGAAGAAACCTTTTAAAACGTCTGCACACAAATTGGTGAACAAAACAGATCTAACAGCTGCGCTTCAACAGGCCAGTGGTGTTGTAGGAGGTGATGGTAAGTTTAAGCTTTAAAAATTAAATCTGTCACTTACCTGAGCATTCTTGTTATCTCAAACTTATGTTTGGATGCGACTACATTATTTCATGACTTTGGCAGATTTATGTTTCACTGTAACTGAACAATATTTATATTTAGTTCTAGAGATGAGCTGTGTATTATACAGCAATGTATCTTATTTTGTCATCAGATAAACCAGTTGACATGGACGCAGTTCGGAGAAAACGAGAATTGTATTTTCAAAGGTAAGTTAACTTTAAAACAATGGGTGACCTTTTTGGTTTGGAGTCACCATTGTGATTGGAAACTCACTTCAACCTCTCTCTTGTATTTTTTCTCTATGCAGTTGATTCTATTCAAAAAGAAGTGTTGAGGGAATGACAATAAGTGTTTTAAAGAAGGAGCCCAGTATGGCAGAATTCTAGATTCCACTTAAGATACTTCTTTTATCATTTTGCAATTGGACAGGAAAAACCCAAAGGATCAGCTTGCTATGTTTAAGCATGCGATCAATGCTCTTTAAGTGATCGAGACTTTTCAGCTTCACTGAGGAACAAAATTAATATTATAATATGTACTAATATGACTTGTTTACATCTTTTGTGTGTGCATACTGCTATTCTGTGTGCAGGTTATGTTTATCTAGAGTGTGATTTACTGTGGGACTAAAAATCTAGTTGATTGAACAAACCTTTGAGTGGTGAAGTTTGTAGTTGGGTCTTTTCTTTTCATGTAATATTACAAGTTACACCTGGCATTGTTTAATGTCTTAAGGAATATATTCTGAATTGTTAATGTGCTAATTGGAAGTTTGTTGGATTGGAACCCTAGCTGAAGTTGACCTGATTTTTTTTTTTTTTTTCTTTTTTAGACAAAACCACACCCAAGCAAACAATCCAAATACAGAACAAACCTCAGAGACAGCAGATACATCTCAAGAAACTGTAACAACACCTGGTCCACCAGCTGATCAAGAAGAATCGTCAGGTACAGAATAAGATGGGTTCTCACTGACATGTAAAGTATTTGGTTTGGTTCATAAGGTGGGATATATTAGACAACATGAGAGGTGAAAATGCTGTTAGACTGTTCACAATGTGAGCTTTTACCTTCTCCCTCAACTTAAGCATGAGAAAATTTTTGTGACGCTTAAAACACTAAGTGACCAGCAGCTAATTTCTCCCAACGATAATACTCTTGAATCGTTCATTAAGATCATAAGGATAAAGGAGGTCACCTCCCTATGAAGCTTTGCTTGTTAAACAAATTTTCCTTGTCAGTACCAAAGGAAATGTATTAAGAGACAAGTATAAAGATTATGAATACTAAACGTTTGAATGTGTCCTTTAGTAGCATGTCGTAATGATGTGGGATATTGATCGAATGAAGCCTTTAGTAGCACTTAAAGGCTTCATTCGATCAATATCCCACATTATGAATACTGATGTTAGGTTGTAAAGGGATAAAGGTGTGGAAGTGTGACAAAAGAGGATTAAATAATTTTTGGGCTCGGAAACCCCCTCCCTTCCTCCCTCATGTTAAGATGGCTCTCTTGCTTGTGTCCAGTTTCTTGTGAATTCTCAAGATTCTGGAAGCAGACAACAAGATGCCATTTTGTTGTTTGCTATTTTCATAAACATCATGCTTAACCTGTCAATTGACTGCCTATCTCCTCTGACAGAGGGCTAATGCTCAAAACATCAGCTTTAGAAACTTGCTACAGTGGTCAATGTACCTTATCAACTCATGCAGTTGTTAAACCAAGTTATCTTTTAACATCCCTCCCCCTCCCCCCCCCCTCCAATGCAGCACTGTAACCCCCCCTCATTAATTTAATGATTGGTAGTTTATTAACTCCAGTGGAGGGATGTGATTTTGTTACCTTGCACAATTACAACTGTGCAAGACATATTTGGTGTTCCCTTAGTAAAAGTTTTTTGATTCTTTTTACTTATTTCAGAATTATCAGAGGAGGAAATGCTTCAAATTGCTCTCAAGTTGTCTCTTGAAATTACATAGTGAGGAGTTTTTCTTGGAATCTGTCTCTTTTTTGTTTCTTTATAGTAGTAACTGAAGGAATAAGGAGTGAATGTATGTTAAAAAAAAAGATAGCTAAGTTTTCAAATTTGTACAAAATAACATTACATAAAGAACTTCTTTAGACTTAGGGCCAATTTGATTGGAATTTCACATCCCCACATACTTGACACCTTGGGAGAGGAGGTTTCTCAGAGAAACAATTTCTTACCTTAAAAATTCACTGGAAACTGTTTTAATTTCATCATGGAGAGTACTGCAATATTTTGTTAAGTAGAAGGTCTCAGGATACACCTCACAACCTACGAACATGGTCAAATATTTGAATAGAAAATCCCTTATTCCCCTTCATTAGTTCACACAAGAGGCTTGTCAATCCTCTCTGAGTTCACCCCAAAGGGATTTTTACAAATAAAGGCATGTATATTAGGAAATACAACAGTTCTTCCTTTATGGTCAATTTTTATCCCATCAGCAAAGAAACTGCTTGAATTGTGCTCCTTCTACCGTTTTGTTTGAATCTTCTCCAAAATAATTAGGAACAAAATGAGGTTGGTTCTGGTAATATTCTTTCAACCAAAGCATTCAATCAATAAGAATCGTGTCCTATTATACAGACAGGCAGACAGAAAGTGAACATTGTCCATATATCCCAACCAAATCTCGTATGACCGCTCTCGGTGAAACCGCCTCACGCTCAAATAGTGCAGAGGACAGGTAGAGTACAGGCAGAGGACAGTAGAGAATCTAACATTGACTGCGTGGAATAGGGAGTCCTACGGAGCCCAGTTAGTGCCACCTCATATTTCTCATCAAGCTTATTTTTCACCACCTCAGTTTTTTCCCAGCACGACTTCAACTGTTCGGCACTACTTCAACGGTCGTGCACGATTACAACTTCCCTGCACGACTTCAACTATTCGGCACGACTTCAGTTTTCCAGCGCGATTTCAACTATCTGGCACGAATTAAACATCCGGCACAACTTCAACTTTCCGGCATGACTACAATTTTCCGGCACGACTTCAACTTTTCTGAACGACTTAACTTTCCGTGCCGGAAAGTTGAAGTTGTGCCGGGAAAAAACTGAGGTGGTGAAACATAAAGTCGAGGTAGTGAAACAAAAGTTGATGAGTACTACAAGATAGTACTAACTGGGCTCCGTAGAGGGTTAGGTTTATCGCGAGTGGCCATTTCAAGGGCTTCTCAAAAGGTTCAAAATAATGTTTTTCATTCCAAACTAATTTTAAACGCGAAATACTCAGTACAGAGGGAAAAAAGAAGAAGAAATAGACAACCATAATTTTCCATTTTTTTCCTACAAACACATAATTTATTGACTTCTATCTAGCAAGTTATTGCACTATCACCATCTTTATCTGACGAAAATGAAGAAATTAAACAACTCGAAGAAATCTTAAAATGATACTTTACACCAGATGTACACTTTTAGTTCAATATTAGACGCGAATATTTAGCTAGTCATGAGACTACGTTCCCTTCCCTTGAGAAGTTTCTAAACTTTTCCAATTGTACACACGGAAGAGAGGGCGTAACACTATTGAGGTAACACTATTGAAAACGGACCTCTGCAATAGATTTATGTGTTCTTACTGGCGCGAGTAGCCCCTCACTTCAAAGGTAAAGGAGGGATTATTGTGCTAAAACAAAGAAAGTTCATTTCCCAATTTACGGCAACGTTACTTAAATTCGTCTTTTGCACCGAAAACCTTCAGACATAAATGTTAACTATTACACGGTAATGACAAAAAACTTCTTTGTCAGAGTTAAATTTTCCCTCTGATACAAAACCTTTTTTCTAACCACACCTTTGCTAATTTAAATTAACAGCGAGTACCTCGCTAGTGTCCAAGTATGTCCGATAAGAGTTACACATGTACTAACACACATTAAAAGCGCTCTCGTCTCATCGAGAATTTCTCGTTTAACTTGCGTATTCGAACAATTCTTCACAAAATGAGGTCATGGACGTTCCAAGTCAAAAATATGAGGTGGTTAGACGAGCTTGAACAAGGCAGAGTAACAAAGTGCCTAAACCTATTGATTTAATCTTTAAAAAATCAGCTTATGTACAAAACGGCTGCATGGATTAATCGTCTTCGTTGAAAATACGGTTAAGGTTATCGAATTTCTTGCCCCATTCTTGCAAGAAAGCAAATTCTTGCTCCTCCTCCTCATCCGGCTCTTCGTCACTATCTCCAAGCTCACTGAGGTCGTCGACGTCTGAATCATCTCCTTCGTACCGATAAATGTGTAACTCGTCAATGGATAAGATGTATTCGCCGTCCGCTTCGTGAACGCGCGTATCGATGAACTGTTTCACGTCAATGCTTTCAGGATGTACTACGCGACGCTTAGTCATGGTTGTAACCCCGTGCCGTAAACCAGCACCAGGCATCGCTCCTTGTAGAAGGGGTTTATTTTCTGCAACGGTGAACTCTTCTTCGCCAATACCCCCAGCATCCTTGAACTTGCCACTTCCTGCGCCACCTGTACCAGCTATGCCGTTTTCAACATAAGTGTACTTCATAAGAGTTGTAATATCATAACCGAAGTTATCTTCCTCGCCGGCGCCTTCGTCGTGGTACGGTCGAATGTTGTCGTGAACATGCCCATCTTCAACCACAGCCACCACAGCAGGCACTGGTCGCCTTTTCAGTAATACGGCGCCGACAATTGCTAAAATGGCCAGCAAAACGACCAGGACAACTGCGATAACTGCAGGATTCGCCCACCTGCTTCCTGGACGTGTGCCTGAATAGAGAGCGAGAGCATATTAATTTTACTTGCTTCTCTGGAAAATCTAAGCCCTGAGGTCAACCCCCCCTGAGACAGGCGTTAATATGTCCGTCTGATGAAGAGTTCGATGCACAAAGACGACAGAAAAATTTGAAAAGCGGGAAAAATAGAAGTGTTCCACCCATATATTAGAATTTTCACGCTAAAATTAGAATGCAGAAATACTGATAGTGTTACTATAGGATAAACCAGTATTTGCCATACCTGGATTAGGGCTGGTAACAACAGTCTCGCATCGTGGTCCAGTCCAACCAGGCGGGCACATACAATAAGGAGGTACAGCATCCACACATGTTCCGCCGTGCAAACAGAAACCTGAAGAACACGGACAACCGAATTCCACATTCTGACGCCGTGCCTCTATACTGTTATCGTTGTCCAAATCTACGCCATTGTAATTGTTTGACGCCGTACATCCTAAGAAAAATGTGTTAATAATATAAGTATGGAAAGGAACCAGGCATCAGGTAGAGATGTTCCTATCGGTCCACTTGGACGCAAAATAAGAATTTGGCCAAATTTGAGCTAACTTGAACCAAAAACCCTGATCAAGAGATAATTTATAGTGGGACCAAATGCTTGCTTTGAGCGATTATTTTCGGCGGGAAAAGCCTCCAAAATAGTTCCATTTCTAATTGGTTGTGCTTGCTAGCACAACCAATTAGAACACAATATTTGGTTCATCTTGCAAACTCAGAGACATCGTTGGCTGCGTGGATTGGCAGGAGACGCATTCTTTTTAATCATAGACGTGATTCTTAATCGACAAAGACCATCTATAAATATAACGGTGCTTTTAAGAGCCACTTATATAAGAACCTTGAACTCACCTCCGAAATCTCCTATCACTTCAACTACCTTAGCACCATCAGTGGTTGCCCCCAGAAGTGTCCATCCACTAAGGGTAGTGCCATAAGCATTGATTTGTCCATATGCATTAGCAGAGCTAGCACCTCCTAATACCGTGGCTCCAGTGACGTATTGTCCACCAATACCACGACCTACACTACCACCACCACCAACAACACCAACCCCACCAGTTACAACACCACCTCCACCAGAAGATCCCCCTTCACCAGAAGACCCACCCCCACCAGAAGAACCACCTCCACCAGATGACCCACCTCCACCAGAAGAACCACCTCCACCAGATGACCCACCTCCACCAGAAGACCCAACTGCACTACCGCCTGTGGTTGAACTAATCACGACAGAGCTTCCACTTGGGTTGTAATTCGTTGATATGACTCTAACATTAATCTTGCCCCCACTTTTCACGCCGATGGGCGTGTATGACTTATAGGAATAAGTCCTTATAGATGTTCTCGTACTTGTTGTTGCAGTACGTCCCACAAATATACGGCCGGACGAACCCACTAGAGCTCGCATTCCAAGTGGGGAATACAATTTCATGAACGAACTTGAGGAGTACACCTCTCCTCTAAGACCAACAGTTATCATGGTGCCCATGAGCTCGGCATCCGAGGAACTGTATCCTGATAATCCACTTCCTATTCCGCTTGAGATGATGTTGCCGTCGGCAGTGCGCAAGATGGCGTTACCGCCACTGTTAACAAACGCTTCTACGACTCGTACCTGGAAAAAATGTTATGCAATGCTTAATTCCTGGTTAAAAAAATAGCCATTAAGTTAGATAACATGTGTATATCGGCTGTGCTAATTTAGTTCAAGTTATTACGGTAAAAAACACATATTAGAACAGTATGCCTTTGATTTATCCCCACTATCATATTACTGCGTCCCTCCGTCCCTCCTCTAAATCAAAGGATCAAGGACAGGACTCCATAAAACGGTTAAAAGAGAGTCTATCATGCTAGCAGAGAAAATTACTTTGTTCGAATCTTTATGGGGGAACACTTTTCTGCTGGAGTGAAGTATTTGAGCAATTTGTCTGTGCTCGCAATTTTTCTTTCCACGGTCTTCTTCGGCAAGATTGATTTTTTTGGCTTTAGTCGATTATCCTATTAACGCAGTTCGGTGAACATAATTTTCTCTCCCGGGTAAGGTTTTTGAGTAGTTACCGAACAGTTATGACAAAATTCGAGGTAAAGTTAAACTGTCGAGGAATCCTTTACTATTTGCTGTGTCCTTTTCTTCACCGCGTTAATCATTTCACTGCCTAGATCCGAACGTCAATTCTTCTTATCGTGTTCCACACATTCTAAAAGATTTATATCCAGGAAATTGGTATCAAATCAAACTACATCATCGATGTCAGTATCTCAGCAACTGCGCGTCTAACCCTCCCTCAACAGTTAAATGATGACAAGATCGGATTAATAATGGGCTTGGAAGGGATAGGTACGCAGTTGCTGAGATATTGACATCGATCCGAAATAACTCATCAGTAACTCCTGGGAGTGAAATGGTCAAGATTAAGAGAAGGACTTTCCCTACCTCAGTAACGTTAGGCAAGCCACCAGTAAAGAAACTTCCTCCTCCCATGTTGAGCAGTTTGTGTATACCACGCGTTGTCCCCTCCACTTTACCATCGTAATCGATCTGAAGCCTTGCTCGGTTACCTACTCTCTTGACTACAATTGTGTGGTATTTATCATCTGTTATGTTCAGTTGGGGAATACTGAGGATCTTCATACGGTCACCAAGCCGGAAGACGTAACGCAACACGTGATTCTTTACCTGTAATATATTAAGGTAACAATGTTAGTCACAGACTAACGTGTCTAATTATAAAACGTTTCACAAAAGGAATGAATGGATGAAATAGACATGTCGACCATTTCCCAGACTTAACACCAGTTTTACGGGAACAAGTGTTGGTGATTCGAAGTACCTTGAATTGTTGAAAGGAACTATATTTTCGATTTTTCTACTCGAGCTGCATAACAGTGTAATATTTCAGTTCAACATTGCATACAAAACACTCCAAAATATTACTATGCATTTTATAAAATTGCAGTAGAGAATGCCTTGCTTCCCAAAGAGCTGAAACAATAATAAGTTCAAACAGAAAGCTTACTCTTACCCTCTGACTACTACTAAGGTAATTTTTATTGGACTAAAATTACTACATTTTTACAGCGTTGTATTTTGCAACCCGCAAGTTTTCATGAGACACAGTAACTTCTTGAACAATAACAAAGCTCTTACATCAATCCTGTTGAATTCTGTTCCCAGGCTATTGGAAGCCAAGAAGACAACCACATTGGAAGAATTGGGAGAGATCCTAACTTGAAGGGCAATGTTAGTGTAGAATTCGTTTGTCATGGAAACTGGCGGGGGAACAAGTTCGCGGCGTTTTCTTTTGGTTTGCCTCATTCGGTACTGGGTGAAGCTGTTGGGTTTATACCAGTTTGCATT